TAAATAGAGTGTATAGACCTACTAGTTAGTCCTGTAGGTATTTAGCCTATAGCTTTAATAACTATTTTTAGTTAGAGCTAAGAGTTAAGGGTGGCAGGTGGGCCTCATAGGGGTCCCTATAGGTCCCCTTATTAATAAGGCTACTATATTATTACCTCTCACCTTAAAGCCTAAAGCGTAACCTTCCTTTCTTCTTTTCTTTTTTAAGTAACCCTACTTTTTAAATCTACTCTATTTAATATAAAGTTTAAGCCTTTATATTATAAAGCTTAAGTAATGTTTCATTTTTATTATAAAAAATATTATATTAAATAAATTTTAATAATTATTTCTTTTTTAATATATAATAAATTTATTATAAATTAATTATATTTTAATTATATACTTATTCTTTTATTTTATTTTAAAATTAAATTATTAAAATTTATTATTATTATATATTTATTAATATTAATTAAGTTATTATAATTAATAATTAATAAATAATTTAACTTATAATAATAATAAATTTCTTTAATTAAAAATATTTATATTATTATATCTTTTAAATATATTATAATAATATATAATTTTTTTCTTTAATTAAAGTAATTAATATAGTTTTATAATAAGTTATTATTTATAAATATAATATTAAAATTACTTAATAAAATACTTTTAAAGAGTAAGTATAGTTTTATAATTTATTATATAAATAAAATAAATAAAATAAATAAAATAAATAAAATAAATAAAATAAATAAAATAAATAAAATAAATAAAATAAATAAAATAAATAAAATAAATAAAATAAATAAAATAAATAAAATAAATAAAATAAATAAAATAAATAAAATAAATAAAATAAATAAAATAAATAAAATAAATAAAATAAATAAAATAAATAAAATAAATAAAATAAATAAAATAAATAAAATAAATAAAATAAATTAAAAAAGAAAGATTATTTATTATTTTTATATAATATAATTAATATAAATTATTATATTCTAATATTATATAATGAGTATAATTTATAATTCCTTAACTATTTATACTATATTACAACCTGTAAATCGCCCACTAAAGTTACCCACCCTTTAGCTAATAAAGTTAAATAAAGACCGTCTTGAATACTAGTATCTAGTGCAGTGGTCGACAGATGAGGAAACCCTTCCATCCCTTGACGCCCTGCCCCTTACTAGTTTTAAGCTAGAATTTACCTTCTGAGGTGGTGCGCACGCCTGTTTCCTTGCACTGGGTGCGCGGACGGAAACCGCTGACTTCGGCTCTGTGATGGGGGCGACTCGTGCGTGCATGTTCAGTATGACTCGTGTGAATCCAGCAAGACAGCACAGTCACGGCCCATCGATTGATTGCCATGGCCATGGAAATTACAAAAGCCTAGCAATGAAGTTCTGGCGAAGGCATATGCGGGCTACGCGCAGTTCCAGATGTGATCATCGAGTGCAGGTCCAAAGCAACATGTCGTCCCCCGCCACGACTAGTCCGCCAGCACGCCAGGGGCAAGATGCTCCAGCAGTCGCTCCGCTCCGTATCACGCGTCGAAAAGGCGCCTGCGACGTGTGTCGTGAGAAAAAGGTCCGATGTACGTCGTAGGCCTGACTCGCTTTGCATTGCTGTCCGCTAGGCAGTCCACTGATCGCCGTCAAGCACGGTGGGCCGAGCCGTCGGACGAACAGGTGGACCTCCCGCGTGAAACGAGGGGCCGTGGGGCTGATCGCGACTTTTGACAGGTGACGGGAAGACTCCCTGTTCGACTTGTGCGGTAAGCCTTGGGTTGGAGCTCGAGAATCAGAAGGTTTCTTTCTAACTGCGATAGTCTTATGATCGCGAGTGCCACTATCCTGTCGAGGTGTCTAGGCACTGTCGCAGAATGTGGCGCGCCCAGCATCTCCAGGCAGGGCATTACAGGCAGAGGATGCAGAACGCGCTTCACAGTCAGCTGAGCGCTTCTTCTCTCATGCCTCATTTTGGACCATATCGCGACGAGCCCGAATTTATGCTGCCTAGCTACCTTGTCTACGATGAGGAGTTCCTTGCTAATGCCTGGCCTGACTCTGGCTCGATGATGGACACTTGGCCGGATCAGGGTTGTATATCTGCTCACATGATGAACACGGGCGCCCTTCCGGCTTTCGTCCAGCCAGTAAGCGATGATTCCACCATAGTGGTCCGTCAAACTCCGCCTGAGGCGGCCGGAAATAGTGACTTCGAGGATTTCCACTTCGAAGCGCTTGCTACCAGTCCTCCGCCGAACAAGGAGGCCTTAACAGGTGACATATTGGACCAGCCCTGTGACTCGGTCGAGGATGGCCGGGACCCAAGCATACCTTGTCCATCACCTGGAGATCTGGTGAGTGACCCAACTGTCACTCTTCCCGTGCCTCTTACTTTTTGCACAGTCACCTAACAGATCTGCAGTTTCTGAACCTTGGACCCGAGGATCATGCTGCTGCTACTCAATCAAGTGCAGGTGAGAAGCAGAGGGCCGACGCCACCTGCTCCGTTGCCTCCGAGACTACCGCAGGAAATGATTTTGCTGTAGCTCATGACAGTTCGAATTTTACCATTGCCGACTCAATATCAGATCTATTTGGGCTTCCAGAACTAATCGCACAGAAGGTTGGTGGCTCAAGAGGCGCACAAATCGTGGAAATATTTGCCCGTGTCAGATCGGCATTACTTGGAAGGTATCCCAACAACAGAGACACTGGCAACGTCAGTTGTGGATCCAATTCGCTTCAAGTGTTCCAAGCAGAGAGGCATAGAGCATCCGAGCCCTGGTGGATCAACGAAAATGAAGATGTTCTTCGCCACTGGAGTGAATGTGAGCTTCCTTGCGAGTCCAAGTTCGCAATATCCAACGATCCCCATTCAGTCACGCAACAGACCGCTAATATCTGGCTCAACGCATAGCAATCCGCACGGCAAATATACCGTAAGTCACACGCAATGGATTTGCCACTTGTCTTGTCCATTAGTAACCTATGCCTGGTCTTTTACTCACATGAAGGAAGTTTGATCGGAACCTTGTTCTCGCCGGAGGGTGTCGAGGATCTCTCTCGGTCCGCGCGACAGCCGCAGCCTGACCCGACCGTCGTGACATGCTCAGATGCCCTGTTTGCAATTGGATGCTACTGCGCCACGATGGCGGACAATCCTAGGGCATCTTCTGCCAGCAAACCCCTGTTTGAATCATTGAGGAGACTCGCAGGGGTCCTGGCATCGTACAGGCGCCTTTGGGAGGCACCCATCAGTCTTTTAAAGCTGCAGGTATGTGTACACCCAAACCTGATGAGACTATGATGTATCACGAGTGTAATTATCTTGTTTTTATACTAATTCCATGTCCAGGGGACACTGCTCATGGTAAGCTTACTCACATCCACCTACTCATTAAGTCGAGGGCATTCTATGCACACTGACACGAAGTAGGCCTCCATCGCTGGCATATGCGACTTGGCACAAATGGGTCCTCAGCTAACCTCTGCGGCGTCCTGCCTTCGCGAACTACGTCTTGTAGGACCTCAATCAAGCATGACCCGGCGACAGAGCACTGCAAGCCGAAATTTACTGGCGGAGAAGTGTGTTCAAGCATTTTTCTGCCTCGATGCATGGTACTCGTTGCAACAAGGAGTGTCTACAGTAAGTCTGTTTCCAGTGCACCAAATGCAAATTGCAGTTCCAAATTTGCCGTGTTCCCGACATCCTGAAGTCACCGACCTGTGTCACTCTTACCCTTGCTGGTTCTGAAACGTCACCACTATGTAGCACTGACGATGTGCAGCTATTGGACCATGATTCAGCCATGAGTACAGTGTCCCCCAAAACCGGCACAGAAGACGGGGCTCTCGATATGATGGCTGTGGAGCTGTCCTATGCGGGGTTGCTTCGGCACATCGTTCAACTTCGAGTCAATATCGAGCCTCGTCTTCAGGATCTTTCGGCTTCTTCGCTGGAAGTTGAAGACATGCTCAAATCGTGTGGGTGGAAGCTGGATCACTGGTACAACAACCTACCAAGCCCTCTCAATCATGTGAATATCCATGACTACGAGGCCCCGCGAGGTACGGGGTTGCGACCAGTGCCCCAATCATATACTGCAACGAACGCAGAGAACAAAGGGGCTGGTGGTGCCCAGAAAGGCACTAGTAGCACGTACGTGAGCGCCATGTGCCACTCCGCCGAATTTCGCATCTTTTCGCAATTCCATGGCGCAAGGCTTCTTATTCACTGCCCCCTTGTTGCTATTCTGTGCAGTCCTCACTTCATTGGGGTTCCACATTTCGAAGCCCTGGAGCGGCTTAAGCGGCAAAGCTTGGAGAATTGTGTTGAGTCTGCATGTGCTATCCTGAAGGCTGCTGACGTCTTCGTAACGGAGAACACTGTTGTCGAAAAGCAAGTATTCCATGGAATCGTCTCTTACCCACGGCAAAGACTTGCCTTCGTTCTGACTCCTCGGCTGACTGGAGTAACCTACAGGGATACTGTTCAACTCGTGCTTCTCTCGCTGTCTGTTATTTCTTTTCATCTTGCCAGCGGGTACCAAGATCCACACATGAATGCCACTTTGTCACTCGGTTACTGTTATGGCGTATTAGGAAGATTAAGACCAGAAGACGAGGAGGCGGCTGCCTTGATCATAGATAGTACATTGGACCTGATCCACATCGTACGCTCAACCAGGCGGCCAGGCGACCTGAAACAAAGAGATTAAAGTCCCTATAGTCTGAAAAAGATCACACACCGCGGTGAAGCAGTCGACCTCGCGTTCCATTACCGTATGTGGGGAAAAAAAATAGAAAATGAAAACACAAGACGCGCGCTGACTTGCGAGCTCTGCTATGATATCGCCGCATCATGATTGTAGAGGAACTCCCTCCTCATATTCATTTTTCAGTAGTTTAATTCAAAGTGTTACTCGATTTGCGACATGGAAAACAGAGACGTGTCTCGATAAGCCCTTTGAAATGGAATAGCATTCGGAACTTCTCAAACTATTTGACATCACACCCAGTCTTCTTTTTGACGATTACCAAAGCACCCATGACACTGCTTTTCACCCACTCTTCACCCGCCTTCACTCCTACCTGGCGCTGGAGACGCTCTATCTCCCTGCGGCTTCGTTTCAACAAGTCATCTTCTGTCCCCACAAGACTTGGGTGTGCCTCCTTCCACTTTAAATATGGGCCCGCCGTGGTGCTCATGATTCTTTCCATGGTATCGAGGTCAAACCTAGGTTGGCTTGCGAAGAATTCATCTTCATCGCACTCCGTTCCCCGTCCAGACCACCCCCTGTGAAAGAAGAGGGTCTCATCAAAATTTGGGTTCCGCACCTGTTTGTCCCATGGCATCAAAAGCCCGCAGTACTTGGAAGAAGGGTCGTCACCATCATCTGGTTGCGTTGTGCTGTTACCGGTGTCGGACTTCTGTAAAGGTATCTTCTCGAACTGTTCCATTTCAGTCTCCTGTAGGGAGGTGAGGACTTCTTCGATTGCCCTTGCGTTTGGGACTGTGCCCATTAACTATGGGTCAGCCAAGGAATACAAGGTATCTTCGCGCCTAGACATTTACCAGATTGATGCATTCCTACAGGCCTGCTGAACCACATTGCAACACTTCCGCCCGGTTTCAGGACACGTGCCGCTCCCGCCCTATGGTGCAGCTCGTCGTTAGTATGGTGGTGTAATAACCGTCCGTAGGCCCTGATTTTTGGCACATGGAAATGGATTATGTGCTTTACCAGAATTGTTTTGGCTCAAAGTAGTGCGCCGAATTAGCAGCGATCACCAAATCAACACAACCGCCGGGGATCCCTGCCTTCTTCAACGACAGGGGCTCCAGTTGTTCAGCTGAACCCTGCTCGAACACGATGTGGCCGGAAGCCGAAGATCCACCCAGGGTCCGAGCAATATCGATCATACCCTGTGAGGGGTCCAACCCCACCGCAGTGGTAAAGCGCCGTCCCAAGTCCCGGACCGCGACTCCGGGCCCGCATCCTAGGTCGACAAGTGACTCGAATCCACCCCCTGATGTCTTATGAAATTCCAGCACGGCATCATACAGCTTCTGTGAGTATGAGCGACGGTTTTTTGCATATTCCTTGGCCTGTCTTTCTGAGAATTGCCCCCAAGGATTCTCTGCAGTCTGCGTTATTGTTGCTGTGGTTGTCATTGTGTAACTAAAGTAATGGTCTCCTTGGCTTTTAGAAATGAAATGAGCATAGGACTATAACAAGCAAGTCTCCTTTCAATCAAGTACAAGACTGATTAAAAAAATCAAGACCAATAAACGCGCTTCACCTATCCTATCGACGCTTTCCTTTTATGGGCACTGTACAGGCTTGGAAGGCTTGACCTGTGTGCCAGATCAAGGCCAACCCTTGTGCTACCAACCTCGGGAAAACGCGTCCACGGCTCTCTTCAAATAAGGTTTCGAGGACAAGGTTTGTACCGGTCCGGCACTAAGGATACACCTGCTCTCCAACCCTCTGACCATGGTACTGCTTACTAAATTCAACTGCGTCGGGACCTTTCTGGAGACTCGTCTTAAGAAAATACCAACGAACCGAAGAGAACCTTGTGAACTGGTAAATGGTCTATTGGATAGGACGCTGCTTCAAGACGAATGGCTTTTTCCCGTCTCTAGCAGATAGTAACACTATGGCTGAGACATTTGAACTAAATTTCATTCCTCACAGCTTCCCGGGGGCAATAGAATTCGACTTCAGTCTTCCAGAAACTGAAAAAAGCTACCAAGAAGCATCCAAGCGATTCAAGTGTCCCACAGTCATCAACGACTTGAGAGGACACGAGTACAAGTATGATCTGTTTCGAAATGGGTTCAAATACACGAGAAACAGCCTTCCTCCCGATGCCCTGGAGCAACAGCTCATGGACATGACGGAAGAAGAAATCGCGAGGGTACTTGTGCCGCATACGGAGGACCTAGTAAGGAAATTGTGCGTTACTCGAAAGTCTTTACATTTATATGAATGACTGCAAATATTAGTTTGTTGACGATTCGGAACCAGGACCGGTTCGTTCAGAATAATTACGGCGGGGTACCGTCTGCGCAACCTAGCCAATGATACCTCCCGCCACATGAATCACCACGGGCCATCGCATGAGGTGCACTGTGATTTCTCCATGGCGGGTGCAATGCGCTTCGCTGCAAATGACCTTCTGAAGGGGCAGGAGACAGAACTCCTGCATAAGAGGATGCTTGTGGTCAACGTCTGGAGACCTTTGCGACAAGTTACTCGCGATCCCCTGGCCGTTTGCGACTGGCTATCAATCTCTGAACAGCCCTGTGGGCGTTCCAACTTGGTGCCGTGGAAGGTTTCCTTCGACAATGGACTGCGCCAGAACGAGTCTCTGAAGTTGAAACAGCATGACAGCCAGAGGTGGTACTACCTCCAGAATCAACTCCCCACCGAGCCATTGCTGTTCCTCTGCTTTGATAGTCATCAAATGCAAGAAGGCGGGATGACTGTTCCACATAGCGCGTTCGTGCACCCAAGTTACTCCGATGCAGAGCCAAGAATTAGCTTTGAGATCAAGTTTTTTTGTTTTCTAGAGAATTGATACTGCTCGACCATTGTCTTCACGGGATTGAAGAATTTTATTCGTCCATGGCACGTCAGTGGATCAGCACTCAATTATGCCCGTGTAAGAACGCGCCGTATTCGTTAATATGGAGTTTGGAGACCGGACTATCAACAGACAACGTTTTCCGTGTACCTTTATGGCATATTGGCGAAGTGTTATTGGGACTCAATGTGATTTTCCTGCGGTTGTCATGTCTACGACTTGAATTGCATAATGGCAAGCACCTGGGCATGTACTTAGATAAAGTGTGTGAGCTGAGTCTGACGGCGGAGTAACACAGACTTGATTTATAGCATACAAAATACACTCTGAGACTCGATGCATAGAATTCAAACATCTTTCTAGTTGCGCAATCTTCTGATAAGATTCTGTGGCAAACTTTCCCAACCTGATGAACAATACCTGCCGCGATCCGCCGTGGGCAGGAATGAGTACAAGTCTCTCAGACCATCTCCACTCTCTGTTCAGCAACCACCTGCACAGGAAACTTTTGACCTTCATGCGCTTGGTCATACATGGCCTTGAAGTCGGGAGCATCAGCCGCCTCAAAACTGTTAAGATTGAGGTTGTCGAATCCAGCGTCGTGTTCGACAAGGCGCCAGACATTCTCTACGGCTCCTGCCACATCGGGTGGCAGGGGTCCCCTCTTCAGTCCCTCGAGTGTCTGTCTGAGCTGCTGGAGCGACGAAGCCCCGAAGAGCATGGCGTCACCGCGCTGCCTGTCCAGCAGGCTATGGTAGGCAGTCCAGCGATAAGCCAGCTCTGCCTGGGGGATACCGGACTTTTTACTAATTGCAGTCCACTCCTCGAGTGCCTCCAGGTGCGATGGCTGAAATGCCATGATTGATCAATGACTGCTGATGATAGTACAGGGTGTGAGATGGGAGTCTTACCTTGTTGTACAGAGTTGAGTAGATCAGGCCGACAAGCCCACTGTTCGCATCAAATTTGGGACATTTCTTGGCAAGAACGTCCTCCTTGGACTTTGCAAGGAACCCACCGGCCAAGGGCGAGTAGGCATAGAAAGTGATGCCGTATTTCTCCAGCATTGGGAATAACAGGGTCTCAGGCTTCCGGGCTATAGGGTTGTAATTGCCTTCGTAGACAGTTGGAGGCACAAATCTCCTTTCGCGGCATATCTTGACGACCTTTTCCCCCTCAGGTTAGTAGACAAGTTGCCAAGCCAAATATCAAATAGCAAACCCCCAGGATGTAGAAATCAACTGACTTTCTCAACCTCATCGGGGAGGAAATTGGACAGCCCGAAGTGATTGAACTTGCCCATCCGATGAAGCGCATCGATTCCCTCGAGTGTTTCTTCAAACGGGATGGTACGGTCTGGTCCGTGGATATAGAAAATGTCAACGTGGTCCACCTTGAGGAGCTCGAGACTGTGCAAGGCGCGTCGAATGACGTTCTCCTTCGTTGCTGGCCCATCCCCGACAATAAGCCCACCGCAGCCCAACTCTTTAGTGCCGATTCTGAAGTAGCGCGCCGCCCCGACATCGCCTGCTGTCTTCTCGCTGTCGAGATACACCTGTGCCACGTCGATCTCATTGACGCCAGCCTCACGGAGCAGTTCGACGACTTGCGGAGCATGTTGTCGCCAAAGTGGCCCTGCGGCTCCAAAGACCAACTTGCACGGCTGTGTGTTCGACATGGTGAAGAATGATGTGGCGGTGAAACTGGTCCGAACTGATATGATGAAATTCAAAGTAGCTCGTCAGTCATCCGTTTGTTAGAGATTCTTGTATAATAGCTGCATATTGAAAGCGATACTTATAGTAACGTATCTTTTATGGTTTTCGATTCTATTCCAAGGTTTTACACATGGTGGCGTCGGCTGTGTGGCACGTCTAGGTAAGGTTTGACACAGGCGACAACCGTTCCGTTGCCGGTCCGGGATGGAGCACTTGAAGCATTACGCCTTGATGACATTCAATGAAGTAGGATATGTAAAAGCCGTATCCAGTACTAACTGGTTTCTCTAGCATTAACTACGGATAAGAAAATATCAACGGAAAGAAATATAGTCGAACTACATTGGTGACCACAATGGATGTCCAAACTTGTCATGAGCTTGCGTACGGAAGAATGCCAGTGAAGGCCATGCGAGCCGTGGTCAAGGATGCATATCTGGAAGCCTTGGGGATTGAGAACGAAGACATCAATCCAGACTTGTCATTCATCGCTCTTGGCGGTATGTACGGCGTTGACGTACGAGGTAGACTCAAAGCGTGTGAGCCTAACAAATTTATACCACACAGGTGACTCTTTCCAGGCCATCAAGCTTTATCAGAGATTTCAGGCAGAATCGCTCAATATCTCGTTCCAGCAAATACTGCGCCACAGCTTTCAGGAGATTGTTCTTGCTTCTGAAGCCCAGCTGGACCGACATGGCGTACTGGCTTCGTTACAGTTACAGCTGCAGGCCTCATCAGCGGTCAAGTCCCGAGGTTTAAGAATCAGAAGATTCCCGTTAATGCCTGCGGACCACGACTTTGGCCCAATTATATCAGCGCTTAAGGACCGGAATCTCGTGATCGAGGACGTCGAGTCAATATACCCAGCCAGCAGTATGCAAGAGAGTATGTACATAGCTCAACAGATGGGTTCAGGATGCGACATCATATATCGAACGAGAGGACTCTTCAGCGTTCCAATCGCCTTGGACTCAAAGATGTTGACTAATGTCTGGGCAACAATCATCGGAAGGCATCAATGTCTCAGAACGTTCTTTGTTGGAGCTTCAGAGAACTCGTCTGGCCACCTACTATACAGCGTGGTGCTCCGGCAGCTTCCCAAATCGGCGCAGGTTGTCTCGGAGGATTTTATGTGTGCGACCTTGCAAGACGTGCGGGATCATCTGGCTATGGCACCAACACAAGAGATCCCTGACTATGTTCACCAAATTAAAACCTACGGTGGCCTCGATTCAGATACCATGAGAGTCCTCAACAGACGACGACTTTGCAAGATCGACATTCCTCATATGGTCGTTGACGGGGCGTCGCTGTATATTCTACTGGAAGAAATGAGACAGGCGCTTCTGTCCGGTGGCACAGCTTTACAAAGCCTTCCATTACCGACACCGTATGAAAGATACATCGAATACCTACAGAGTACGCAACAACGGGAGGATGCCGCATTGGACCATTGGACTCAGTACCTAGCCGGCGCCGTGCCGTGCCATTTTCCGTCGTTTTGTACACCTCCTGCAGAGCGCAGCCTTTCCAAGGCCGCCACCTCCAGCTCACCTCCAGTCACATCGGGCGCAAACAATACCCTGCCTCTCTACATCGACTATTCGGATCTACGTGCCTTCTGCCGTCAACAGAATGTGACCATATCCAACGTCATCCAGGCCGCCTGGGCCATCTTGCTGTATACCTACACGGGACAGTCTGACATATGTTATGGGTACCTTGCTTCCGGAAGAAATGTTCCAATCCCCGGGTCCGCAACCATTGTGGGGCCAATGATGAATTTGCTTGTCAACCGAGTCGACTCTGTCGGGCCGTTGTCACTCGAAGCCGTTGTCAGCAAAGTGCGTGATGACTTTATCAACGCGCTGCCGCATCAAGCATTTCCTCTACACAAAGTGCAGAGCCTCCTTGGTCTAGCGCAAACGAGACTCTTCAACACTATTGTCACATCGTACTATGCGCCATTCATGCTCTTAGACGACGAAGACGAACAAAATCCAGTTAAGCTGCTCGAGTCTCACAACGCCTCCAATTTCGAATTGGTCTTGAAAGCCGTATACTCCGACAGTGACATACGGATTCGACTGGTTTATTCCACCTCAACCTTGTCTGATCACGCGGCCAAGGGGGTTGCTATGACATTTGAGACCATCTTGCACAAAATGACAACAGCTTCAGGCCCAGGCTCCCAGACAGTTGCCATGATGGACGTGATCAGCCCCCAGGATCGTGTGATTGTGACCGAATGGAATCGGAAATCTTCTACGGCTATTGATGATGAGATCATCTCTCCAGGTTGCGTTCATTATCATATAATCAACAGGGTTAGGCTCCAACCCTTGGCTCCGGCTATATGTGCCTGGGATGGTCACATGGACTACCAAACATTGGACACGGTCTCGACAAACGTAGCCCGACAGATCTGCTCCACGGGAGTCGGCCCAGGCGTCTTCATACCATTATGTTTCGAGAAGTCTATGTGGTTCACAGTCGCACTTCTTGCAGTGCTCAAAAGCGGCAACGCGTTTGTCCCTTTCGATCTTACGAATCCCTTAGCCAGGATTGCCAAGATGATAGAAACCCTCGGCTGCGATCGACAGGATGATGGACCTTTACCTCTCATACTCTGCAGCCGGATGCAGCAAAGCAGATGTTCGCCACTTGCTCATGAGGTATTGGTGATCGATGGAGCATACGCCCAACAAAGCGTGCCCAGCGGGCGACTCTTTGAAATAATGGAACGACCGGCGTTGCCACGCATCCCTCCAAGCCACCCAGCATATGTCATGTTCACCTCGGGCAGCACTGGAGTCCCGAAAGGTGTCGTTGTAGAGCACGGGTCTTATTCCTTCGCGGCACATGCTCACAAAAGTGGGCTGAGACTTGATGAGACAAGCCGTGTGCTTCAATTTGCCTCTTATGGCTTCGACACTTGTAAGTCATTTCATAAGTCATCGAGGTCCATGTTGTGTCACCTCGAGTTGAAAACTTAAGCCAGCTATATGGCTAACCTCCTATTCCCTACAGGCATAGAAGATCATCTTTCAACCCTAATTTCAGGTGGCTGTCTTTGCATTCCGTCCGAGGCTGATCGACTTGATCTGGGTGGTCTAGCCGACTTTGCAAGGACAAGCCGTGCCAATTGGGCTCACCTTACACCATCACTAGCCGACAGTTTTACACCGGCTGACGTCCCAAGCATAAAGACAATTGTGTTGGGTGGTGAGCCCATGACCGCGCGAAACGTTGCGACCTGGGCGAGACCAAGCAATCCATCGGCGATACCCGGTGATCAAGCCTTGATACAGGTATATGGGCCCTCGGAATGCTGTGTGACAAGCTCAATCCATTGCCCTGTATCTCCCGGATCCCCAGAGATGGACATAGGCACGCCGGTCCCAGGATGTGCCCTATGGATTACGCACATTGACAACACAAACTTGCTCTGCCCCATTGGCGTTACCGGCGAGCTACTAGTTGAAGGTGTAAGTCAATCCTTGTTCGCTAACACCGTCCGGCTGAAACAATGGAATCCTGTCTTGACTAACGTTGAATCTCTGTCATCAAGCCGATTCTAGCTCGTGGTTATCTTGGTCAACCTGACCTCACGTCCGCCGCATTCGTTGAAGGCCTCTCGTGGGCTTCCGACAACGCCCGGAGATTCTACCGTACAGGTGATCTTGTTCGCCATGTTTACGACAATCACGGCCACATTCGACTGCACTTCGTGGGACGAAAAGACAGCCAAGTGAAGATACACGGCCAGAGGATTGAATTAGGCGAGATAGAAAGAACCCTGTCTTTGGCACCTGAGATACGGCAGACCCTGGTTACAGTCCCACGCCGGGGACCGTGCCAGAATCAGCTTGTGGGCTTTATCTCATTCTCGGCCACGGAGTCAGTGCCGAAGACGTCCAAACCATCAGCCGGGTGCAGCTCAGGCAGTGACCAGCCTGGGATGAATCTTTTGGGCGGCTCCTGGCGGTCTTATGTCCGCGATGTGGTGGAATTGTTGCAAGACAGTCTCCCTTGTTACATGGTACCAGAAATCTTCATTTGTGTCGAGGACGTCCCGAAGAACATGTCGGGGAAGTTGGATAGGATGTGGGTGCAGGCATATCTCGAGGGACTCGACAGGAGCGACTATCACGACATCACATCCCGGATCAGCGGTGGACAGCACCAGGATGATTTTCGTGCTGGAAGTGAGATCGAAAAAATAATGCGAACCTTGTGGAGCGAGGTCCTTCGCCTTCCCGAGTCCCAGATCCTCTGGGATACTTCGTTCTTTTTCCTCGGTGGGGACTCGATCTCGGCAATGATGATCAGCCACGCAGCTCGGAAGAAAGGGATTGCCTTGACAGCAGGCGATATCATGCGCCACCGCCGAATTGACCGGCTGGCTGAAGCTATATCCAGGGACCTGAGACCACTAAATGAGCCCAAGCTGACTGCGCTTTTGCCCGAGAGACTCGTTAGCCAGCAACCATTTCCCCTGTCTCCGATCCAGCGACTGCATTTTTCAACACACGGTGCCAGCGGTGATAGCCTTGACCAGCAGACATTGGTTATCGAGTTAATAAAAACCAACAGCTTCCAGAATGACAATCGGAAGCTTTTCAAGGAGGTGTTCACTCAGCTTCTCAAGGTCCACCCCATGCTCCGGGCAAGGTTCCGTGTCGATGAAGAGCTGAGAGTTCAACAAACGATAGCTGCCGAGGAAGACAAAAACAACTTGCGCCTGCGGCTACACAGCGACTCTGAGACCGAATATGTCTTTGACTGTGTCACAGAAGCTATCCTCAGCATCAATCTATCCAAAGGCCCGCTGATCGCCGTCGACATATTTCAGGGTGAGGGAAGCAGTATACTACTCTCAATAAGCATTCACCACCTTGTCATCGACACTGTATCGTGGCGTATCATCCTGAGAGACCTTGAGAGTACTTTGAGATCCGGCGGGCTGATATCGCCGGATCCAGAACCTGTGTCTTTCCGGGAGTGGTCATTTGCTCTTGCCGACGAATTCTCGACGCAGGATGCCGAGGAACACCTCGTAGACATTAGTACTGGTCGAGAGCCCAATGCACCTCCACCCAACGAAACACGTCGAGATCGTTGGGGGATGCAAGGAAATTCGAATACTTTCAATGACATCGTGGTCCGGACTTTTGAACTGGATGCAGGGCGATGTGCGCCCTTGATGGCGCATTTGGAACCGACCAGCTTTGGACTTCTAGACTTGCTTTGTTCTGCCCTGTTGACATCATTTCACGCGGTGTTTTCGCGATTGCCTGAGCTTTACCTGGAGGGACACGGTCGGGAACCCTTCCGTGACACGTTCACTGATATTGGCGGCGTTGTGGGATGGTTCACTACATTCGCGCCGTTGGTTCTTCCTCGAGCCCATGATCCCGGTCTCGAAGAATGGTCCGGTATCATGGAGCAAGTTTTTGAAGCGAGACAGAAAATGCATCTGAATGGTCTTGCAAGTTTTTCTCGTCAGCAGTTGGGGGCACAGACTGAACAGACCTGCCGCACTCCCATGGAAATCACACTCAACTACCTGGGAGCATTTCAGCAACTCGATAACACTGTCGAAACGGATTCCATGTTCCGTCTTCATGACGAAGCTCAATTGCAGGCCCGTTTGTCGGATCTGAAGCTTCAGCAGCGAGCCAGCTCAACCAGATACAGCCTCATTTCTGTCCAGTTCAGACAGACAAAAGAGAAACTCTGTGGAGAAATCACATGGAATTCAAAGATGGATCGGCAGGATGATTTGTTGGCGTGGGCCAACCTTTTCGAGAGACTTTTGAGTGACATACAGCCAATGAGTACGAAGACGACACAAAGTTTACTCGGCGAGAACCATCATGCCGAATTTGCTCAGCGCTCTGGGCCTATGGTGAAGCCTGCGACGACGCATACGAGTCCGGAGACTGCAGATCGAATTCTCAGTTTTGCCCATGATCGATTGGGGCTTGGCATAGAAGACATCGAACACATATACCCGTGCTCGCCGATCCAAGAAAGCATCATGGTTTCCCAGCTCAAAACCCAGCACGAATCTGCTCTTGATGTCTATGAGCAACAGTTCCTGTTCGAGGTGATTCCATCGGATGCATCGAGCAAGATCGACATTTTTCGGCTTCATGAGGCATGGCGGGAGATTGTCCGACGACATGCTATCATGCGAACCATCTTTGTCGAGGATAATTCCGGGTTTTTCCAAGTCGTGTTGAGGAGGCACTCACCTGATGTTCAAGTCATTTTTGCGCATGAAGATACCACGACGGATATCCCGGGGCTACAGAGCATGCGGCAGGAGCACCGGCTCAAGCACCCATTATCTGGCTCGGTTTTGCACAATCTCACCATAATCGAGCGGCCGTCCACTGAGGGCGCGTCGCGTGTGTTCTGTAGGCTCACGAAAAGCCACCTAATATCGTGCGGCTATACGTCGCGCCTCCTGATCAAGGACCTCTTGGAGGCATACGACGGGCGCGATGGGCATCCACGTGGGAAGTACTCACAATTCATTGAATACGTCTTTCAACAGGACATTCAGGAGATGACCAAGTGGTGGACCGAATTTCTGGAGGACGCAAGTCCTTCCATACTTCCTCGGACTCTTAGAAACCCACCTGAAGCCAGAGACAAGCCGAGCGCGCGCGCTTCAAGCAGCACCAAATTCCATCGTGTGGGTGCGGCTATCAAAGACAAACAGTCGCTCACCTTCGCCTGCCAACAACATGACTTGTCGTCAACTTCAATCATGTGCGCGGCCTGGAGCATCACACTGAGGACATATATGGGCAACCCGGATGACGTGTTATTCGGTTTGATGTTCTGGGGCAGAGAACTCCCCATACCGGAAGCGCACGACATCGTGGGCCCGATGATAAATATGCTTCCAGCACGGGTTCATTTCAAATCAGGCATGACAGTGAGAGAGGTATGCCACACCTTCCAGAGGAGCTACATTGAGCAACTGTCGAGACAGACTGTGCCATTGGGCAGGATTCAAAATGCCGTCGATTCACTTCGCGGCCGCGGTCAAATGTTCAACACGATGATCAACGTGCAAAAGGTCAGAGGAGTCCGAGATGATCAGGATCGAAAACAAACTCGTGCCAAGCTCCTCTTGTCACACGATACAACCGAGTTTGATGTGGTACTAAGTGTGACCGAGACAGAGCATGGGATGGACATGTCGCTTGAATTCCGCGACGACTTCATGTCCCAGGTCCAGGCTGAGAGGCTCCTACAAGTCTTCACCGGCGTTGCAGAAACCATTGTCAATTCTCCGTCCTGCGCTATCGACTCGCTCAACGTGGCCACAGCCATAGACCTGGCACAGCTGCGGGAGTGGAACGGAACACCGGTCACGCTATACCACGGCTGTATTCACGACATGATCCGAGAAAGGGCGAGCTCCCTGGGGCAGGCACAGCGGCCAGCAGTCTCTTCTTGGGATGGGAGTTTGACGTACTGGGAGCTTGAGTACCTGTCCTCGACGCTCGCTTCCATGTTGGTAGCCCAAGGCGTGAAGCCAAGGGGTGTAGTAGCGCTCTGTTTCGAAAAGTCTCTGTGGGCCGTTGTTTCCATGCTTGCTGTTGCAAAAGCAGGCGCGGCTTTCATCCAGATCCACCCAGATTACCCTCTTCAACGTTGCAAAGCCATCTTGGAACAAGCTAAGCCAACTATGGGCCTTGCCTCTCGAACCCAACAGCACAAACTGTGCGGCGTGCTCTCACAGGGCTCTGTCATCACTGCGCCTTGGTCAAACAACTGCCTGGCACGAATACCAGCCACATGGCAGGACATTGGACTGTTTTCGAGCCGAAGTGATCCTTCAGATGTGATGTACATGATCTCGACATCCGGCACCACTGGCACTCCAAAGATGGTCGTCATTGAGCATCAATCGTTCTGCTCCGCAGTCACTTCCAACATGGGGGAGCTGCAGATAAATGCCGAGTCCCGAGCACTGCAGTTTACCGACTACTGTTTTGACGCATGTTTGGAAGAGATATTCACCGTGCTCGTGGCAGGCGGGTGCATCTGCATCCCGTCAGAGACCCAACGCCTATCGGAAATCCCCGGGTTCATCAAGCAACACAATGTCAATTGGGCAGCATTCACACCGTCGTTCATGCGCACAATCCGACCCCAAGATATCGTCCCGCCTGTCAAGTTCATAACTGTACACGCAGAACCGATGAGCCAGGCGGCTTGTTGACGGATGGGCCGGGAGGGTCCAAATAAGGCCGAGCTATGGTCCCTCAGAGTGCTCGGTGACCAGTTCGGTCGGCGCAGACTTCCACCTTGGTTCCAACGCGGCCAACATCGGATGGACCGTCGGATGTCATGCATGGATCGTCAGTCCGGAGAACCATGATATCCTGATGCCGATTGGTGCAGTTGGAGAACTTGTGCTGCAAGGACCCATCGTTGGCCGAGGCTATCTTGACGATGATGCGAGAACGGCTGCATCCTTTATCTCGCCCCCGGTGTGGGCAGCTAATTTTTGGGGAGGAATTTCGGCATCAGATTCCAATCTGGCTCTCAGAATGTACAAAACTGGCGACCTTGTCAGATATGACCCCGAAGATGGCTCGCTGCTGATCCAGGCCCGGAAGGACGCTTCTCAGGTAAAGGTCCGTGGGCAGAGGATTGAGTTGAAGGAGATAGAACATCATTTGGACAGGAGCGGGGTCATTCAACATGGAATTGCAACCGTACCTCGACATGGGGAGCTACGTGGCCGAATAGTGGCGGTTGTGAGCCTCTCATGCCTCGACGGCAAATTCCGCGTGACAAATATGCCGGGGGACCCAAACTACGATACGAATCGGGCCAGCCGCATTCAGCTTGTGAGAACAGGAGCTTTTGACCAAGATGATGCTGAAAAGACTTCACAGTCTGTTCAAACAGCAAAGGAATTCCTCTCGAGACACCTGCCCCGGTACATGTTGCCTGAGACATGGGTGCTGGTGGAGGAGCTGCCAGTAACTATATCGCACAAGGTGGATCGAAAGCTGGTGACGCAGTGGGTCGAGCAAATGGACATGCAGTCACTGGATTCAGTCCACGAACTGAAAGCTCTAGATGGCTGTGACACTCAGGGAGACACACTTGACGAGGAGCAGCAAAAGATTCAATTCGTGTGGGGTCAGGTATTGGGAATCGACCCAGGTATGTTCGTTCCCACTCGCAAATGAGGGACATCTTGCAGTGCAAACAAAACTGACGTGATCATGAAATATAAGCCTCTATATCTATTGATCAGTCTTTCTTCCAGCTTGGCGGAAACTCACTGTCCGGTAAGCACTGCCTTAACTTGCCACCATTTCCATCCTGACTTCAGGAGCTGCTACGCACTCAGTTTTGTACAATATCTGATCAAAGCAACACAGCTATGGACATCAAGCGTCAATGCACGGTCCTTGGGCTTCAACTGTCAACTCAAGATGTCCTGACCATGCCGACCATACGCCAACTAGCCCGTATTGTGAAACAGAAGACTTCAGCCGACTCAGTCTGTCAACAGCAATCGAATTATACTATTGATCGGCATTCACTCAGCTCGAATGTCAAAAACACTTTACACAGCCTTGGTGATAATGTTGAATCCATCATGTACTGTTCTCCGTTCCAGAGGCGCATGTATAAGTCATTTCATTCCAAGGGCCGGATACCATACGTCTACAACAATCTGGTGAAGCTCGACAGGCTGCAAAGTCGCGAATCTCTTCCATCCGAGCAACATGATCGGTCGGAGATTAGTCGGCTGTTGCGTGCTTGGCAGCAAACCATTGACCGGCACAGTATCCTCAGAACAGTTTTTGTGGGCAGTGACTCCACTTATGCTGCGGATGATCAGGTGTGTCAAGTTGTGTTGAAGGGCCTCAAACCCGACAATGCTATCTTCAAGGTGGCTTCGACCGATGATGTTCTGACAAAGAGCCATGACCACCTTGAGACGTTTCGACAAAACGTGTTCAAGGAAAACTCGGCACCACATTCGTTGGCTATCTTAGTGGATGAGAGTGACTCAGGGGCTTTGTATATGCACCTGATACTCAGCCACATGCTCGTGGACCACGTTAGCCTGGCCCATATTATGACGGATTTCGATTTGTTTTACAGAGGCTGTACTGCTGATCTGCTGCCTCCCTGCAAGCCTTTCGGCGAATACATTGCACGAACCATCGCGCCTACCCCACAGCATGGTGACGAAGGAGGTGATACCGTCAAAACATTCTGGCAGTCAGCTTTGCACGACGTTGTGCCGTGCATCCTGGAAAGCCAGCATCTCTCAGGGACGCTATTCCCCACAAGAGACGTTCCCCTGGTGGACAAGCCCGCCCACACAGCCGGCAAGTACATGGAATCGGTCAAGTCCACGTTGGACATCACAGAATCCATGCATCAGTTGTGCCGAGACGCGGAAGTAACCCTGTCCAACCTGCTGCAATTCGCCTGGGCAGTGCTACTACATGTCCTCACCGGCAACCACGCGGTGTGCTTTGGACATCTGGTGTCGGACAGAGACCAGGTTGGTGATGACGAGCTTGAGATCGTGGGGCCTGTCTTGTGCCTGCTGGTTGGGCACGTCGAGTTTTCGCAAAGCTCGGGGACTTTGCTAGATGGGCTGCGTGCTCTTCAGAAGTGCAACGTTGAAAGTATCTCTCACGCATATTCATTTGATTTGACGAGTATTGAAAAGCACCTTGAATCCGAAAGACATCAGTCCGAGTCTCGTGGTTCGGCTGCAGCATCTGGACAAGAATTACTTCCGCCAGTCTTCAACACATTGATCAATTACCGGAAGATCGACTATCATTCTACGCACAATGGCACCACCACGACGAGCTACCCATCAATTTGGAAACAGGACCCACAGGAGGTAAGTCGCCCAGCATATTATGCCGCAGTTTAGCGGTTGGCTCGGCGTCACTCATGTCTAACACCAAACAGCAAGACATCATTCTCTCTTTCAACGAGAGAGGTGACTCCAAGCTCGATGCCGAAATCACTTATTATACCGGCATGTTCAATGATGCATCAATGGGGATCCTGGTGGGCAGGTATTCTCAGGTCCTTGACATATTATCAGCAGTGCGGCCGGATTCGATGGGGGTGGTAAAGGAGGCTCTATCAGGTCTTGTAGAGTAGTGAGATTTGCTGTAGCTCCATGCAGTCTACCAACAGTTGTTCCAATTTGCGCTCAGGTCCGGGATTCAACGGTAGACCAGCGGCTTTTCATCAACATGAGAGGGAAGTGGTGGTCTTTTCCTTTCTATTTACCCGAATTCTACATTGTAGTGCCATCGCTCATCGTACAAGACTTCTGTTCATGCCCTACCAAGTATACCCTGTCAGCCTTTAATGTCTGCGGTGATACCAAAGGATTCGTTTTGACTCGACCCCGAATGTTCCAGGACGTGAAAACGGAGCTTCATCAAAAGAGGGTTGTTGAGGGCTCGCTGATGAATCTCTGAGACTTCCCTTGGAATCTTCTGTTTGTTAAGAGCCACGGGAGTAAGTTGTTGGCCATCAAGAAACTGGGGCAGCATTTCAGAGGGTGTCCTCTTCCAACAAACCCATCATCTGCTGATTGCTGTGGAACCAACCACCAAGCAGCATGCCTTGTTGCAGCATGCCTTGAGCATTTACGTCTTGGTTGGACATCTGTACTCCCTCTAGCCCTGAATAGTCTTGCATGGTAACAGAAATACCAGTCCCTGCTAAAGTGGACCCTTCCGTACCATCGCCGTCCTGCCTGACGTCCATCAATCCACCTGGGTTGAACCCTAGTGCGGTGAGATAGGCATCGAATTCTCGGCTGACTGAAGCCTGCTCCTGATTTTGCTTGACCTCGACATATTTCAGAGCAACATTATACAGAACATTGAATAGCCGGTGAATACGTGCGGTCGCCTCGGAGGTTTTCGACAAGGGTTCAAAAGAGGCCAGACAATCGTGGAGTCGGTTTAGATCGCTCATGTCACTTGTCTCGATGACATGACAGAATATGACAATGAACGGGTTAAACGGGTTATAATGAATCGTCCTATTTGTTCTCTTTTTCAGCCTTGAATGCTATTATGTTCAATGTTCATGAGAACGGCTAGACTTACCAATGCAGATAAAGCACCTGGACCTGTGAATCATAGGGTTTTAGATGCTGCACACACTCTTCATGCCTTTCGAGGGCCAAACGTGCAGTTTCAACGCACTCTGGTGTAAACGTCGACGCGGAGCCTGGCGGAGAAGGGATTGCTCGATAGAGCAGTGTCAAGACCGACAAGTTTAATACTTTATCCATCATGAGCATCTGCCGGCCACGTCAGTGCTTCTGCGGATCCTCGGTTGATTGCATTTAAGAGTGTTCCAACACATGAAGGATGGGAATGTGTGACTGGTGAAAGGTGGTGCTAACCAGTTGATAGGTGTCGATATCTATTGTAGTAGCCCATTCGAGATGGTCTTTAGACTGTTTCTAATATAAATAATTAGTCATTATCAATTGGTTTCAATATTGTATAACCTAAGTCCAATGAAAAGGAATGACCAGGCTAAAATGATGGAAAGAATTGCTAGCGACATTGGCTGTGAGGGTTCGTAAGACAATACAGCTCTGATGATTCCTGATTGGATAATATGAGCTGTCAATACTCACATTTACTTGTTCACTACGTTGCATGACTGCCTTGACCTCATCTGCCATGGCCTTTACCCGGGCCCGTCGAACCTGGTCTGACTGCCTTAGAGCCGCAGGACTGTACAACTCCTCATAGGCGCGTCCTTGGATCCGGGCGACATGAATCCATGATACGAAAGTGAGGTCTGAAAATGACCAGGGCTCGGGACCCGGGTTCAGAGAAGGATTCGGGGGTAATACAGTGATATCCTGTAGACGGTGGCATGTTAACGGCGTCCTCATGATGAAATATGTCCTCGTACCCTCGTATCTACGCGATCGGGGAGTTCTCACATAGTCAGGAAGATTTGAAGGACGACCAAGACGGAGTGAAAGGGCCTTGTCTATCACATAAGTGGTCCAGAAGAGCCATTGATTCCGATTCCGAAAATCGTTGTTTTGGTTCACGACATGATCCCGGTGAAGGCCGAGGCTGAGACATCTTTGCGCTGAGGCTGAGCAGAATGACCAGGCCAGGGACGGCTTGGAGTTGTCGACAGCGTAGAAGGCCTGTCACGATCTCAGTGAGTAGCTCAACGCGGGCGGGAACGCCACCTCTTACCGCCATAATTAGAGCTTCTATGTGGTCCTGGTCGCTTGGCAAGTTGAATGGAAGTGTCGACAGACTAGTCTCAAGGTTTTCGCGACACAACAGTCCTTCTTTGACCAAGTCTTCCCGGCGGAGGTGACTACCCAGCTTTTGATCGGGCACCGCGATGGTAAGGACATTGAACAGCCAATAGAGACCGATGCTGACGATTATGTACTCTGCTTCCGAATACTCAGATGAGAACAACACTTTGATGGCACGAGCAGTGAAGCTATCAATCGACATAATGTTGCATAACCATAGATAATTGAGACGGAAGTTGTCTGTGGTATCAGTTAATTAGTCAGTGTCTTAATGGACAATAGCACAACGATGCCCACAGGATTGCTGTTACAGAGGTAGCTGCTAACCCTTTGCAACACTTATACTGGCCATTGCTGTAGTCGCGTTTGGAAGCGATCGTGCGAATGGCTGGGAGGGCAAGGGGCTTCTGGCGTGTGGGAAAACGGCCTCTCTGGTGTCAGTGTGCGTTTTCCGGGCGTGGACCAGAGAACGAAGTGCGCCCAAGGTCTCATCCATTTCAAGCCGGAAGTCCTGCAGTGGTCCGGCATGCAGGGCCTGCTCAAGAAAGTTGTTGGCGAAGTCGTACTGCGCGGCCATAGACGACTCTCCAACGAAGGCAGGGTCGGAGGTGTCGGTGTGTGTAGTCGGGGGTCCTCGCACACAACTATAGCTCGAGGTGGAAGCCGGTATGGAGGCTGGGGTGGGAACGGAGCTACTCGGAGTCTGTTCGTGGTTGTGCGGAAGAAGGACTTTGGCCTGCCTGTCAGAGGCTTGGGGCGGCGGTTCCACTTTGAGGTTGCCGAGCAGGTCAACCAAGCTTGCGAGCCTTTCCTCGATACGATCAATCTTTCTTTCGCTTTAAATCATAGATGTGGTTAGCGAGATGCAGACGAGACGAGCCTTGAGAGATGATCTAATGCTTAAAATAATCTTACTATTGGGGGGATATGAGTATTCGCTGCCGTTGTGGGCGTTTGCTTTGGGGAGCCGCGTAGATACATGTCACCTGAGAGCGAACACAGGTGGAGCATGGCTGGCCCCTATCACAACCAACCTATCCTCCAGAATGCCTCGTTAGCCGCAGTTGGGGAGTTGAATATGCTGTGGCAGAAATATTTGAATGAAAATCTGTATGTAAAGATGCCATAGTGGGGAGTTACCTTGCGTGAGCGGCATGGTTCACACTGCGACCAGATATCATTGTCAGCCTGGAAGCCCCTTTAGTGGAATACAGTCTGTACATCACATTGGTTGGATTGATGACGAGTGGGCACCGGCAAAGGCGAGGTGCCCAAGTGCACACGTATGTAATCCAATAAATACCTACCGCACGCCGGCTCCTGGTTTCCGGCCCCAGATCTCCGCCAGCCACATCACTATGCGCAATTACACCGGACATTTCGGCATGGCTGCTGAGATTTTCATCCTCCCCGCCCATTTGAGCCGTTCTCGGTAGTCGGATCGCCAGCAGCGGAAATGTGCCCGGTTACGCCAGTGTCGCCCAGTACGCGTAACATTGAAGGTTGGGTGTCCTGCTGTGCGCCCGGTATGCACCTAAATCCAACACGTTACAAAACAGGGGTCTTCGGAGGCGGACCAGACATAGAACACAAGAGGGGGGTCCTTCAGGAATGTCTGAATGTGGGTGACCCTTTGGCAGAGAAGAGGCAAGAAGAGCACCGAGCATTGACTCCGACGGACCAGAGCTAGCAGCCCGAGGGGTGCGAGCTCCGAGCCTCCCTACTCCTCCTTGGTTTAGTCAGCCGCGTCAGCGAACAGACCCCAGTGCCCAGGTGGCCAAGCACTCGGAGGCCGAGGGCTCCTGATACATGTGATCTGGATTAGTATAGCCGCAACTTACGTGCGAGTCCGCCGAAAGAAGTAGCGGCGTGGAAGACTTGGCTTCCGTGGCAGATCTTGGTGCATATGATTCGGATCGATATTGGCCCACATGTATGTCAATTGTTTCGCGATCTTTAGCATGCCTGGGCGTGCAATGGTCCCGCCCCAACTATATACCGGTAATGCATTCCTGTGTCCATTTTCATCACTCTCATGGACTTGTTTATCAAAATTTGTTTCGTCCTGCCATAAAACTTCGAAAAGGTGCCAGCAATAATTACTGCTCATTTGTGGCATGAGCCTGTTTGTTCCATCCAAGGCTTCCCCCCAAAATACTACAACCTCTCCAGTTTTCACGATGGCAGACGGCTCTTTGCCAATCGCGGAAGAGAAGCACGCCCAGAGGCCAGGATTAAAGACGCCGGTCGAGCCTGCAGATCAGTTTTCAACCCGACCTGACGGCCAAGGTCTCACAGTAACCGCCGGCGCAGCATATTTCCGAATCTTCACCTATGCTGAGCCAATACATATCGTCCTGGAGGCAGTGGCCTTCCTCGCTGCTTTTGGATCCGGAGTTGGCCTGGCTCTCGTCAACCTCGTGCTCGGTGATTTCGTCAGCACATTGAGTAATTTCGTCGCAGGCCGAAGTTCAAGAGACGAATTCCTGGGCGATGTCACAACATATTGCTTATATTTCGTCTACATCGGAATTGGTAGGCTATTTCTAACCTACGTGTACACGACCCTTTCGAACTATTGTGGCTACCATATCGTCCGAAACATTCGACGACAGTATCTGAAATCAGCTCTCAGTCAGGAGGTTGCCTTCTACGACCAAGGAACAGCTGGATCTATTTCGATGCAAGCTACGTCAAATGGGAACCTGATCCAGTCTGGCATCGCAGAAAAGCTCGCCCTGCTCGCTCAGTCCGCAGCAACTTTTGTGGCTTCTTTCATTATAGCATTCGTCAGCCAGTGGAAGCTGACCCTGATTCTTCTTTGCATTGCTCCTGCCCTTATCATTCTGATGGGGGTTGTTGCCTCAATGGAAGCCAAGATTGAAGGCCAGATGCTGGACATCTATGGAAAGGCAGGTGCATATGCCGAGAGCGTCCTGTCCACGGCAAGGACCGTACACGCTTTTGGCCTTCGCCAAAGGCTCGTTGCCCGCTATGCTACCTATATTGCGCATGCAAGGAGCCTAGGTGACAGAAAGAGTCCCCTTTATGGCGCCCTTTTCAGCATCGAGTACTTTGTGGTCTATGGTTCGTGACCCTCTTCAATATCGCATCATTCTGTCGCTTATCTCCTGGACCAATATACTGAAACACATCAGCTGGGATGGGCCTGGCGTTCTGGCAAGGCGTCAGGATGTTCGCCAGCGGGGAAGTGGATTCCCTAGGAACTGTATTCACGTGAGTCCGGTCCATTGCGCAAATTCTTCCATGCACTATTTGCCCAGGTGGTTGTCATAGCTTATAAAACTTGAATAGCGTACTTCTTTCGGTCATTGTAGCCGTCCTCAACATCACCATCATCGCTCCATACACTGTCTCCTTCCAACGAGCCGGGGCTGCCGCCGCTCAGCTGTTCACACTCATCGACAGACCCTCTCAGATAAATCCTTTTCACGAAGGTGGTGAGCGGCCCACTAAAACTCAAGGAGTCATCGAGATTAAAAACATCGGCTTCGAGTATCCTACGAGGCTAGGTGTGACTGTGCTCGAGGACTTTTCGTTGCACGTCCCAGCTGGGAAAGTGACTGCGCTTGTGGTAGGTAGCTTTGATCAAATGGAGAGAAAAGACGCTGAATCATGCCACAGGGAGCTAGTGGGTCTGGCAAGTCGACCATTATAGGTCTACTTGAAAGGTGGTACATGCCTCGCTCAGGAACCATCGAGCTTGATGGACGAGCAATCGAGAGCCTCAACCTCAATTGGCTCCGCACCAACGTACGCCTTGTCCAGCAAGAGCCGGTACTTTTAAACGGAACTGCTTTCGAAAATATCGCAAATGGCCTGGTTGGAACTCCTTGGGAACATGCAACCCTCGAGGAGCAACAGAAAAAGGTCGAGCAAGCCGCCCAATTCGCCTTTGCTCATGAGTTCATCTCGAAGCTGCCAGAAGGCTACAACACGCGCATTGGTGAGCGGGGCGGCCTTCTCAGCGGCGGTCAGAAGCAGAGATTAGCAATCGCTAGAAGCATCATCTCAGAGCCCAGCGTTCTCCTCCTCGATGAAGCTACCAGTGCTTTGGACCCGCACGCTGAGGACATTGTCCAAAAGGCGCTCAATAACGTTTCCAAAGACCGGACTACCATCGTGATTGCTCACAAGCTTGCGACCATCAGGGAAGCCCACAACATCGTGGTCATGTCAAAAGGACGTATTCTCGAGCAAGGGACTCACGACTCGCTCCTGGCTGCTGACGGCGCTTACTCTCGTCTCGTTCACGCACAGAACCTGAACTCTAGTGCAGCCGACACAACTTCGACCTCTGACGAGGAGGATGAGATTAAGATAGAGCAACAAACAGAGAACGAACTCTCTCAGTCGATCACGCGGTACCCGACCGCCGACAGGCTACGATTGCACCGTCTCGGTGACCGGGACAACTATGAGAATTTCAAGCAGAATGGCCTTTTTGGGGTAATATTCTCAATGGTGTGGACTACACCGGAGCTGAATAGGATCTACGCGGCTATGATTCTCCTTTGTCTCGTAGCAAGTAAGTCAGAATATGTTCCACGGTTGCGTACGTTGGCAGAACTAACGACTGCTTAGGTGGCGTGTTTCCGGGACAAGCAGTGCTCCTAGGCGGAGTGATGGACATTTTCCAACTCCCCTTGGACGAATTGCGTGGACGCGGAGATTTTCTAGCCCTTATGTTCTTTGTGATGGGCATAGGATGTTTCATCGTCTACTTCTCACTGGGCTGGCTCACCAACATCGTCGCGCAAACACTGAATCAGAAGTTCAGGAAGAACATGCTGGAATCCATGCTTCGCCAAGACATTGAATTCTTCGACAGGGCCGAGAACACCGTTGGCGCGCTGGCGGGCCGCCTAGATTCCCACTCTCAAGCCATCACCGAGTTAATGGGGTTCAACATCTCCCTCGTCGTCATCGCAATGATTAGTGTCACCGCCTCTAGTATCCTCGCCATCGTGGTTTCTTGGAGACTTGGGCTAGTCGGGGTTTTCGCCGGAATTCCGCCCCTACTAACCAGGGCTGCCGCTCACTACACTCAATATAATCAATATAGTATAGTACATGTAAATAAGCCCACTACACCCCATTATACTAAGAGTATTTTAAAATTTATTATATTATATTAAAAAGTCCAGTATATATAATATAGTAGGTTTTAATATAAAATTATTAAATTTTTAGGGTTTTAAATAGCTATAATTAAGTTTATAAAGGTTAATTATAAACCTTATTTTACGCCTTATAAAGCATATATTTAAATTATTAATATGCTTTATAAGGCATATATTTATATATATATAAGCATTATATATTTTAATAAAGTTTGCTAGCTGCTATATAAAAGGCTTTAAATAAGCTTTAAAATATAAATATAGTTTTAAAGTATTAAAAGCTTTAAAATATTAAAAGCTTTAAGGTATTATTTAGGTAATTTATTAAAGCTTATATTTAAAAAGATATAAAGCTAATTAAAATACACGCCTTTTTAGGTATAAATATAAACTACTTTAAATTAAAATAAAATTATAATTTATAACCTATTATTTTTAAATTTTATTTATAAAACTAATATTATATTATATTATATTATAACTTTTATAAATATTAAAAACTTTTATTTAAGGCTTTTATTATTATATCTATATATTTTAAAATAAAAATTAAATATAATTATTATTTCCTACTTATTTATGCATTTTAATATATTATTATTATTTAAAAATATAGCTATTAAAGCTTTTAATAATGCACATAAATTTTACCTTTATATATATATTATAAATTACTATTAATATACTTATAGAGTTTTAAATGGCCTAAAACGTTATTTAGGCTATTATATTTAAAATATAGTAAGCCTACTTTAATAATATGCCACCTAATAATATAAATATTAAATATATTTAAAACCTATCTACTATTTACTTTTTAGTAGTTAGCTTATTCTATTAAATAAATATATATAAGTTTTTTAGTTTTAAAAATTTTATTATAACTATAATTTAAATTGCTAGTTATATTAAAATATTTATATACTAAAAGTATATTAATAATTATAATTTATAATTAGGTTATATAATTAACCTTATTATAATTAGTTTTTATATAAAGTTTTTACACACTATTATACTAATTGCACATATAATTATAAATTTACTAGTTATTAATAATCTATTAGCCTAGTTTTTACTTTAATAAATTTTATTACCTAAATAATATACTTTTTTAGCCTTTTAATTTTTAACCTTATAGTAATTCCTTTTTTTTCTTTTTTTTTTTTTACTTATTCCCCTTTCCCTTTTCTCCTCTTATATTAATATTTACCTAATTATAAAAAAACACTTTTAAAAGGCTTTAAATATATTAATACTAATAAAATTTATTTAATTTAAACATTTTTAAATTACATTTTTATAGCTTATAATAAAGTTAAGGCCTATAAAAGCTAAAATTTTATAAAAAAAAATTCTTTTAATAATATTAAAATGGGCAATATAAAGGTTAATAAATTTAGGTTTTTTAAGTTTATTAAACAAATTTCTTTATTTAAAGAAATTATTTTGCTAATAACTTCTATTAATATAAGTATGGCGCTACTATTTTCCTCTTTAATAGGTATAAGCTTAAACTTAGGGATTTTTAAGGGAAAAAAGTTAAAAAATAAACTTTTAAAGGTAATATTTAAAAGTAATATAGCCGCCTTTTTATATAAATAGGGCCAGTAAAATTATATTTAAATAACTAAAACCCTAATTTTTTTATTTAAAAATATTTGCCATTACTTTTTTTTAATAAGTTTTAATAAAAAGGCTTGCCAGTTTAAATAATACTAACAAGTAAAGTTTTTATTAAATATAAATTTGGCTAAATAAAGTTTTTAATATTTTACTAATAATAACCTAAATAAGTTTTTTAATTAAAATATATAATATAAGTAATAATAGCCTTATAGCTAGTATATATAATATATTATATTTTTTTTTAATTATTTTATAGCTAATATATATAATATATTATATTATTTTTTTAATAATAGTTAATATTTAATATTTAATAGCCTAGTTAAAAGATTTTATTTTGGCCCATTAAATAGCAATTTATTATACTATTTTATTTATAGGATATATAAAGAATTAAGGCCCTAAAAGTTAAAATTATATTTATATATAATAGGATTTACTTGCTATTAATATTTTACTAGATAATTTTATATACAAGGTATATTATAAATTATAGATTATATATGCACGCCTTATAAGGTATATAAGTAATTTAAGTATGCGCCTTACAAGGTATAAGAATAATAATATATTAAATATTAAAGCTATAAGAGTTAAAACTATATTTATAGAATCTATTTATTATTAACATTTTGCTAAATAATTTTATATATAAGGCATATTATAAATTATAAATTATATATATACACCTTGCAAGACATATAAGTAATTTAAGTATATGCTTTATAAAGCATAAAAATAATAGTATACTAAATATATAAAAACTAATTATAAAATAAAATAAAGTAAAAACTATTAAAATTTAATTAAATTTATATATAATTATTTTGCTTATATTATAAAGTTAGTACGCCTTATAAGGCGCATATTTAAATTATTTTTATACTTTATAAGGCGCAATAATAAATTAAATTATATATATATTAACTTAAGGCCTAAAAAATAATTTCCTATAAATTATTAAATATTCCTTATTTATTACTTAATATATATTTAATTTTTAAATAATATAGCCTATTATTAATATTATATTATTAAAAAAATAGCCTATATTAAAGCTATTTTAAAATATTTTTTTTTAGGTTTATTTTTTAAAATTTACTAAATTTTAGCGCTTTAAAAAGCCTTAAAGTTAGCCTTAAAAGTATAGCTTTAATATTAAAAGTTCTATAAATTAAAAGTATAAATAGGTTTATTGCTATTATATATAAAAAAAGTTTTTTAAAGTATTTTATAATTATATTAAAGGGGGTTTTTAAAATATTAAATTCCATTTTTAATTAAACTATAAAATATAAAATTAGTTTAAAAATATATTAAGGCCTATAAAGGCTAAAATTTAAAACCAATTTATATTTAAAATATAAAATATTACTAAATTTTAGTAGCTAAATACTACTAATTTAAAAAACTAAATAATTATAAGCAATCTAATTGGCAACTTTAATAAAAACGTTTTTTAGTAAAAACTTTTATGCCTTATTATTATTAAAAACCTCCCTTTTTACTTTATTAAATTTTAAGCCTTATATATTATATTTAAATATTTAAACCTTTTAGTTGTAAAAATAAATGTAATTTTTAAACAAACCTTATTATAATTAAAGCTTATTACTATATATAATAAGTTTAAATTTATAATAATTAAGGTTTTATAAAATATTTAAAAATAATTTATATTATATTTAATAGCTAGTATTTAAATAACTAATATTTTATATATAATATTATAATATTTTATTTTAATAAATTTATATACTTATAAAAGCTTATTTTAATATATTAAAACTTATTAGCAATTATATTAAATAAAATATTATATTATATATATTTAAGGTTTTATAAGTATTTAAAATTATAAATAAGGTTGGGTATTTTATTTTAAATAATATAAGTAATAATAATATAATAATAAAAAACTAGGCTAGCTTTTAATATTAATAGCCCTAAATGTTATATTTATTATTTTAAATATATTATTAATTTGGTTATAAGTACTTTATTATTTGGAAATAATATTGTATTATTTAAAAACCTTTTAATTTAAATAATATAAATGTTAAATTATAATATGTAAAGTGGTAAAACTAGCTTTATTATTAAGCTTATAGTACTTATTATTATTATTTATTAGTCTAATTAACTAACTAGTTGGTTATATAAAATTTAAAAGAACTTTTATAAATAAGGATAAAATAAACTTTATATATTAAATAATATTAGAAGTGGTTATATATATTTTAATATGCTAGCTATTTATATTTATTATTATTTATTAAGTTATTAGGCTTTATTTATTCTTTTAATATTATAGTAAAAATAAAATAACTATTAGTAATATATTATTTGCTGCTATATATTTTAATTTAAAATACCCTTTTATTTTTATAAAAATAAAGTTAATAAAAAGAAATTAGAATATAATTATAATTATAAGTAAAGTTTTTAAGGATATTAATAATATGCTTAAAGTATTTAAGGGTAATAGCTAGATTTAAAAATAAAAAAATGGTTTTAAAGAGGTATATAATAGTATTTGGGGTGTTATTATAGGCTTTAAGTTTTTTTTAAAATGCCTTAAAATATAAAAAAAAGTTATTAAAGGGTTTTTTAAATTAAAATATTTTATAATTAATATAAATTATATATAAAAAAAGTTAAATTTTTATTATGCTAAGCTTAATGAATTATTTATTTATTATATTATAATAGCCCTTTATTTAGCATATTAATGGGCTTTTTTTAAAAATATATAAAATAAGAAAAAGGAGTGAGTATTTAATGCTAAGGCTGTAATATAAGTAATTTAAAAGCAGGAATATAAAAATAAAAATATTATTTTTTACTTAAAGAAACCTATAGCTAAGTAATAAAGGTTTTTTAAATATATATTTAGCAAGTATTAGAATAATTTATATATTTAATTAAGTAATGCCTTTTTATTAAGCTTTTTATTTTTAATATTATTTTTAATAAATTTAGCACTTAAAACTATAAACTATATAGGCTTAATGGACAAGTATTAATATTAGTAATAAAAGATATATTCTATTAATAATAATATTAAGGATTTATTATTATATTAATATAATTAAAGAGGTAAATACCTATATTTGTTATAAATGGCTTTAAATTTTTTTTTTATTGTAGTAATGAGCGTTAAGGTTAAGAGGTTATTTTTATTGTCCTTATATATAGTAATAGCTTTTTAAAGTAGCTTTAAAGCAAATATAATTTCTTTATATTAAATATTATATTTATAGTACTTATAAGAAGTAATTAATATTAGAAAAAAAAATATTATTTTATTTAATAATAATAAAAAAGATTTAAAGTAATAGTTTAAGCAAGTATATAATAAACTATAAGAAAGTTATAATATATTGCCTTTAATAAAAATAGTTAGGAATAAGGACGGGCATATAATAGGGCTAGTAGGTGCGCCTAATAAGGCGTATATATAATTAAGGTATATGCCTTATAAGGTATAGGGTAATTTTATTTAGTTTATTTTTAATTTTATTTATATTATTATAAAGAAATCTTTTAATTATTATAAGTTTATTATTAAAAATTTATATTATATTATATTATTATTTAATATATATTTATTTATATAAATAGTTTATAAATTAATATTTTTCTTTTTATACTTTTTACGCCTTATAAGGCATATATTTAAATTAGGTATGCGCCTTATAAGGCGCACTACTACTCCCCTATATTTATATTTTAATTTTTAACCTACTATATTATATATATTTATATTAAAGGCCTTTATATTATATTATATTTATATTAAAGGCTAAAGTATTTATATTTATATTCCATTGGTAAGCTTAGTGCATGTAGTGTAGTGTATGGCAGCCCTGCTGCAAATTAGTCTCCGAGGGGAGTGTGACATTCTACCAGTTCTTCGTGTCATTCATGGGCATATTTTTTGCTGGGCAGAACGCAGCACTTATGTTTGCGTATACAACAAGTAAGTGTTGAAGCAGTTCGCAAACGAATGAAGTTCTAACAGGACCATAGGCATCACTAAGGGAGCTAACGCAGCAAACTATTACTTCTGGCTTACTCGCTTACAGCCAGCGATTCTCGAGACACCGGAGAATATACAGCATGGACCGGCCAACGGCATAGGAGATATTGAACTTGGTCAAGTCAAATTCACTTACCCCCTCCGGCCTGAACAGAAGGTCCTGCGAGGGATCGATATAACGATCAAACGAGGGCAGTTTGTTGCTTTTGTTGGAGCTTCTGGATGTGGAAAAAGCACAATGATAGCATGTGAGTAAAAGACTGCCGAATCAACTAGCCAGTGAGTGCAGGGGAAATGTTCTAAAATTTGCCGACTAGTACTTGAGCGCTACTATGATGCAACATCTGGTTGCATTCATATAGATTCGGAACCATTGAAATCTCTGAACCCCCTTCTTTATCGTCGACACATCGCACTGGTGCAGCAGGAGCCAACCTTGTATCAAGGAACAGTCCGAGAGAACGTCCAGCTCGGCTTCGAGCCCGGCGACCATGGCGAAGAGGCACTCCCCGACGACGAGATGGTCGAAGCGGCACTGCGGGCGGCGAACGCCTGGGACTTTGTCATCTCCCTTCCAGAAGGCCTCAACACACCATGCGGACCCAGTGGATCCCAGCTCTCTGGTGGTCAGCGTCAGCGCCTCGCCATAGCGCGGGCGCTGATACGTGATCCAAACGTCATCCTGCTGGATGAGGCGACCTCGGCCCTCGACACCGAGTCGGAAAAGGTGGTGCAGATGGCACTGACCGATGCAAGATCTACGCGGAATCGTATTACTATTGCAGTGGCGCATCGTCTTAGTACGATTAGGGATGCGGACGTTATTTGCGTATTTTACGATGGAAGAATTGTTGAAAAGGGCACCCATGACGAGCTCTTGAGTCTGGGGAAGATGTACAAAGGTATGTGTGAGGCACAGAGCTTGGATAGATAGATAGATTTCGCATCGAGGGTGTCATGCAGACAAGCAGGATGATGCATAAAAGGCGTTAAGGGACATGCCTATGTAGAGGGTGTGATCCTTCACACTGCTTTACGTCAACAGCTAGTTTCGCTTCTATTCTGCATACGTCCGAGGACATACATATTACCTCGGTAGCGCCTTCATACGGTAGTAAACGCTCAATATCCAACTTCTAAAAGATGCAATGCCACTAACAGTGCGGAGAGAATGCAACAAGTGTGCAGGACCGCGTACAGGCACGTTATGGGCCACATGCCCAAGTATGCGCGTAGCCTCATATGCGAACATCGAACCGCTCTCCGAATTCGCTCAGCTGGCGAACCACTTCCGCGATGCTCGGTCGCTGCATTGCACGCCGAATAGCTTCGCATTGATCAGGATTCCGGCTCCTCTCAATCACATATTTCTCGGCGTCCTCCAGTTCATCAGACCACCATCTCCTTAGACATTGCATAGTCTCTGCATCACTCGCAGGGGTCCCTCCTTGAGCGGGAGACCTGCCCAGCGAGTACACGACATCCCCGTATCTCTCAATGCACCGAAGCTTGCCTGACCACTCGGGAGCGTCGTGGGTACATTGATAAATCAGTTGCTGAATTTCCAATGGTGTGTGTTCGAATTTTGGGAATCTGTATTTGGGATCCCACTCCCTAAAGACTTCAGCGCCCAGGAACTCGGCCGCGTTGGCGCTTGCTTGGACTTCAAAGATACACCATAGCAACCTCCCAAACATGAATACCATAGCCTTTTCCCTTTCCTCCTTGTCGAGCGCGCGCCAGCTAATGTTGTAGCCCGTGTCAGGATTGTCGTATTTCTGCCGTCGCCTTCGGCGGAAACGGTTCCAGTCGGCGAGATATGTGTCGAGGAACCTCTTGTACTTCTCACGGACTTCTACTGGGATATGCCTAGTTGTTGTTAGGCTTGCCAAGTATGCCAGGTGCATGATTTTGTTGATCTCCGGTGGCGACCAGGAAAACCATGCCCCGCGCTGTTCGAAATCGATCAAGACAGCGTCGTATCTCCCGTGACTTTCTTTCAAAACAATATTCTCAAGCTTTACATCTGAGAAGTACCCCACTGGTGAAGAACAGACTCGCAATAATGCTTGTCCTATTTGCATTCCCCATCTGTACTTCGTCTGTAAGTCTATACTTTGTTGAATATCGCTTCCAGGTCGCAGTGCCTGGGCTAGGTTGCCCATGGGATAGTGCTCCAGAAGGAAGCCGCACACCCCTTCTTTGTTGCCAAATTTGACCCTTGAAGTGACCAGATATAGCGGCCCGTTGACGATATTTGGATGTTCACCGAGCAACAGCAGTTGTTTCAGCTCGTGGTACATGTAACTCGTTTGTGACGTGCTGGCCTTGAAGATATACTGAGTACCTGGTGATCCGCGAAGTGAGACTAATGTGATTGAGTCGTGGATTTCGGATATCAGCTCAAGCTCTTCAATTTTGATGTTCGGCGGCCATATCTCAGGTGGAAAATGCCACATGCTCCGCAAATCCTGAATAGAAGACCATTCCAGTTCAGGACGGCGGTCGGGATCGAAACCTATCTCCATCAAGCAAATATCGCGCGAGAGGTTCATGACCACTATTCTGGATCCAAAGGGCAACCCCAGATACTGTTTCTGGAATCCAGGCGTGCGTCGTGTCCAATGTCCGAGAGCGGCCGCCACATGCTTAGCGAGGAGAGACCTTGACGATCCACTTGTCTGAACCATGGTTGAGAGTTTTGACATGAGAGGCTTTGTCCAAGTATCAACTTCGAGGTCAACCTTTGGGCCAAAGATGACATCAACGCGTAGCGGCGGCCGGCCGATAGCGAATACTGGGACCGCAGACATTTTCCCGCTTACGAAGTCGGCGCGGAAAATCTCCCAGTCTGCCTCGCTTTCTTTGACGCTGTTAATTCGATTTTTCGGATTCTTGTTCGACATTTCCCATGATGAGCGAGATCCTCGAGACTCGTGAACCGCTAGATCCGGGGGGATGTGTACTATGGCGGGACCTAGGAGGTACTCAATCATGTTGGGTACTGGCTCCATTGGAGTCTTCAGAATTTCCTAAGTCACTTGGGGAAGGCTGGGAAAAGAAGCACGAGCAAAGCAAAGGGGCGACTTGGTGCGGGGAACGTGGACGGTTTTGTACCTTTACTGGACCCCGCTGGCTGACGGCTGGGGGTTGATTGCCGCAAGAACGCGAAGGACCCGGAAAACTTGACGTAACTGGTCTCGCTTCTATTCCGTATACGTCCGAGGACATACATGGCGCCTTCATACGGTGTTAAACGCTCAAGACAAACTTAACATAATTTCCTAAATACAAATCTAAGCTGTCATTTCTATGGGGTCTTGATTGCCGCTCTGTCTGGCAATATTCGATGCCTAGGATCAAAGTCAAATTTGTGGGAGATTCTCGTGTTTACTGAGACCCGTGTCAACTAACAATCTTTAATTAGTATCGCGCGTATATGGAGCTATTTAGTTTGAGTTGGACGCAAATTGCATCCGAAATATATTCAAATACTTTGCTACCAAGCGTTCAAAAGCTCGTCTGGCAAACATAAAAGACAAAACTCGAGATACAAAGCCGCAGATCGAGGGGAGAAAAGATTAAACAAGCGAGCCTCGACAGTCAATGGACAGGTCATCAAGACTAAATTACATCGTTCATTCATTCACTACAGACGAAGACCAGGAGAGGCGAAGAGAGAGAGACAGTCATCAATGGGAAGTCTTACTCGACGACCCCTGCCCGCCCGACGGGGACTCATAGCCTTCATCGCCCCAGTTACCGATCTCACCAACGGTCGGTGGGACCAGATTCCACCGTTCTCGCAGGCCGTTCTCCCCGTAAATTGTCTGGTGTCCCCTTTCGAGCTGCAGTGGCAGGTTGCAGGCGAGCTCTGGGTTTCGAAGCCAGAGTCTGGCGATGTGCCGCGCATGTTCGGAGTCATCACGGAACTTCTCTCTGGCGTGGAGCAGACCGAGGTTGTTGATGAACATCATGTTACCCCTCGTTGGTGGGACGCAAACACAAGCCTGAGTAGCGACATCCTGCACCGCCATGAGTGCGAGGGCTTGATCCGGTGTCAAATTTCCCATCATGTCGCCAGTCTTCCGGGTGTGTGCTCCGAGGAGAGGGCGGCGGCTGTAATTCAGGATAGCCTTTCTATCTTCCAGGAAGAGGAGGGGCCTGGTGCACGCGGGGAACAGCTCCCCACGACTGAATTGTCTCAACGATCCGGTACGACATTTACCTGACAGCTAGTGGATCTCAATGCGGCTTACCTTTCGAACTTCCAGTCCGGAAGCATGAGCTTCTCCACAACTTCGGGCTGGGCCTGGCAGAGGTTGTTGTAAACCTGCCACGACGAAGCTAGCTTCATCATTCCACCCTCTGCCGGTTCTTCCTGCACGTAGAACGCCAGGATATCACAGTAGAACTCCGCATGGAAAGCCTGAAGCAGGTTAGTCGAGATGTTGCAGCCCTCCACGTTTTCCTTAAGGATAGCTCATTACCGTTGCTTTGTTCGAAGACTTGAGCGAGGCCCCCTGGCGGGAATTCTTTCGAAGATCTTGAACATGTACTGCAAACGCCATTAGTATGCTATCCTATTGTCTATTTTCTCGCCCGGGAAGACGTGGTACCCATCATGCTGCCCGCATTGTCTTGCATGCCGCGCTCCTCGCCGATGTAGGAGGACACTCCGAGAAAGAGCAACGCATTGTCCTCCACGGTATACTTCCGTGGGTCGAGGCCGGCGAGGACGACGAATCCCGTTCCCGCGTGAACAACATGGGCGAAGTCATTCAATTTCTTTCCCAGCGATGGAAGTGGAAAGTTGGTCGGGCTAATGTCGGGTCCGTCGAGGCCATATCCTGGTTTCGTACCTTTTGTTAGTGACGTACCTAGGTAGTGAGCTGCAGCAAAGAACCGGGCACGGGCCAGACTTCATCTGCGAACCTTTGAAGATGTCCAGCGCTCGTTCGATTTCGGCGATTTCAGCCTCTGTAAGCTGGTAGGTATACTGGGAGGAGTTCAAATTACGACCGTCCCAGACCATGTCTCCGGTCATCCGGAGCCTGCTGGTCTCAGCTTTGCGATAGCGGGCGGCTGGGATGTTTTGGACCGGAGCACCATCGTCGAAGATGATGGGAGCCATCGTTTCAGAATGTTCACCGAAAAAAGTGACCCGCTCGCAAAGTTGACTATGATTTGGATTGCTGTTGAATTTGGAAGTGAGAACTGAAACTTTTGTTGGCCTTGGGTTCAGAGCTCGGGTTAATACTCTAATGGGTGGAAGGGCCAGGGATATCAGGCATTTCCACTTGTTGCTCAACTGATCAAAACTGCACTTTCAAACTGCACTTTCAGTACGATATGTATGGGTTGATAAGTATTCTACCCTTTATTGGACACTGATCAAACTATTTGTCCTTGTATGTCCCGCTACCCAGCCGGCTATTGGCCGCCATGCAGGATTAAATTTCGAATTGATCACCACAGTACCTAAGTTTCCTCAGCCAATAGCACCTTTCTATCATTGCTCCTCCGCGATGTGACTGATCACGCACTTGAAGAAGTCACCCACGGCGAATCACGGACGCAGAGGACGAATGAGGGTGCGAATCCTTCCACCCAGAGGAGGTGGGGCGCATTGCGATAAGCGAAGATGACCTACCCATCCCACTCCGCATTGGGCTGCCAGCAGCAGCACCGTATAGCTCAGCCGAGAAATCTGCCCATTAAACATTAGACACGTCGCACGCTGACTAGCTCTCATTGGCTGTGGGTCATCTTACCGTTACAGGCCACCAGACTTGAGTAGGGTTTGGCCGAGCCAGCAATTGAATTGCTGTTGTTGGTGAGAGTGAGCGGGGTTCCCGTCCCGGCATCAGTGTAAACACCGATGCGGCTCTGCTGGGGGTCATTCTGGGTCCCACCGGCGGAAAGACTCCAGATTTGAGGCTGGGTCGACTGTTGAGTAGTCTGCATGGCTGATTGCTAACCTTGGCTGCTCGAGGATTTTGAACTCTTGTTGAATAACGAGCATAGAGCACAATAAAGATTGTACTTCGCGTTTACTGATGAGACTTCGGGTTGCACCTTCAACGACTGTACTAGCTTTACTTATACATTTCATTCTGTCTCATATTGGATGTGACGCCCATTCAAACCTTCAAGCGGACGCCGTGTATGAGCAAATTAGTCGATAAGTATCCGAACGATGGAGCCGTCGACGAGCAAGTCGACGAGCGATCAAGAGGTCGATAAGCGGTGCAATGAGCAGGGGTACAGGAGCGATGAGCAGAGCGATGAGCCAGGGTCCAAGAGCGATGAGCTGGGCTGGGGTCCAAGAGCGATAAGCGGGGGGCTATGTCGGTCAACGCCACAAAAGGATTCAACATTGAAGTATGGCACGTAATAAACAGACTTTTTGTCAACCAGATTTATTGTCAAGTATTGCTCCAAGATTGTGTGCATTAGACTATAAAGGGAGCAAGGTTTCTATGTACTCTTGATGAGATCTCCAGGAATCTTGGCTCATTCTCTGGGTTTAAAATTCCGTTCCGACAAAAATGCGCCACCCATTGTATGCCCACGATAGGTTTGAAATCGTCTTTGAACAATTGATCCATGACTTCCGCCTCGCTCATCCTAACAAAACAAGACACCTCCCCATCGTTTGGTTCTGGGACAAGATCTGCGGGCAACTCCATTTCAAAGACATGCAAAGCATGCGGTATGGAGAGCGGGTTATTCAAGAAGCTGTAGTCGAGATGATAGGAGATCACCCCGCAATTTTTCAGATGTGACAAGGAAAACTCCACCGGGATGTTGGCTTCTTCAAACGTTTCTCTGGCCATCGCATCAAGGGGTTTCTCGCCGAGCTTCATACCCCCGCCAGCCATCGTGTCGAGCTTCCCGGGATGCATGCGCTTCTTCATGGACCGTCTCTGAAGCCAGTATTGCCTGCCTTGCGATGTGGGATTCCATGCAATCAGGTGCACGCCAAATGAGATGACGCCAAAGAGCTGACTTCCTAGGTCGTTCATGTTGAAGACGTGCTCACCCTCATGCGTGTAGACGGGAGTCGGGTCTCCTCTCCAGCACAGCTCTGGGATTTTTCCCTGCTTCTGCGCGATCGAGATTGTGGCATCCACGAGTTTGGATCGCTCCTCGAAGGCATTGTGATCGTTTAGAACGCAGAGGCGCAAGGTCCGGGCTTCGGAATCGATGGTCCAATAGTCAGGCCAGTCGACTCTCTCAATGATAGAGTGGTGAACGTATCCCAAGGGCTTGGAGTACCCATCGATGATGAAGTAGAAGTAGTCTTTCATGAACTCCTGATAGGCCGCAGGGTCATTTGCATAATATGGAAAGCTTTTTTTGGAATCAACATCTCTTCTCATCTGGACGCGTGTGGCTGTTCTCGTACCTGTCAATCTTGTCCACGATTTCCAAGAAACTGAGTGCCATTTTTCTTGGGGGTTCGAGGAACGTCGTCCGAAAATAGAGCAAGAATGTTCAAATCAACCCCTGTGGCTGCCTTACTTCGTCGACTTGATCAGAACTCGGTTCTCTGTTGGTTGGTAGCAAAAGTACAGTTCAATTGGCCACGACTTCTTCAGCAAGCCAACAGCCGGCAACTATTTCCGCCCCCCCCTGCACGACAGAATGAGGGCATTTGAACCCAGAAGGCCATCCGACCGCATTCAGCACGCGGAGACGCTCCCATTTTGAGTCGTGGGGTACCGAAGTGGAAGACGTACAGCGAAGCCGAAAGACTCCACACGAGTCTGATGAGGTCAATGCCCATGTGCATGAAGTGTCGACTGAGCCGCAGGCGTGTGAGTGACTTTCCTAAGAGCATGCTAAGTTACAGTCACGACCAGCTCACCGTTGTCGTTGTGGGTTAACAATGTGTATTCGACCCCAACAATCCGACTGGGCCTTGTTTGCCCTGCCAGAAGGTTGTGTTCAACACCTTCAAGCTGCCTTGTCTTCGATACAAGATCACGGACTGTTCCCTGTATAGAACGGTTTCCAACGACGCCTTCGAGGCTGCACACATGCGAACCAGACAGAGATTCGGAGATTTCCACCTGCCCAAAATATGGGTCGGTGACGAGAATGAGATGCGCACCTTCGCTCTGGGCCAGCGGCGTGGTACAACTCTGAATCTGAGGGTACGACAATTCGAACCCCCGATAGAACCAGACGAGTCCACAAGGGATTCCAAGGGCATTGGCGGCAAGGGACGAGCTTACTATTCCATTCCATGGGCCATCAATGATCGCAACCCTTGACGAAGCTATCAAGGCTGTGAACGATTTCGTCGATGAGAGCACGCTTCCCTACATCGATCACCTAATTGGCGACTCAAGACCCATTGTGTCCACCGTTTTCAGAGAGTCCCGCCGTCTTGCATACGGGCAAAATCCAGGAAGCCTCCCCTCCTACGCCTGATATATACCATCTCCTAGATCATTGGCTCGCTCATCGATTAGAATGTCCTCGTCCGTCAAGCCCTGCGCCTATGGGTAGTGGCTCGATTCTTGGAAGGAGGTTGGAGGTGCGCCGGCGAGGATATGCTCGGCGCCGAGAAAATGTCGCCTTCATGGCGCACAAAAGACAATATCGCGTTGCCCCCGTATATCGACTTCCAGTTCTCCGCGATTATCATGGAGAGGATTCTCGGGCCACTCAGCCGAGACGTGCTAAAGGGCCTGGAGAACCTGGTTTTGAAGAACCAAGCCAAAAAATGGTTCACGATCTTCCTCGTTGTCTTCATTCTCATGCATAGCTATGAGCTCATCCTGCAGCATGAAGTCGCTTTCACCACAAGGCGGCTGTATCCTGTGAGCCCCGCCATCGTAGACAATCTATACCTATGTAGGAACATGTCATGCTGACCCCCTCCAGGACAAGTACTACGACATGAAACTCATCCGAGGCTACCAATCCGGAGCAAAGACTCTTGTTGCCCATTTTCATTACGTGAACAAGGGCAACATTCCATTTCAACCCCAATTCGACTGGAACTCCCCGATCAACAAACATATGGCAGACCTGTCAGAAGACGAACTTTGTACGGTCACTCAGATATCACACGAGGTTTCCGAGAAGTGTAAGTGGCCGTCACTCGTGTCCGCAATGATCATGCTGCTGCTGCTTCGTGAGTCCGCTAATTAGTCGGGTCAATAGCCGAAGGCCTAGAGAGCGCGAGTACTACAGACAATTACGAAGAGCCATTCTGGTTTGTTGGGCAGGTCTTCGACAAGAGCTGGGACCCTCGAATCACGTGCGAACATTCGCCTCCCCTCGAAGCAAACAACGAAAGTTGATCGTGTGTCCTTGGCGAAGGACGAGAATTTCCAAAGTTGGTGGTGACCTTGTTCAGTTCCAAGGTTACTTACTCGTATGCGGGCTGCATACGAGCGCCTTCGAAAGTCCCTATGAAGACTTGAATCAGTTGCAACATGGATGCTTGCCCTGCTAGGTTATTTAGCAATGCAAGGCGGTGTCACCATTAATAAGGAAGGGTTTGTAGAATGTTTCTTCAACACTTCTACTATGTAATTGATCAGGAAGTTCAGAGGCATATGTAGTGGAAACAAAACTAGATAACCGGGAAAGGATATACCGATGGGTCAATCTTGTGGGCGTGGAGCGTGGGCCGAACCAGGGTTTGGGCCGAATCCCCGCTTTGTCGCATTGAGCGCAACGATGTTGCCTCATGGCTGGCATCCTCATTAGTTCCCCCGCAATTCCAGCAACTCATTCGAAAAGATTAAATATCTAGGTATATGAGTGAGGAATGGTTTCCATCAAGCACATACGGCCATAGATACAGGAAAATACGGGATCCCGTCCGCTCTCCCATAGTCAAGCCTGTGATCGCTGGATTAGTAGTTGGGTCGGTGACGACCAGCGAATACCCGGTGCTGTATGTTTTTATACTTTTTTGGGCTACTAATTTATACATCATTAATCGTATTAACTCGGCGATACCTTCCACATAAGGGGAAGGTTTGCGGGGGTTGCAAAAGTGAGGCCATGGTCCGAGCCTCGACACAGTGCTCTATTCACAAGTCCCTCTTAGAGCACCTCAATAGGTACAAAGGAACCATCGTCTCTCGTAAATCCATCACGAAAGAATTCGCAGATGACGGTATCGGGGATGTGCAAGGTGAATCCCGCAGGGTCCATTGGACTTGCTGGTGTACTGCGTGAAAAAGCTCCGCTCTAATAAGGATGCACTCCCAGCTACCCTAGGGTATCTCGAGCACTCTGTCGGCTCTGCGCCGTTCATTCCCAGGGGGCTTCCTCTATGGCATACCAGAGCGGCTCTTCAAGTGGAGCCTGTGCTGGACGCCTGACAATGAGACCACGGAGCTCAGCCGGCGCACGCCGTCCACTCCATCTCTAGAGAGTCGTTGACACCCCTCCGAGCTGCCATCTTGGTCGTGGGTGGGGTGGCAGGGGAGTATTGCCATGAGCTCTCGCCTCGAAGAACCGATACTGCATGCGGGCTTGCATCCCACGCACCCCGTGAAGTGCGAGACGTTGGCCATTGCGCCGTGGTCCACGGGCGCCTCACCTCGAGATCCGCCTGAAAAGAGACGGAGAATTAGTTCAAGCTTCCGACGCGCGACAATTGTGGCTGAGGAAAAAGAGACTGAGGCGTCAAATCACCCTAGACCGACGCCTAATCCCGCAACAGCGGTCGAGGAACCTGGAATTCCGCTCGCGCCCGACCAAACGCCATTCCTGTTGTGCGATACCACTCGGACAAACTTCTTCGGTCACTTAGATGGCTGTAATGTCGCGATACTTATAAACAGCTCGGGATATCCCGTGGGCTATCTTCATCTCCACACATACCGCGATGTGAACCTCTTCATAGAAGTTGCGAACGGCGCTGGGCTATGGATAGACCTCGTAGCCGTCTCTAAACTTCGTATACACTGCTTGCAAAAGCCAACGCTAGACAGATATGCAGTTCTCTGGCTCGAGTGGACGGATGGAGTTGTACACCGTCGTGCAAGCTGAGAGGTAGACGCCGAAGCATGGGATGATTCAGGGCCCGAGGTTGTCTCTTTTGTCCTCGGATGACGAAAAGGGCTTGGACCACATCTTGCCAATGGCAAATGTGCAAATGTAGTATACTGATGAACTATCACTCAATACTCGAGATAAGCCAAGTTTGGCTTCTATTTGGAGCCCATCGGCGGAGCTGAGGGAGTGGGCGATGAGAATTAAAAACCTTGCTCTCTCGATGGGTGAGATGACGAGGTAGGATAAATATTTCTATTTAACTGGGCTTGAATTAGAAGTATATGGTTGACGGCGCAGTCCGAAGCGATGCCCGCTAGCCTTGTCCGTGCAGCTTGCGTTTGAGGTCAAGTATCCACAGACTTACTGTCCGCATTCCTTCATCCGAATAAACACTTTCTGCCATGCTAGGTCTATACTCAGTTGGCCGCGGATTCGGCCGTGGAGTTGGCCGTGGAGTTGGGCCGTGGCGGAACTGGAGGACCGGAAAGACCAGGTGCCGGTCGAGCTGCATTGCGAGCTGCAGTATCAGCGCGCTTGTTGCCATCTACACCTGAATGGCCAGGGACCCATCGAATCTCTACTTCGAATCCACGCCTGCGAAGTGTCTGTGAATTCGTAACGAGCTTTCGCACAACCGGATCGTATGGCAGCTTTTCCTGGCAGATGCTTTTCCACCGAAGGTCGTCTACCTGCCGCATGGCTTGTTGGCAGTCTGTAAATATGACCACCTTGTCCTTATTTCCGAGCTGGTAGCCGTGTAGCTGCGATAATTCTGATGCCGCAATTTCTAGCCCTTCAGCTATAGCAGTCACTTCCGCGACCTGAGGTGTGAGCCCATCCGCGAGACGAAAGCTCCACTGCTTCCACTCCCCTTTGGGCGTCTGGAGCACTACAGCAGCCCCAGCTGCCTCTCCTGATCCGGTGGCTTTTTGTTTGGCTTTGTCTTGGCCACTGAAAAGTCTGGAGCCATCCACGAAGAAAACAAATTGCTGAGAGTTTGTGACTGGCGGGGTGTTTCTGAACCGCTGATAGTTGCTCATAGTTCTAGCTGCATCGATGGCATTCTGTCTGGGCTTTATGATGATCTTTCCGTGGAATTGCAGGCGATTAGTCTTGTATAAGAAATCGAGTTTGTCGTCGTTGAAGTAGGCCATACTGTTTTGTCTAGCTATGCTGAATATGTGGGGTGTGATTCCTCGGCCGCTGGCCCTTTTGCTGCGATTTGGTTTCAAATGTTTGTTTGGTGAGGGAGGTCTGTTCACTCGGCTTTGCTGAAGGTTTTCCGCCCCGCTTGGCACGCACTCGTAGTGAACGGTCTTCTTGTGAGTTTGGCTCACCTGGCGAAGTCTTCTTGTGATCTTCATGTTGTGTTTTTAGGATGTGTGTGTGTGTTGGTGGTGGAGGGCTAAACTTTTGGCTGTGACTTGTTTCGTGGGATTACTTCTAAAGGGACTATCTTAAGGCTATTCCTAGTCTCGCCGTATAACTGTTTCGCCATATATTAGTCCTTACCCTACATATCAATAAGCAAGTCTACTCTACAGCGCCGTCAGGAGCGATACTCCTAGCCTTGTCTATGCGGTACAATACTGAGGCCACCTACCTACGTAGAGACTTCTACACTATGTTTAGCATTGTATTTTTTTTCCCAAAAGGCTGGGTCTCTTAGCGCTTACTGCTCTATACAAGGGCCGTACGCCTCTGTGATGTATACGGATTAAGAACGAAACCGGTCAAGTGCTAGCACGGGTAGTTCAAGGCGATGCTTCGCTACCTAGGTACCTAGGTAAGGCGCTTCACAAGTGCCTGCGGTTAAAAAGCCTGATAGAAAAGACCGTCATTCAAATATTTTCTTTAGGCATCTGAAATCTAGGTCTTGCCTCATTCTGTCAATAGGAACATCTAGAGAGTCCCTCTGCGACACGGTTTTCGGCCAATAGCTGCCATGTCGGCGGAGCGACCCACACAACATCTGGAACTTGACAAATGGGGACCAGACTGTGCTATGAGGCACATTCGGGTATGTTTGGGGGATGATGTGGATTACTCCTGCTATTCCAATGTTATAACCGTAGCTCATGTGAGCTTATACAAGTGCGTTTGCGCTTAGTGAATCTGCTCTTCTTCAGTTTGCAGTAGTTGGACAACAATCTCAGGAACGAAGAGGCCAAATTGCAATTGAGGAGCCGCAGCACACTCTTTTAGGGCTTTTCTACGCAAAAACCTTGATACAAGACAGAAAGAGTGATGGATCAAGTGGGACTCTTACCAGGCTAAGTCCTCGTTTTAAGTTGCGATAGATCCGCCCTAACCCTAATACAAGCTCATTTAATTATAAAGTTTTAATAAACTTTTTGTGAAGACTTTACGTGGTAGAGTTTGGGGACTCCACAGATGGTGGTAGCCAGATATCTAAATAATGGACTGCTACGCCCCTTCAGGCACCTATTTGCTCAAATGCTTACTGGCCGCCTCTGGGTACCGGTCGCCGGCGACTGCCGTGTGGTCCACAGCCTTCTGAAGCTCTAACGCCTCGGCATCGGTCAGGTCAACAATCTTGCTGTTCTCCTCGACTCGAGGCACTTTGGTCGCACCAGGGATAGCGATCGCCCCTTGGCGCAGAACCCTATTCACCTCCATCGTTAGCTGAACGCGGTACAGGATAATGAATGCAGGATTATAATTCGCAAGGGATGCAGGATACAAACACGTACCAGGCAATGGCAACTTGGGCAGGCGTTATGCCCTTCTTCATGGCGAGCGCCTCCACGGACTCGACTAGCTTGATGTTCTTCTCGAAGGCGCCAGGCTGGAAGCGCGGGAAGTAGCGACGATAGTCATCAGCTGCCAAATCATCCAGTGTCTTCAACTGGCCTGTCAACCAGCCACTGCCCAGGGGGCTGTAGCCCACGAGCGGGATGCCCAGCTCGCGGCACGTGTCGGCCACGCCGCCCTTGTGGAGAACGTAGCGATCGAACAGGCTCAGCTCCTCCTCAACCGCGGCGGGCGGGTGCACGGCATAGGCGCGACGGATGGTCGTGGAGGTGACCTCGCTGAGCCCGTACGACCCAATCTTGCCCTCGCGGATCAGCTCCGCCAGAACCTGCACCGAGGTCTCCACGGGCACTTTGCCGTCGATGCGCGCCAGCGCGAACAGGTCGATGGTCTTGACCCCGTCGAGCACGCGCAGGGACTCCTCAACGGCGGCGCGCAGGCCCTCGGGGCTGCCATTGGGCGCCTGTGTCCTGATTTCGTAAGCGCCCTTGAGGCTGAGCACAATGCGCGACGCATCCTCGGGATACTTGGTGAAGTAGTACTTGAGAAGGTGTAGGGAGTTGGCATTGGGGGGGCCGTAGAAGGTCGCCTGGGATTGTTGCTCTGGGTCATTATTACATGTCAAAGTGGAAAGGAAAATAGAAAAGAAGCGGGAATGACACAGGGAGAGGTCCCTGTGACAGTGCATACCGCATTCCAGAAGTTGACGCCATTCTCGACCGCTGCCTTCATTGGCTTGATGGCCTCCTCGTGTGAGATCTTACCGGACATGGTGAGATCTGGGACAATTATCAGACACAAAAAAGGCCAGGTCATTGCTCTAGTTTGTTATAGGGAAAATTAGACTCACTCATCATGCCATAGCCGATAGGGCCCACAGGTTTCCCTGCTACAGTCTTGGGGGTGTTTGCAATGGCCATTGTAGACTCGTAAGTGAAGAAGAAGCACCAGAAGGAAAGGTAGACGATTTTCGAACCTTAATTGAGGGTGAGACAGTTTCTGGAACTGTATTGAGAAGATAGACAGTTTCTAGATCGGAGTTGAGGGAGATGTTCGTCTTGGTTCTTTACTTGGATGTAATCGTATAGGGAAGCATTTGTTTACAATCCAGCTTTTGCTCGGTCTCCTGGTTGCACCGAGCACAGGTTATGTCAGATCGACACCTGAATAAATTTGTCAGCGGGTCAACATGCGGTTTCCGAAGTCCGAGAACCAACCCATCCTTTCTTCGCACGCTGAGGCACAGTATGCAAGGCGCCCATATGCCGTTAGCCTCGGGGGGCTGAACGAAGCAGCGAGGCGCTGCACGAGGTCAGCAATGAGACATTGTGTGCGTCATAGCATTGGTGGAACAGATCCAGCCTGCAACCGCTCGCTGATTATTGGTCGGATCCCGAAAGTCGATGAGTGCGCAATTTCTCTATTTCCATTCTTGAAAAAGAGCCTGACTGGGAAAAAAGACAAGATATCTTGGCGCCAAGCGCCTTGTTGCAAAGGTGACGATTTCGGAACCGGGCCAAATAGATGTCCAGGAGCAAAGAGGACGTCACATAAACCCGATGTCCTTACCTTGACGGGAGAACATGGTTCTCCGGGAGAATGTTCCTAGTCACAAAGTACCTGGTCATTAAGGCAGAAAATTTCACCGTCGACACCATGTAATTAATAATAACTAATGATATTCAGTACTGTCCCTTCTATTTAATATATATCCTAGAATGTATATAATACCTTTATTTAATAATAAGTACTTAAAACTTCCTAGTTATAAAGATATATTATTAATAATTATAAGTATAATATTATAAAGATTAATAATATTAATTATATAATATAAATAATGTTATAATAAATAATATTTATTAAAAATAATATTCATTAAAAATAATATTTAAAATATATTTACTTTAAATTTATTATTATTTATATACTTTAATTAATTTAAGTATATTAGTATATATTATTTAATTTTTATTAGTAAGTTTTTTTATATATTATAAGATAAATAAAGGTGTTTTTCTTATTATTAATACTTTAAATAAATAATAATAATAATTCGTTAATAGCTTTAAAAATATCCATACCCAGATTCACTCCTAAAAAAACAAAAAGAAGAAAAAGGGACTAGACATTAATATCACCAGGGGGGCCCGTTAATGAGTATGAGTGGGATAGATTTTGGTTTCCAATTCCATGAAACAACACCCTCTATGAGTCTGCACTCACATGTCAAGCTCCTGACAATGTGATAGAATTTCATCACCAGCAGAGAGAAATGTTCCTCAAGTATATCAATATCAAAGTGATAGGGACTGTCGACCGCCGTAGGTGGAAGTGTGCCAAAGCGCTACCGAGTTGATGTGGGTGGGGCGAGATGGCATGATTGGACATGGAAGGACCTGCAGGCAGAGTCACAGTGGCCCTTATGACCAAGTTACGGCCAGAATAATTTGGTCGAAGTGGACCAAACAGAAATGGTTGTTCGCAGGTGGAACGAACGTACTGGGGCTCACCGCCGAGTGAATACCCGGTGTTGAAATAGCGATTGCTTGAGGTTGATCATGGCCGGTTCTCCGAGGATTGACTGGAAGAAATAGTCTCTTTCTGTTTTATGCCAATTCAACAGAAATCACAGAGGCCGAGGTCGAGACAGGAAATTCGTGACAACCCTGGGGAGTTGGAAAAGCGCTTCCTACAGGTGAGCCGCATCCTTGGAGTGTCTCCGGGTAGATGCAAGTGGCGTAGCCAACTGAAGCTCAGATGGCATATGAATCACAAATTACGACTCCAATAAAGGCAAATCGACTAGTTGCCGGTCAGGAATGTGGATTCCATGCACCCTAACCAAGAAGTTCAAACTTCTCGACATTGCCTCCAATGGGGATATGCAGTGTGGCGATATCCTCGACCATCCAGATAATTAACTGACACAGGGGCGGATAAGATGGATAAATCGACATAGTTTGAGGCACTACAATGGAATGGTGCAAATGGATATTTAAATGTGATCTTCTACGCCACGCGAGTTTGCAGGGGCCTGGTCATGTGCCAGTTGTACCTTCCTAGGGCGAGGGATGCGTCCCTGATCCGACCTCGGGATCCGCATGTTACTCACTCAACCCCCCGCATCACAAGCTCGCCAACAACTGGATGCTGAGTGACCGTTCTCAAGCTGATGGGACCAGATTCAATGTCTAGCCCGCTCATCCTGGAGCCGCCGATCGCAGACTACCTTCCTGATTTCCATTTCAATGAGATCCTGAGGTCAGTCGAGAAGCGACTCTGACCGAATCCATCCACAAGGTGGCCAAAGCGGCCGATCCATCCAATATTTCTCCAGCGCAAGGTCCAACCCTCTTCAGCATAATGAATCTTTCCTTCGTAACCGTCATCACGGTATTTTCTGCTGTCATAGCGGCGACAGTGTCTTACGTGAGTCCGGACCAAACAATGGCAAGCGGCTACCTGCGCAGACCAACAAGCTGACTTGTCATTAGGTCCCTGCCACCAATCTTTCGTCCCCCGACCCGAAATACGGCGTGGTAGACCTGTCTTGGGCCGTCGAGTCGATCCCCGGCAACGCGTCGTCCCTCGTGATTCTCAATGGCACGGTCCAGGAGGTTTACCAGCAGCTCAACGAGGCAAACCCCGACTACACGAATTTACTTGATAGGTATTGGGCCTCGCGTGCATCTATGCGTTTCCAGAACGCCATGCACTCCAGCGAGTCAATGGATGACCGCCCTGACTGCGGTTACTGCAAGGTTTGCACCAAGCGGTGGGCCCGTAAGTACAAGGCCACTACTTCTACGTGCACCCAGCAGGCAATTAATATAAATCAGCCGCTGGGCTTGGATCCGTTCTCGACATCATCAGCGCCCTGAGGCGACTGACTGGGCGCCCAAATGCCAGTGTCCCACCGGGCCCGGGATACTGCGGCAGATTCGCCTGCATTGGTGCCGCCCAAGCCTGGTTTTGCAACGACAACGACGAGGAGATTACTCTTGACTCTTGGGAAGTGTTCGCCAGGGCGGTGGAGGACATCATGCGGCAGTGTTGGTGGAGGGAAAAGGAGGGGCTTCACCTTACTGACTTGACAGGGGGCCAGATCTTCAGGCCAGATGGGTGGAACGTCATCGTCCTGGGAGGTGACGATGTTTGCAAATCCTGAAAAGTCTCGATGCCTCACACAGTCGATCTCGTCACTACTAGGGTGACAAGAATTTTTGAGAATGAATTTTGGTGGTCACTGAGACCAGAGAACGAAGCTAATGGAAGTCTCAACCCATTTTACCTCTGTCTATGTAACTATCGCCCACCGAGCCTGTTCTCTAAGTCTAGGACAGCACGATTAAGGAACTGAGGCTTGACGGCAGCAAAATCCCCGAACGCGCCCCGAAGTATATGGCACTGAAAATGACGACCGTGATGATAAGCCAGACACCCGCCGTCGCAAGCATCATTCCCTTGATCAGTTCATTCAGTGCTGCTGCGTCGTTGACCCGGGGGAAAGGCTCCTTGGGCACAGGCTTGTTCAACATCTTACAGAGCGGTGCCCATCCATCAGTGATCTCCATCCAATACATTTGCCCGGGTGGAGTCTTCTTCTCCACTGTCTTGTTGTGGAGCGCTATAAGATCTAGGGGATGGGGTTGTTAGCGATTGTACTTGATCAGAGGGACCGAGCCGGACATACGAGGACCTGGCACCACATTGCCGGAGACTTTGGCGCCTAGTTTTCCTCTCCCTCTGATCCCCTCGATAAAAGCCGGGAACCATCGCCATGTAGGCATTGGCGCCAGGAAGTACGGGAGCCACCATGGTGAAGCAACCTTGTTCAGGTTGCCCATGCTCTTCCACCAGGCGTCTGGGTCTCGTCTGACTCCCATAACCTGTTCGACCACGGTTAGTAATCATAATACTTCTACGCACAATTCCCTATCTCGAAACACGATGATGAGGGTGCTTCAGTATAGAATCATTGATGACTGGGTAAGATGGGTGAAAAACAAGATCTACCTTGACATTGGGGTAGAGCTCGACCAGCTCGCCGATAAAGTCAACAGCAGGGACATCAGTGACACCTGCAAATCCTCTTGTCGCCTCACGGAGGGCTCTCATCATCGCTGGGCGGTTACCCGCATCACGTTGCTTGTAGACTTCGATCCACTTCTGGACATAGCCTGTTTGCACAATCAGGTCAGTTCCATGATGCAGACCAGCGCCTTCTGGGTCTAAATTCGGGGTACTTACTATCCTCTCTTCCCAGCATCTGTGAGCCACCGTGGCAAACGGGCCCATCCAGAAGCCTTTCAAGTGCAATCGCCATGGACGAAGTTCCAGTGCGGGAGTAACCTGCCCCAATGACCTCCAGGGTCCTGTTGGGATCGGTGGGGACTGAAGGTACGCCACCCATCTTGACGATACTGCCGGAATTGTGTGTGGATGTAGATGCTGGAAATGGCGAGGAGAGACTGACAAATTGGGACTGTATAGTTCAAGATCACAGTGTGGCGATATTCAGCGATTTCTCCGCGAAAAGATATTGAGCTGGTAACAAGTATTCAAGGTTTCGAAGACGCACTTGTCGAGCGGAAGGGTTCCCAAGATCCAGCCACAAGGAGAAATGGGGATAGTTTTATGGGTTATTGGCTTGGCATTTCCGAGCGACTGGTCAGCAAATTGTCGTAAGGCGATTAGGTTGACGTAGTGCATTTCTATAAGATACCCGATCGCCCACCGCGACTTCGCCTCTACACCAATTCGCACTGGGATCTGAAACGCCGTTGAGTGCCAAGGTAAAGTTCGGCAACCTTTGGGAGTGCACCCTCCAGCGGTATCTTCGGTTCGCGATGGAGGCGTTTGCCCACATGAGTTTATCTCTACGAATCCGAATCCGACCCGCACTTGCCACTGGGGAGCACCCGGGTGCATCCTTAGGAGCCTCGCTCAATCTTGGTGGCGGACTGGCTGACGGTCAGCACGCGAGGCTGACCCGTCAGCGTTCCCGGGGAACTTGGGAGACCATTGCGTCGCTGTCATCAGCGAACCTGACCTCGGGTTTGAATTGAAAATATTTACAAATCTGCGCTTGCCACTTTCAAGGTTCCAAAATTTCCTCCAAATTGCACCCGTTTCTCAAATTCGCCCCTTTATGCTTCGTGCAACAGCCGAAGTGTGACAATCGTCGGGTGATCATCCCAGAGCGACACATCCACAGTCACAGAATTCCAGTCCTTTCTCTTTATCTCAATCATTCTGCTCTTGCACAAAGGTGGCAATAAAAAAAATCTGCAACCAGCGACTGTTCGCACTCCTCGCCACCATTTTCGTGCCACGAGCCTCTGAAGCTCTCGCGACCTCCGGAAGTCTTCATTCGGAAAAACCATCACGACAACTAAAATGGTTATTCACCAGGACAATCACGCGGAAATGCACGAATCAGGTTCTCTGGAATATCGGAAGCAGAAAAAGGTCGCGTTTGCCGCCGTTGAGGTGCGAGAGGAGGTGTCTGCCCGGCCCGAGACAATCCGGGTTCAGACATGGCCAAGGGTTGTTGCGGACAAGTCCAGGGAGATCGAGCTCGATATCGAGCCCAACATTTTCAGGCCCAAGGGAAAGTTGGTTGAGCGCGGAGGAGCGATAACCTATGTGACGGAGATGTTTTTCTACATGCGCAACTTCAACTTCTTCCCTCTCCAGCATTACTGATCAGGGTTTGGAAGCATCATTACCAAGTGCGCAGTTCAACATCATATCACAATGGGAAAATGGCGGTTGCGAAGTCTTTATGTCCCGTTCCAGACTTGTGCTCAAGTGTGGGTTGAAATTTAGTCGCATTGAAGTATGATTATATCTTGAAAACCTGAGTCGTACAAGGGTTAACCGCTGCTCAAAAATCGGTTATTTCTATCCTTAATAGTGTTCGATAATCAGTCATGACCATGAAAATTAACCGTGCAGAGCATATCATTTAAATTCCGTTCCGTTCGCTCCACGTGCACTCCCAAAGTCTTAGGCGTCCTCGGATCATAAAACTGAACGCAGCTGCTTCCTTCACGAGACACCCCAGCAGCCCTGAAGCCGGAATATTACCCTTAGCCGCACCTCTCCCCAGCGGCAGAGAACGAAACATTCAGGGCCCAACCACCCGTAAACAACTCGCGGGCGTTAATTATAAACCTAGCGGGCCACGAGGGCAAGACACCACCACGGTTGCGGTGCGTGATCATCCCACATGCGAGAAAGGCGACGAGGACTTGGAGCAAATCAGTACTCCATTCAGAGCTTCACCGCGTAGACAAGGGACCACGGCATGAAAGGCTGTCTTGTCGTGCTGGTCAGTTTCTATTAGATCAACCTTCCCTCGCAAGCCAGCTTGACAAAGAGGTTGTTCTCCGTTTACTAGTTGGCCAGGAGCCAGACGCAGAAAGATGGAGAGCGGAAGCAATCGGATGACTTAGCAATGAAAGATGGTAAAAAGCCTTGGTCCGTACCTAGGACTTCGAGGTCTCGTGTTATACGAAATAATGCGGTGGCAGAATTGGAGAGTCAGGGCGATTTTAAACACTAGGTACAACAACTCTAATAACCAAGACCCCATGGTCACAATAAATTGGACAAAAGTAATGCGTTTGCTTCATGTTGTTCCATTTTAAGAGTCATAAACGGATTCACATTGAGGAGAGTGGAGGCTGGAGCAATGTTATGCGGTGTCTAGGTTCTCCTGAAACGATAAATGCAGTGAATGGAATCATTACACACTTGGAATCTTGGAACCTGATCACAAACGATTGCCAGCTATCAAATTTACCTGCATCCTGACATTCATATGCGGCTAACTGCACCTCTGCCATCCGTGGATTCAGCATCAAACAGCCCATTCGGATTGGGCTTCATGTGAAGCTTTCAAACTCAGTACCATCCATCCATCCATCCATGGATACCTACTAATCTATTGGAGCTGTGTCAGCGGCAATCGCCGTCAGGCCTTCGCCTTGTTGAGTCAATCCCACATTAGCTTTGGTCACTTGAACATGTGGCAATGGCACACTGAACCCAGCCAAGCCAATTTGTGCGAGGTTGTTCCCCGCATTGCATAACCCTATGCCTTAATAAATGCATTGTGCAGCAGCCTGAGACTGACTGGGTGGCCGAGGAGGGGTTGGTTCTCCACCAACCCAACAGCTGATAAGCAAACCGAGCTCTTCCACACAATGTCCGCTTACCCTTCCGACCACGAGAGTGCCCATGGAGTCGAACGAGCCGCAACGGCACCGAAGCAATAGCGATGGCTGCGATGAGCCGTCCAGATGCATCGAGAGCCTGCCCGCCGAGATCCAGCGGCACATTATGCTCTGCCTTCCTAGTCTAGGATCTCTTGGCGCTTGTATCCTGTCCTCGCCGGTATTTTATTCACTGTTCCAAAGTGAGCCCAAGAACTACATTGCAAATTGTTTGATAAATATACTCGGGGACACCTTCGTCGATGCGAGCACAGCACGGGCTGCCATTCAGGACAGCTTCCAGCAAGCTCGCTGCGCCGCCATGAAAGCAGGCCACGAAACGAGGATAATATGGCCGTTTCTGGAGACATACCGGGAACATGTGCAGCATCTGTCATGCAAAGACTGGATTCACTCTATTTCTTTACCGGAAGCCGTTGAGATGGCCACGTTCCAAACATCAATAGTCGAGCCGCTCGTCGACGAATATGCATGCTGGGCCCTGGCAAACCTGAGCACATCGGCCAAAGCGATGGAGCTCAGCAAGATTGAGCGCATACGCATTCAAAGAGCGATGTATCGCTTCCAAATTGTGTGTGACGTCTTTGGGAATAAGCTCGAAGGCAACAATATGGCGAATCAGCGACTAAGACAACTGGGCTGTCTCAGGTTCCTTGCAGGTTATGACCCTTGGGAGATTGAGGAAATGCTTTGCATCAATGCCTTCTTCCAGCAGCAATACCAGAAGAGACTTTTGGAAGTCTCTGGGGATCTCGATCCCGTTGTCTGGGGATCCCCCGGGGAGCCTGGAGAGGAGATTAGTCCCGTGCGACTTCGTACGTTCAAGAACAGCACTCTCCTGGCTAACACTGCTATTCATGCTAACGTGGACAGCAGACATGAGATCAAGCTCACGAAATTTCCTCGTGAGCCAAGGCCTGCCGCTTATGGCGTCCGTATTGCGCATCCGAGACCGCGAAGAGCTCGCGGCTACCCTGCGCGCCAACATGGACTCGGGCTACCGCGTGTGGCACATGTGGCTCGACGATGTCACTGGGAACACGGACATGAACGAGAGATGGGAGAGGTCGTATTCGGAGCGAGACCTCGCCCAGGACGAACAGCGCCCGATACCCTTTCGTGGGGACAGCCCAGATTCACCACCGCTGGCATGGGTTCTTATCTGGGGCGAGACCTACAGCAACTTATTTGGCATTTTTATTCCGAAGCCGCTACATCTTTGGGGTTACATTATGTGGGATGCACGCCGCATGGAGGAGACGGGTGCTAGAGAGAGGCTGATGCGTGAGTGGGATGATATGTGGCAAGGGGGTGACTATAGGGATACTCTGAGGGCTTGGAATAACGCCTGGAATAACAGAGGATGATGGGGTTTGTGATGTGGGCATATTGGGGGACAACACTACATAGACTGGATATAAGCAATGAGCCCAGGTGTATGGCGAGTTAGGTAGAATTCATGGATCACGATATGTAAAGACTTCTGATCTACACATACTTCAGAGTTCAAGACAGCTGGGTGTTATGTTAAGGTGCTACCCTCTGGTGCGAGACTGTCGGTGACTCGGTAACCTGGAAGTCATCTATGCCCGGGTCTCGGCTCTTTGCCGAGATTTCCGAGACGGGGGATTCACTCCTAAACCGTCACGGAAGTGCAGACTTTTGTACAACGAACCCACAGGAACGATAATGTGCTATTCCACGGATGGCCGCCCGATCAATATAAAGTTTGGCCGAGCGATCACGAACGATTTGAAGGGATCTGCTCCACTCTCTCACGTATGATCTGGGGAACTCGCAATCTATCTTCCACCATACCGAAAAGGATGGGAATCTGTGAGCGAGGAGAAGTCGGAGCCGTAGAAGGGTCCAGACCTCATAGACCGCCAGGGCACACACCCCTGTCGTGAGTGACAAGGTGTCAGGGTGTCCACGCTGGAAGCCCAAGTGGGCTAACCCTTTATGAGAAAAGAGGAGAAAGTGATGTCGAGGCGCCACAATTCTTGATTTTTTGCACGCTCTGTCTCAGGCGGACAGACGGACCTGCCGGCCAACTGCAGGTGATGGCGTGTGCCGGAGCCTGGCGTGCTTGTGTAGCTGTCTCTGGCGGGCCGGTGATCGAGATGAGCGAAGATCCCCACAGCTATCGTGTGGCTTGGGGGCTGGTATGATTGCGGTGACATGCAACACAGGTGCCCTGCAGGGGGACGTTATCCTGCCGGACATGAAGCCTGGGCGACGTGAGTGGTCGCTGGTCTGCGTCAGCTAGGCCCAAGTGTGGCGAGTGAGTTCGAGGCGCGATGTGCATCGTGCATGAAGGGGGTATGATTCAGGCGAATCAGCATCGGCACAGCGCCTGCGCCCGACGTCACCGGCACCAGACCCCAGCTGTCATCTCATCACACCTGATGCCCGCCCCCTTCAACCAGCCGTGGCGCCCTACGTCACCGGTGAGCCCCCGATTTAAGTACATGTTCACCTCCTCAGCCACACTTCCGGGTGAGTTGCAGTCTCGGTCCCAATCTTTCGAATGCTCGATTTCTAGGACAGTTCTAGTCTATTTTTTATCAGTTCGAAGTAACAGTATGGCGGATATACAGAAACAGAACGAGTTGTTGCAGCGGGAGGTGGCTCGTCTCAAGAAAGAGGCAGCACTGCAGAAACAGAACCAGGCTCTGCAGAAGGAGATCGCACAACTGAAGAAGGCAGCCGCTCTACAATGTAAGCTATTCTTACGAGCCATCGCAGTCCCGTGCTAGGTCATTACCAAAATCCAAACGCTAATCCGGACCGTGCCTAGCCTCAACGTCGAACAAGGTGCCAAGCAAGCCTTCAACGGACGATGCGGTTAAGAAGGTCTCTTCGGCCAAGAAATCCACAGATGATGCCCTGAAGAAAGTCTCATCCAGGAAGCCAGCAACCGATGAGGCCGTGAAGGCCGCCCAGGAAGAGGCAGCCGAGGCAAAGGTATCATCGAGACACGCCATCAAAGCCGCAGCGTCCAAGCCGAAGCCAAACCTGCCCCAGAGCTCAGACATCAAGGACCATGCACCAGTGAAGAAGTCAACGTCGGCCTCCAGGCCATCCGTCAGCAAGACAGCCGCAGATGCGAAGAAGGCAGTCAAGGACGCCGCCGCAGTGGATGCACCATCCGAGGCCACAACAGAAAAGAAGAAGAAGAAGAAGAAGATAAGGCACACGCCCAAGTACGAGATGGCCGCCGCCCTTTCGCGGGGCGAGGAGATCCCCGGCCTGACAGACAAGAAACCAGTCGTACGCAAGGTGCCCAAGCCGGCCGTCAGGGCACCGGAGCGTGCTGTCGACGTGCCGGCGCCAGAGCCCCAGGCTGTTGCCAAGAAGGTCTCGGCCCAGACGCCCCAGGCGGCACCGAAGAAGCAGAAGATCTACGTCGAGGGTGGCGACATGCCGACGCACCAGATCCTTGCCCAGCGCAAGAAGGAAGAGGCCATCAAGAGGCAGCAGCAGGCCCTCCAGCAACAGGGACAGGGCCAGGGCCAGAGCGGCCCGCTCCAGGGCGTCACCGGCGCCGTTGGCAAGACCGGAAAGGGTGCCCTAGACACTGTCGGCAATGTCGGGCAACAGGGCGTCCTGACTATCGGCGACGTCGGCAAGGGTCTGCCAGTCGCTGGCAAGGCTGTCAACGGCGCCACCAGGGGCGTCAGCAAGACCCTGGGAGCTGCCACGGACGGTCTGGGTCAGACGCTGGGCGACACGACTGGTGCCCTCGGCCGTGGAGACATTGGCGGCACTCTCGGTGGTGCTACCAGGGGTCTCGGAAACACGGTCGGAGGAGTTGGCAAGGGACTGGTGAGTACTAAACCGATCAACGCACGTCCAACTTCTTGTGAACTAGAAACTGACTTCTCGTGCAGGGAGATACCGTCGGAGGCAGTAAGCAACAACCACCACAACCACAAGCACAGAAACCTCAGCCACCACAACCACCAAAGCCACCACCACCACCACCACCTCTACCGCCCCAGAAACCCAAAGTAGTGCTGTCTCGAGGCCAGCCGCTCTCAGAGGCTGCACTCAAGCAGCTCTCTGAGAAGTCGGGCCCGAGGAAGAGTCTGCAGAAGTCTGCTTCGTGGATACTGTCGACGCAAAGTGAGAAACAACAGACTAACTAATGGTGATTTTACAGCTGTCGGCGGCCTCGGAGACAGCCTAGGAGGACCAGTCGTGAGTACTTTCCCTTTGACTCCCCTCCAACCCCCTAAAAAACTTCGAACTTGGAGAACACTGGAGAATATTAGCCTTGGCACCACCAACACTCCTATTCATTGAGCCATCTTGGAAAATACGCATAGGATGAAGACATGATTTATCGATATCAGATTTTCCGAGATATGAAGCTAATACGAAACCCAGGGCGGAATTGTTGGCGGAGCCGGTCGAGGAGTCGTGAGTTGAACCTCTTTCGTCAATATTCCAATTGAAACCACGTATCTAACCTGTGACAAAGGGCGATGCTGTCGGCGGAATCACTGGCGGCCTAGGAAAGGGTGTCGGCAAACTTGGCCAAGGAGACCTGTGAGTTGAATCATCGCTGATTCGTTTGGAGCATCGCGATACTAACAACATCATAGCCTTGGCGGCGTTGGCGATGTTGTGTAAGTCACAGGATCAATCAGCCTTCCCTTAATCACAGTCCAAGCCAGCCGTTGACTTGGCACCGATCGATCTCATCAATGCTGAGGCGTATCATCTCATTTTTACCTGACTAATGCTAACAATCCCTGACAGCGGCGGAGTCGGCGATGGAGTTGGCGGTAAGTGTCATATTATTCTCAGTCAGCGGTGTGATCACGAAGCTAACGCACTTTCGAGGCCTTTTAGGAGGCGTATTGGGTGGACTCGGCGGGCAGCAGGGCGGCAAGGGAGGCAAGCAAGGAGGAGGCGGTGGTCTTCTTGGCCTCGGAGGTGGTGGTCAGGGAGGCGGACTTCTTGGAGGAGGAGGTCAAGGAGGGGGGCTACTCGGCCTCTGATTGAAATCTATTCCTCTGATACGGATTTGATGACAGTGGTGACTTGCATCCCAATATGCAGATGGGGTGCGGTGAACAGGCCTTCGGTAAGATCTGCAGTTCATAGCGATGCACAAGCAACAAGGGTAGCCAATGGATTTGTGGATTATAGTCAACCACTTCTCCGGCCTCTATACGCAGGCGGGATGGTATTCTACGGTCAGGTTGACTCAGACGTCACAGGACGCCGTCGTGGACGGTCTTGGCTACTCTGCTCGCAGTCTTGCCGATCCATGATTCAATCCAGCTCGCACCCCAGAGGCCTCGCAGAATATTCAGCCTGGCTTACGCACAGTTGGTCGCCCTATTGTTCCACAACCTAAGAGCGTCCCGGCCGTCCGACCTCCAGGGGCTTGTTGAGCGGGGGTACCTCACCAGACTCCATATCAACATCAAGCTCGTGATTAAGGCATTAGGATTTGACTTGGTGTCTGTCAAATTTGGGACAAGGAAGAAAAGCCACTCCATGATTGTTGAATCACCTGAGAATTTGAAAGTAGTTTCTGGACAAATGCCGTACAGAATAGCCATTGTATCGACTACCAGGACATAAAAAGCCTCAGGTGCCTCATGGATCGCAGGCAAATTACGCAAGTGCTCGCAAACATGCAAGTTCCCGTAAAGACAATCACCCAAAGATACGACGACGGTGATGGAGCCCCAGCCGCCAAGTCTGGCTTCGAAATCAACAGTCCCCCAATAGGACCCGCGAGCACATTGCCGATGCCCTTCCCGAAGTTCAGCAAGGTGAACACTATCGGCCCTGCTGTCACGTCGTCGGTGACAGCGGTACTCATCCTCGCCCAGATTGAAGTGAATCCTGCGGCGAAGAAACCATATACGATGGCAAAGAAGATCAGGACCGTCAACGACTCAGCTAGCCTCCACATGGTGAAGCAGGCAACTGCCGCAACCACGGTTGATAAGCACGCCAGAACATTAAGCGGCACTTTGCGATCAGAGAGGAAACCGAAAACAAGTTGACCGCCGACCTGGAAGACGCTCATGAGCGCGAGGAGAAGCGCGCCACTCTTACTTCCGAGCCTCAGGGACGATGCATAAGAAGGCAAGTAAAGAGCAGGGAAGAAGTAGCCAAACCCTTGCAACAAATTCGAGCATGAATATACCCAGAAAAGCGGACTCCGAAAGAAATCCCACTTCATCCTGGGGATATTGGCGCGTTCGGAAGGTGGCAGACGGCCTTTGAGGAGAGGAATGAACGGTCCAGTGAGCACCGTGAGCGCCACGGCGACGGCGCGTAGGGTGATCCTGTATCCGTACTTTGCCAAAAGCGCCTGCAGCACAAACGGCATGACGGTCCCTGAGACCCCAGAGGCACCGCAAAGTACACCATAGGCCATACCGCGACGAGCTATCCAGTACTCGTTCACCATGCTAAGGATGGGGTAGTAGAATATGAGGAAGCCGACACCATAGGCCACGCCTTGGGTGAGGATTAGCATCTCCAAGGTGGATGCAAAGGACCCTAAGACCAGTCCGACGATGCATATTGACCCTGACAAAGTGGTCAGAGGAGCCGTTTCCATAGCTTTGTAATTGTTGAGAAGGCACTAGACCTACACCCGACCCAAATCATCTGCCGCTGACACCGCTGGTATCGCTGAACCAAAGGCATGATGACCGGCGCTCCAAGGTATCCGAAGCCTGATGCAATTGTGCCTACAATTGAAATGTAGCGGTTGTCCGCAAATTCTGGTGTTTTCGAATAATACTCCTGGAAGACACCAAAGGAGAGGGGGAAACCTGGGTGGTTCAGCTTCTGCGGACGTTACGAATCAAGCTCAGTCGCCGGGATTGGTGTACTTACCCCATAGCAATGCTTCAAATACGAAAGCAGCGCAGAGCAGTCTCCAAGCAGCCAATCCTCCATCTACCGGCGCCAGAGCCTGTTCCGCTATTTGTCCACTGTTCGAAGTGTCACCCTCTTCATGACGCGACGGTCGACGCGTTCTTTCGATGTCCTCGGCAACAGTAAGGGATGCGACCGGCCGCTGTACGGCGATACGTGTTAGCTCTGTTTCACTCATTGCGCATGCTCAAAGACAGGTGTAAAAGAGGGTTTAGGAATCGGTAACAAGAGCCCGTTTGAGAGATTGTTGTTCAGCAGGGTTGCCGCTGGGGGCATTGGGCTAGGCGTCAAACCTGGAACTGGAGGCAGTCGGCGATCATCACATGCTAAAAGTCGTTGCTTGGGAAGTGTGCCACCTGTACTAGTACCTAGGTAGTAGTGGCTTGGCCCTACCCGTCTGCCTGCCGACTCCGAATCACCACAGCTGACGAGAACATTGTAGTTGGGTGTGCATACTGGCATCGTATAGATTCCTTTCCAGCGAAGAATTCTACAGTCTGGCAGTCATCACGATGGTCCTTTTCAAAGTCGTAGGAACAATACAGGAATAATACAGAGTATTGTATGATGTCAGCGAGAATGAAGACTTTCCCGCAGAGGCTCATCTTTCAAGTGCCAGTGCTGATGAAAATGATCTTCGATTGTTTCATTCGTCCCTGTACGCTTGGCCAAGAGGTGTCAATCCACCTTCTTCATCAAGCATGGTAGCCCACCGCCCAACAGTGCCACAATCCCTCATGGGCCCGAACCAGGCATAACGCTCCACCCAATCCAGCGTGTCCAAGTACTTGACGCTCTCCCTTGCAAAGTTCTCAACATGCTCCCGCGGCAGCGGGTCCTCGACGCTCCAGTTGGTACAAGCAAACTCGGTGATCCACACCGGCTTGTCCGGGCCGAGCTGGTGGTGCGTGCTCCATATGTAGTCGTAGAACTGGCCGAGCTCGACGCCGTACCAGTGGAAGCAGTAGAAGTCGACGTCGGAGCCGCCCTCGCGGATCTTGGCCAGGAACTCCTGCAGCCAGCCGACGGCGTGGGGCGCCGACGAGATGCCCGGGCTGCCGGCGCGCACGCCGGCCTGGCGGAGGGGCTCGATGCACCGCAGCCACTCGGCGGCGGCGAGCTCGACGGGCATGTTGGACTGGTCCGGGAGCTCGGGCTCGTTGAAGCCGATGACGGTCTGGGCGCCGGCGTTGCTGGCGTGCTCGTGCAGCTCGTCGATGTTGACGTGGTTCCACTGCATGGGGACGAACTGGAGCTCGCTCGCGTCGGGTGTCGGGCGCGGGGACCAGTTGTACAGCCATGATACTTTGGACCCTGGCCTCGTGAAGGCGATGACTTCGTCGCGGCCGTGGTTGTCGGTTGGCCAGCAGAGGCCACGTTTGGAGGTGGAGCCCATTGTCCTGGGCGCTGAGGAGTGACGGCTGGAAAACAAATCTCTGAGATGGAATCTAGGCATGAAGATGATTTAGGTCCGATGAGTGTGAAATGTTGCACAAGTCCAGGGGCAAGTTTGTGCAAGCAGGGCTCTGGAGACAGGCATGCGTGAAGCTTCCATCGCGAGACTGAGAATCTTCAGTGTTTGCACTTGGCGTGATGTCAATAGTGGCTGAGCAGCTGACGTAATGGCATGCAGAGAAAGGATGAACGGGGATAATTCAGTGGGTTGCTTGCTCTGTTTGCTTTACGATATACGTACGTATTGGGAAGCCGGAATAAGATTCATTCCCAAGAACTATTTTGTGTGGAAATGGTATAAGTCTCGTCCTGCGCGTATAGTAATAAACGTATAAAAGAATATGCTGATCCCACCATCATTTCCCGTCCATGTCGTTCTCCAGCGGCCAGTGTCAGTCAGGTCCAGGGTTGCATGGTCTTGGCACATCTGGCAGGTGGGCAGGGCTGCCAGGGCAGTCCTGGATCAATGTCCAATCCATGGATGTTCAATCCCGTTCCATGGAGCAAATTTATGGCATTGTTCATTCCGATGCAGGAATTAAGCTCAGAAGCTCGAAGATATCCGTGAAAGGAGACGTTGATCACGACTCATAGGCAGCTCTCAAGCGACATCGACCTAGGTACTTGGAGTAATCTGGTACCCGTTGAGGAAGACACTTCTAACGAGCACCAGACCGACGTTTAAATGCGCCGTAGCCATCACAGGAGTGAAGGTCGGCTGACTTTCACGAATCCTAAGATCCCATGGGGTGCTCTTGCACACGCCAATGTGGACATAAAAATCCGTCTTTGTTGAATGCATGGACTAGTCTACTCTGGTCATAACAATTCAAGAACCCCAGAATGCCGTGCTCGTGGTCTGTAGTCTGGGCCAAATAGATCTCCATTCGTTTATCTCAGGTCGGGGTCTTATGCCAGAGATCGGACGTTCCTGGCTACTGTAAGGCTAGCCGAGCGCCGTAACAAACACCAGACGACGTAAGAGATGCAACCAAATCTATGTTCTAGAACTCAACTGCCAGGCTCATATTTCCGGGAATATGCCGGGAAATAGTAGTGGAGCCCAGATCTCGATCTGCCGGTGGATATGCAGTAGATGAGCCACAAAGAGTACACTTTGAATGGCTTTCACGTCGATCTGTCCATAATCGAGTTCCGATATTTGAAGGTTTGCAGCAGATCTTCCCGGGGTCCCGTTGGCTGATGATGCCGATGGTCGATCCCGAAGAATGCTAACTACGACCGGTCTCCCGATAGCGCAGCAAGTTGATCCGTGGCCAAGCGCCGCGGTAAGCAGAGCAAATTTACACCTCGGCTGCCAGCCGTGGGTCTCGGTGGACTATGTCCAACATTGCCAGCGGAGGATAGCGCGCGGTATTCGTAACCAAACCCCTGGCCTCAGCGGTCCTATGGTGTTGCCTTGGCAAGGCTCTCTAGTGACGCGGCGGGTATTTATTGCCAGCCTCTCTGGAAGAAAATGCGTGGGATGGTCGTGGAGCACTTGATCCTTCGGAACGGTACTGTATCCATTCCGAAACACCGACACCAACCCAGAATAACCAGCTCGGTGCAAAGCCACAGGCGCACTGAACATTAAAGCGGAGCAAGCCGCTCGGGCGAAGCCACTCACACTTTCTCCACTCACATTCTCCCTGTTGGTGGGCTCGACGCCCAACGATCTCCGGCGTCGAGAAAGCGGAGGGCCCGGTGCCGCGGTACTTACCGTGCCTGCCGTGTTGGAGGATTCATCGGCCGGTCGGGCTGAGTTTGTAACAAGGTCCGGGGAATGGCAAAGAACCCCTCATGCGCGGCACTGGATGAGTTCCCCGGGAGAGTTCATGTGCGCTTAGTCGACTCCCTGCCACTCACAGCGGAGCTTGCGTGGTCTTGTATCCATAGTGCCTAGATACACGACTCAGGCGCCGAACACGGCAATCAGACACAACTGGTACGCTCAGCAATACTGTCTTCTCCATAGCAGAAAAGAGATGAGGCAGTTGAATTATTAATGTTGAAATCATCGAAATTAAGCATCAGAAAAGGCATAGCGTTCGACGCGCAAAACAACAGGCCCCGGCGAGCAGCGGCCAGGGCAAGCAGCGTACCAATGCACAAATCTCTCAACAGCTTATAGAAGCCCAGGTTGTGATTGAAACTTCAGCCCCTGCACGCACAACGGGGCCCTGTTGGACAAGCTTATCCGGTGATTACCACCCGAGGGGGGTCCACTGGACGATCAGGAGGGTTCTGCAAGATTGTCATGGAGCAAGCAGCCTTAAGAACTCCTCTTTCCGCAGCCACTGCGGACCTCTGCTTGACTGTCAATTTTACCCGAGCTTCCTGTCACTTTTCTTTTTCCGCGCGCAAGAGTCCCTGTCAAAATGACATGCGACAAGCGCCGGACTTCACAGCATGATTCTTGAAACGAAGTCTCTCTACCTGACGCCGACCGACGACCTCGCGATTGGGACTCTGGTGCTGTCGATAATCCTATCTATCCTCACCTTTTTTGCCGTCTCGCTACGATGCTGGATTCGTCTTCGGGAGGGGCTCTTCGGAGCCGACGATTGGGCCATGCTCGCGGGCATGCTCACATTCCAGGCCACTTGTATTGTCACCGCGTACGGCTGTTTCATTGGAGTAGGCACCCGCGATGAGTTGATCAACATGGTGCAGTGGTCTGAAGGTCATAAGGTAGGCATTATGTCTGATGCTTTGCGAAGCTCCACTTTGACTCAGATATGCACGTACCGGTCTAACCAAGTCTTTCCAGTTTCTCCTCATCTGGGAGTGTCTTTACTTCGTGGCCGCCATGTTCGCCAAATGCGCAATCTCCTTAACCATGCTACGTGTTGCGGCTAAACGAAGCCACAAGATTGCACTCTGGACTGTCATTGCCGTTGTGGTCATGACGGGGTTGACGGGAGTGCTCGGCGGAATGTTGGTCTGCCAGCCTATAGAAAAGAACTGGGATCACACAGCTACCCCTGATGAGTGTGATTACGACGCCGTGCTGGTCATTGGGTTCGTGGTCACTGCGACATCTATTCTCACGGATTTTGCCTGCGCCGGACTACCAATCTTGGTCCTGTGGAATATGCAGATGGACAGGAGGACTAAGGTCCTGACATGGGTCATGTTGACCCTTGGTGGCAGGCATGTTAAAGCCCGAACCTTATTTATGCTTCATAGCTAACCATATTTTCACAGTGCCTCTTTGTCGACAATCGTCCGAATCCCTTACCTGAAGTACTGGGGTATCGATAAGGATCAGCTCTGTGAGTGTATTCCCACCATGTGCAGATTTGCTACACACCCGGGCAGCTGTGGTCGCGAAATGAATACTGATGGGATTCCAAACCCCAGATAACATCGCCAATGTAATAATATGGTCAATGTTTGAATGTGGGATTGGAATAATCGCTGGCAGCATGTCAATGCTGCGGCGGTTTGTTCTCCGCCGGTTGCCTCGACGGAGACTCGACCAAGAGGAAATGGCAACTCCGCAGCCACCCACACATTCTCTAATCACAATCGGTGTGTTCGCTTCTGGGCAAAAAGCGAGGACCACATCTTCTCAGTCTAACCCTGTAGAGATGGGCACCGCCGTTGATGTCAATCGTGTGGACGCATACGAAGAGCTCAGCGGCTCGTCGGCCGGGAAGCCCTCAATCTCGGCGGATCAAGGTGTTCGCGACGGCGTGGAAATGACGGATCTTGGCCACAAACGGCGCCAGGGGAGTGATGCCACGGATAAGAGGCCCCTAAGAGAAACGTTTTGACCGTTCATGAAGCCTTCGTCGGGTTGGGGAGCTCATCTGTCTCTAGAGCAGGCCTATACGGATCCCCCATAGCACCCTCGCAATCGAGTCATTAGATCCCGTCCCGAATGGGCATGCAGAATCATGGCCTAATGCTTTCCAAGCCCAACTGGCCCCATTGGAAACACTCAACATGGAGGTTCTGCATTAGTCGTATCAAAGCTCCCGTCTAGGCTAGGCGAAGCTGGATTAGCCCCCCCTCTGATTTGCTGCTCGGGTTCTGGCTTGTCTGACTGCGGGTCGGCGCCAGGAACCGTTCATCGCTAGTGATGGTCGACATCAGCAGCTGGTGTGCACAGGCCGGCCCCCAAGGCCAGTTCGAGAAGACGCTCTTTGTTACCCCTTTTCAAGGTTCAAACCCACGGGCCTTTTGAGATGGCATAGCGGTTCACTATGGCATCTCACACGTGCAAAATTCGGGCCGGCGCATCATGAACCAAACTATTTCCATACAACTATTCCAGGAGAGGATGTCGGGTCTGGATGGTGCCGAGCACGAAAGCATGCCTTTGTCAAAGACACAGCTATTTCTCAGGACTCGGCCGTGGCAGAGCATCACAGCTCAGGCCGAACTGCTTTCCCGACTTGCCTTAGCTGAGCCTTCGACCACCCAGGGCCCCACGATGCTGTGAACGTTCAGCTGCCGCCGGCCACAAGTTCATAATCTAACTAGGCCCCGCGCATTGCGGTTGTACATGCCCTCGCACCAATCCGGACGGGGTTTTTCAGAACCTTGAATCAGTCCCCAGGCTACACTGGCATAGGCACCAATCAGCTCGAAGACCAGCATGGCGGCAACAACACCTTCTCCGCGCCAGAACTCCCCGCTGGAGTCCCCAGATCCTCTGGGGGTTGCGGCGAGGAAGTCGGACAGCTCTGACGACAGCTTTACTACTCCTTGCCTTGGGGATGCAGGACGACATCTGTATGGGACTTTGTTCAGGCGCGATTCCTCACAGACCACTCTGCCCTTCCCGGAGTTCAAGATGGACAACGAGTCATCTGAGCAGGCTGCCAGGCCGTTGTCGCCGCCTCCTTCGCCCCTGTCGCCATTGAGCTCTCGCAGGAAGAAGATTCCAGACCCACTGACCAGACGACTGAAGAACAAATCAGGTCTCAAGTCACATGTCAATGACTCTGCACTCAGGCAATATACGGACTACGATACTCTTGGGACACCTCGGTCGCCATTCTTCTCTCCTGGCATTTGGACGGGGAACACGTTCGGCGAACCAGACGCCAGGACTAATCTGGAGCAATTCGAGGACGCGTTCACTCCGCAGCTTCCAATCCTTGACGTCTTCGCAATGAAGACTGTCAATGCCGTTTTGAAGGATCAAGGGGCTATCGCTCGTATGAGACACTTTGCGCAGTCTCGCGGCCGTTACAAGGATATCGACTTCTTGATGAAAGTGGAGGAGTACAGCAACACAATGAGCATGGTCTCATCCATCATGGCCAATATCTCCATAAAGCACACCGGAGTAGCAGCATCTCAACCCATCAGGCTCCCAATGGCTGTCTCCAAAAGCCTCAATACCGACATCAAGAACGTCTCTTCTTCGCTTCTGCCGGGACTGGAAAGCCTGTTCGACGACGCGAAATCACACATTGAGAAAAGCCTGTCACAGGACATATACCCTGATTTCCTCAAAAACCAGCTATCTCTCGGCTTGCAAACCATTGGGCCAGGTTACTCGCCCAGCCAGATCTGTTCAGGATTTGGTGACTCTTTCTGCATTACGGACTCGTGGCAGGACGACTGTCCAATCGTCTATGTATCGGACGGGCTAGCAGGTATCACTGGATACAAGCACGAGGAGCTTTGCGATCGTAACTGCCGCTTTCTCCAGGGCCCAGGAACCAGGGCAAGCGGCGTCGACCGCATCAGGGACGCCGTCAACAAGAACCATGAGTGGTCCGAGCTGCTGCTGAACTATCGCAAGGACGGACGCGTCTTCTGGAATCTGCTGTTCACAGCACACCTGATGGGGCTTGACGGGCAGGTCCGCTACCACCTTGGCGGTCAAGTGGACGTGACTGAAGTCCTTGAGTCGCAGGAGAGCGTGGCCGGCTTGCTGGGCTACGTCCCTCCTCTCAGGGACCGCAAGCTGTCGACCAACGACGACGGCGAAAACCGCAGCTCGTGGCGGAATGCATTCAGCAGCAAGGACAGGCGGCCCGGTCGGGATAGGGATGCCAAGTACCCACCGCAAACTTCCCGTAACAAATTCTTCAAGGGTTTCAGACGCCATTCACGGGGCGACGCGCCCGTGTCCCCAATCGAGACGGAGAGCACCCATGACCTGTCGACGTCTGAACCGAACACGCCAATGGAACATCGTGGTTCGATGAGCTACCCGTCTCCGCCACTTCCAACCCACCACGCAGTCCTCTCGCCTTACTCACGCTTCATCGTCCTCGAGTACATCCCAGCAGGTAGGACAACGGGCAGTGGTAGTGATAAGAAAAGCCTGCGTGCCCAACTACCAGTAGCCTTTTGTTCAACAGCTGTAATGGACAGCCTGAACAACGGTTCAACCCAGAAATGCCTCGCAGACGTCATCGGAAACAACGTCTTCAAGGTCCTCTCGGAGGCCGGAAACTCACCCTCGGTCAACAAGTCATTCAAGTCCACCGTCCGGGCGAGCATCGCCGAAGGGCGGTCGGTCAAGCTCGATCTGACGCTCAATGGGAACAACGGCCTGCGGAGGCCCCGGGGCCTTTCGCTGTCCAGGAAGTCCAGCGGGGTCGGCCTCGCAGCTCTGGGGCTGGGAGGGGGAGATTCGGCACCTAGCACCCCCGGTCACGCAGGTCGGACTCTGCGCAAGAGCATGAGCTTCGAGAGGCTAGCACCGCTTGGTCACGGTGGTGCGGAGGACTTTGTGAGTTACTGGACTCCGTTGAAGGATGGCCAGAAAACCACTAAGTATGTTGTTGTCGTGCTCATCCCCGAAGTGTCTTGAGTAGGCGATGTTCCTTTGTCACCTGCCTTCTCAACTCTGGAAGATGAGCATCTAACTAGATGACTTGGGAGTTATTTGAAGTCGCAGTTTACCAGAGTTGCAGTCGTAGTGATTATTTGCTGCCATCATTATCTACTCTGAAACTTGTTTAATCAATAGGACAACACAAGTTCGTGACATGTCACCCAAACCACATGTGCAAAGAATTAAAACGTTCCCATTACGTCTGGCCAAACTCGATGTCATCTCCGAGCTGTATCCCTCCAAGTCATTATCCCAGACACCTTCTCCAACAACTTTGATGTGCCGCTCAATCTTCACTATCACCCACACCATCATCGTCACCATTCTACCGCCCGTCTATCTCATCCGCAGGCGGCATAAACGGGAAAGGATTGCACGGGCTCGCAGGAGGGGGAGGGGGCGGCATTGGAGGGGGCTGTGTGCCTGTGCCTGCGCCTGTAGCCGATTCGCGTTGCCAGAATGCCCAGACCCCAGTCTGGTATGTCGTACACTGGCCGACCCGGACAATCCGAGCTTGGTTGCAGTTGGCATCGGCGCAGGCAAAGAGGGTGGGGCCTCCACAGTTTCTTGTTAGCCATATTCACTATGGGACTCCCCGTAAATTGTTGGCAGGACACTTACTCGTTGTACACAAGACGCTGGTGCAAGTCACTTGGACCCATTGCATACTTGCCACGCCGGCCGGACCGGGCTGGACAACATTGTTCGCAGGATATTCGGTACCTGCAGGCTGCGTGCAACCGGTGTCCCAGAAGCTAGAAGAGACGATAAGTCAGTCTGGACATGTGATGAAATGAACGGCGAGTGATTCTCTTACAAGTTCACAGTTCCGTAGTCTGGTGACTGCCGGGGTGACAGTGCGGCTGGACTCGCAGCGGCCAATGCAATAAAGAGCGTCCAGATGGAGACGAACATTGTGAAAGTTGTTGGTGAGTGATCTTACGGTTCCAGAAGAGAGGAGGCAGGGTGCAGTTTGAGTGAGCACAGACTTGCCAGCGAGTGATGAGATGAACACCAGAAGCAAGGTTGGGAGAAGGGGACTTTCCATTGATTTTATAGGCACAACACTGATATGTGGCTTACGGTGAAGATGATTCTCGAAAACCAATGTACATTTGACCCACCGGATCCCGCTGAAATATCCGACGCCGTCCAACATACTCAAGCTTATTGCGGATTCTTGGCACACTGCCTCAAGGCAGCTTACAGCGGCCCGTTGTGTTGAACCTAGGTAGCTCTTTCGGTCGCACTCGGCTCGCGAAGCTTTATCGAGAGGCGAGCATGGGCGCCTGCCGACGTCCAGGGTGGCAGAACAACGGTCTCCAGGCTCGGCCGCTGCACGCGAGGCTGGGTATTGTCCCCGTGCGGCTGAGTTTAAAGTATGACCACAATACCGATAGGCCTCCGCCAAGCAAATTCTGGTGTTGTTACGTACAACCAAAGGGTGACAATAAGTCTCTGCGGTAGTTGTTCTAGGCCGATCTATACATACTAATTAGTTCGGGGTCAACTTCTTGTCGGAAAAGTCGAGTGGGCACAGTACCCTGGGGCCCAATCGCGTTCTCCAGAGCGAAATTCATCTCATGTATTTTGCGCCCGTCCACTCAATTGAAAAGCCACATCGGGCCAACCAAAGCATCCAACAAGAGCAGCAGAGAAGCGTCGGCAAACAATATATCTCGCGCAAATGCATACTCCCCACTAAAAATATTTTCCGGTGCTTCCGGCGTACCGTAAGCTGCCGCAACCCAGCATATCTCCCTCCGAAGACAAGGAGTTTCGACATCTGCTTAGCAGCTCTTCCAGCAGCAGATGAACAGAATGAATTGTATGTGCTATTCTTCCAGTATAACGGCCTACTCTTATGTTCAAGGATAGGTTGATGGTCTCCCAGATACTCGATAGCGTGTATCCGCGCCCGGGCAGAAAGCCGTGACTATCGTGAGGTGTGCGGTGCGAATCACGTCGTGAACATTTAAAGATCCAACGATCGCCAAGCAGTGATTGGTCGCCTGGTTATAAGGTTAGAGTTTCACGGTAGGACCCGTCTCATCAGGTGGTATTTCTGGCCGGCGTCCGAGAGGCGCTATTTTTAGAGTTAAAGGTTTTGATCATGCCTGGGGCGGGTCAGCGAGAACCGTGACCCTAGGTCCTCGCTGCGATGATCGTGGGTCAGGTAGTCCACCGGCTATGATCGTGGGTGAGGTCGTCCACCGGCTCATCCATCTGCCCACACCAAGTAGAGCCGTAGGCATAGCCGCCAAAATTTCCCTAGGGAAGCCTCATGTTTCATTGAGGTAAGATGTTGGACTGGAATATGGACTAAACAGTCGAACAGGGACACAAGCATGACCCACAACTGGACGGGCCCAAAGCACAAAGACTTTAAGTAGGAAATTGGTCCGAACACCAAAAGGGACACGTGGTGACCTACACGTGTGGTTTCGTTTCTGGTCCCCATACATGTAAAACACTTGTAACGCCTTCATAAAGTGGTAAACGCCCAAGGCCGTGACCTACAGTCGACACCAAATCTCAACGCAGGAGCCTTTCGTTGGATGCGGTTGCCATTCAGAGAGACCTCGGGAGGCTTCGGCAGTCTACCCATCTCGTAGCTTCGGCAACGCCAGTTCATTATGCTGCTAATATTGATCTGTAGAAGGAATTCTATACAGATCACCTGTCCCTTGATGGAGTAAGATTATAACAGCATGGAAGTTGCCGATGCAGCCGTTTTAGTGTCCCATGATGAAAGCATGAGGGGTGCCAAGATTTCTATCAACGGGCACCACGCAGCTGATATTGCCAAGTAGTAGCTTCGTCCAAGGATCATAGCCAGTCCGTGAGCGAGTCGAAGCTCAACGGCACAGTAGCATCAGTGCCTGGCCCATCGGTTTGTCGAGACATGAAGCGCAGTCTGGAGCAAGACGTTGTCAACTTGAGCCCAGTCTCCGGTGTGCCACTAAATCACGAAAGAAGGACAAGAGTAAAGAGAGAAAGAAAAAAAAAAGGGAAAAAAAAGAGAGAAGTATGAATGCCTCAATGAGCTCATTTAGAGCCTTGTTCGGTCTGGCTATATGGACTTCCTGCAGGAAGACGGGAAGCCAGCATAAATTACGGTGGACGCAGCATAAAACCAACGACAAGCTGGAGCCTGCACATGGCTAATGCAGAATATCCGAATGGGATTCGAATATTGCACACTGAGCAACACGACGGACTCTAACCAGAAGGGTTCTGGCTGCAGTCGAAAGCTTTCGAAAAGAGGGGGTATTTTGATACCGTCGGCATTGCGGCCAAACGTATACCCTAGGGTAGGCTAGGTTTCAAAACTTTGATTGGAAATGATTCTCGATGCCTCGAGAATCTCAAGTGGATATATATCAGATGAAATGCATTCTTTTAAGCTTATCGGCATGGTCCCCGAGGGCCGGTTTAAGAATCGTCTGGGACTGGAGATGTTCAAATGTTTTCATTGCAGAGCCCCCCATCCTTCTCATTAACTACAGGCTCGACCATGAAAGAGTAGACGGAATTGCCGGAGTTTTCCAATATTTTTACACTTGAGTCTACACTACATCACACGCATTGTGTTTCTTAGTGGCATGGAGTGGAATTGCAAAAGTCTTCAGTGTAATGGTTGTAGTGTGCTTATTTTTATACAGTACTACACTCGGTGTAATAGGTGTCGTGGGTCGCAACCCTGCAGACCATGGAAGACGACAACACGTTATTATCTCGTCCGCTCGTAATACTCCATTTCTATGGTTCTGCCTTTAAGCCTTGGTAGAAGTTCGCTCTCCTCGCCAGCGTTGTCCAAAAAACCAAGTCAAAATGGCAAGCGGCGCACAACAGGCCATGACAATCGCCAATGTAAGAAACGCAAACTCAACCCCCAAGTTCGCAATCATGGTATCGATGATAGCCACACCGATGGCGCCAAGCGTACACCGGACAAGGTTATTAATCGCCGTAGCACTGGCTCCCTTTCCAGGGCAGAGGTCCGAGATAAGCGTCTGGTTTGCAGCAAAGACTGCGTTGCTCGTCGCCGCGATGATGAATTGTAGGGTGAGGGGGAGCGCGATGTACCCAGCTTGGTCGGAAACCCACCGCGGCACGCCGAGGGAGAAGCCATACCCCACGATGGAAGCGATGAACAGCGACACGATCCACCACAGGTTCCGCAGGCGGGCGTGCTCGATGGGGAAGTCCGCCGGGATGGCTTTGGTGGGGATGGTGTAGTCGCTGGGGAGGTTGTTGTCGGCCCTGTACGCCTTCTCGCAGACCCGGAAGTCCCGTGTCATGAGCTTGGCCACCACTGCCGAGCCCGCTATGGTGCCGATTCCGTTGGGCAGATATGCGAGGCCGATCATGGTCTCGTTGAGGTGAAAGCGGTCTTTGAACAGCCCCGTCGTGCTTGAGGTCACCATTGACCAGATCGCGTAGACGACCCCGCCGAAGACCAAGTTTGTCAGAATATCGCGCTGTACGAGTAGTTTCAGGGGTGAGGTAAATGTATCCAAGTCAACTGTGATCTTTGGCCCGTCTTTTGGTGCGTCTTGCGTATGGTATTTCGACTTGACGCCACAGCATTCGATCAGTGGCCTGTATATTCCTCCGAGGCGACAGCTCCCGTTGCCTGCAATCGATCGCATTGTCTCAGGGAGAAATGCGACCAGGGACCCGAGGGTGAGTGTCGAAAGAACAAGGAGAAAGACGAAAATTGAATGAAACCCAAGATAGTTCGCCAACACGCCGCCAAGCACGGGCCCGACCGCAATGCTGAAGTTGCGAACTGGAGGCACTTGATTAGAGATCTCGGGCATGGCGTGGGTCAATGTGTTTCGGACATACTGGCTTGGTAAAAGCTGATGAAGTTGCCCCTCTCTGACGAGGGAGTGATGTCTTGAATCACGCCATTTCCTGTTTGCCAATACTTAACGAGTCTTGTCCAAACCAACATTCCGGTCAACGACTTACCAATGCTTACTGTGGATGCACTCCCAACAGCCTGCATGCCCCGGAATACCAGAAGGACAGCAAAATTCGGAGCGAAAGATAACACAATGTTTGAAATAATATAAACACCAAAAGACGCCATATATATTGGTCGGCGGCCAAGGGAATCAGCGAGAGACCCCCATATTATGGGAGATATTGCTTGGCAGATGAGGTACGATGTGATGGTCAGAGATACTGCTTGCGAGCTGACATGAAAATCCTTTAAATGAAGATTAGTGAAAAAAGCTCATCCAGCCGCAGGCCGTGATCTTGGAACAAAAGTACCGACCTGGGCGATAGCGTCTAGAGCAGGAAAATAAATATTGGAAGAGAGGCCGGAGAAGAGCCCGGCAACACCGATCAGAATAACGATAGCCCATTTCCGGCGGTGCGAGAATACATGATACAGCTCGGCATCCTGACTATCTTTTGAGTCGAAACTGGTTTGTGACTCTTTGTGGAGATCACGGAGATCGACCATCGATGACTGTCGCGTGTAGGGAGGAGAGCTAGTGGGCGTGCCGCTCGGAGAGTAATCAAAGTATATGGGCTCTTCCCAGAAAGTACTTCCACGATTCACCCGTGTTGAATTGAGGGAGACCAGTCCGAGGTCACTGGATGCCGGAGAGGAGCGACTGCTGGGCTCAGAAGACACTTGAGCAGCATTTTCGGACATCGTGGGGCGGGCTGGCGAAGTCATTGTCTGGTTTGGGCTTGAAAAGTTCATTGCACTTGTTTACCACGCAAAACTTTCTAAACATGACCTCAAATACCTCGCTGACTGATGGAATTTAAATCCAGCATCAGGAAGGAAACTTATCTGACGTCTTATACACTTGCACGGGTATTGCGGTGCCATCTGAATCAGCCATGCCAAGACACAGAGACTTTGCTTGCTCGGTGTACAAAAGAATACATACTTCCATGTAGACTTGCGATCCTGACGCCATCTCTCGGCCCAATGAGACCGGATTCCCGTTTCGTTTGAGAGCACTGGCTGTGAGCCGCAATTTTGACTTGTGTGGAGTCGAGTGGGACTCCTGCGTGCAATCTAAATCACCTCGACGATTCATCCCTTCATCTTGTTTCGGCGGCTCCACTTGACGTGAGCTTTTGAAGTGACGTCTCCCTTATTTTTGGTGCTCGATAAAAGTGGGCAAATGGGGAATAGCTCAGCGTTCATTCTACCCTCGTACAGTCTTAGGGTACCTAGGAATCTGGAACACTGGGTTTGCTTTCATAAGCCACTATGCAATCTGCCTTGGCATAAGCTGTGCATTGACAGTTGACCAGATGTCGTCCGAGGCGGACGGCTGTGGAACAAATGCAACATTCGGACGAGGTATGGATGTCCGACACAACCCGCGTTTCAAGCCGCCATTTTGCCTCCGATTCGCCATCGTCGTCATAGCTGACGGCGCATTATCATACCGGATGGAGGATATCCACACCCAACGTCGAGCTGGGATCAAGCGTCATTTCTTGCCAAGAGTCCGCACCTGATAATATTTGGAAAGACCGTGGATGGCGATCCGCCAGGACAGTAAGGAAAGGACCGACTGAAAACCCGGTTTTCTGCAACAAAAAAAAAAACTGAAGGTTTTGGCAGGCGGAGCCTGTGACATTATCGAAGTTTGTATCGGTGCAGTGCTGTGGCGCCCAGCTTGGCCCTGGCCCCAATGGTGTTCGTCCCGTCTTGAGGCGGGCGTACGCGCTGTCTCTCAGCTTCTACAGCATTGACCGACGCAAAGGACCGGGTTGAGGCTTTCGGGTCATTTTCTTTTGTTATCTCAGTCTGCAGGTCGTGTGAAACCGGATGAAGCTTTGTGACACGGCACCGTTCGGAAGGAGATAGGAACACATCAAAGTATTGCTGTTGTGATGTTTTGGAATGAAACGGTTCTCATAGAGGGCAATAACGTCTAAATACCAGTAAACAATGGGCGCAGTCCTGAGGCAGGTACGTAATCGAACATTGGGGTCACACCGCAGCTTTGCATCTGCTTGGCACGATGCATGTGATAATTCAGAATCAGATCGGGAGACCTCGGGAGGTGTGGAGCTCCGGAGCAGGATACTACTAGTATATGAGGCAATGTCGGCAGTATTGTAGATGCGCGGGCTTTAGCCACATTATATTTTTTGTTCAACTATATATTTATCTATTCGTCATCTTCTCAACTTTTAGATTAGCTATTAGCTTATACCTCAAGCATAAAGTCAATAATTACTTAGTATATACCCTTAAACTTATTCATATATAGAGTTACTAGCTTCCCTTATAGAGCTCCCTCTTCCACTACATTCCTTATATATTATATAAAAGTAAATAAATCCTTAATAATAAAATAATATACCTAAAGGAGAAAGATTTAATTTTTAAATACCTAAACTTTCACTTTTCTTATATAGTATTTATTTAATATATAATAAATAAACTTTACTTAACTTTTTAAAAGGGTTTTAATCTTTTTATAAAATTTATATAAAAAGGCTTTTTTAAATAGGTTTATTATTATAATATTACTATTTTATTAGCTATATACTTAGGACAGGGACTATAATTTAGCTTATTTAATAAGGGTAGATTTAGGTAACTATCAAGTATATTAATGGGAAAGAGCTAGCTTACTAAGTTTCACATTATAGAATTCTTCTTTTTATAAGGGCTATTTTAAGACTATTTTAATTTTACTATATAACTACTTTACTAACTTTAACTTTAATATTATAATAAATTAGCCCTTAAGTTATTTATATTAATAATTTTAATATAATACTATTAAAAGTAATGCCTTTTAGCCTTATCTATATAGTACAAGGCTTAACTACATACCTATATATTATATTCTCTCTTTTTACTATTATTAGTACTATATTTCTTTAAATGCTGGGTCTTAAGTATTTACTACTATATAAAGGCGCTACATATATTTTATATATATAGGGATTGAAAACAAAACTATATTATAGATGTGCCTTTGGCTGCCTCTTGTGTTTATTTAGATTTAGTTCTTATTGTTAAGATGTTGGTGGGATATAGGGGATTAGTTAGACCATAACTAAGTTGATGGAGATTGGGGCATGCTTTTTATATTGGCTAGCCACAAGCTCTGCATTACTTGATCTTGGAATGCGCTATGGCGTACAGAGTCAGTCTGAACCAGGAAGAGGAAGACACGGAGCCAAGATAATGTGATGGAGGCTTCAAGGTTATGATGTTCGAATCAGGGGCGCGCTGCAAGTCAATGCCTGGGCTGGTAACTTGAGTAGCTTGAGTTCAATGTTGCTACGGCAAAGCCTGTATTGGGTCATCTGCAGGTAATGTTTTTCTGAGCTCCACTTCAGGCCTGGAGGACCTGACAGCCTGAGCCTTTGTGACATCATCCCATGCAATTGTGTATGGTCAGCCATCAGAGGCCGATCTGTCCCTCCAGCAACAAGCCTAGTGAAAACAACATTCATCCATCTCGCCCTGCCTTCATCCTGCTGTTCACAATCCCCCGACTCCCAGTCTTCACCAACCATTCAACAACCTCACATTCAGCCAGCATGCCAAGTTCTGCGTGATCATCATGACAAAGACGACCGCTGCTGAAGTTGACTATAAGTCTGGTGATCTTGAGTAAGCTGCAATCCCTCCATTGCCCCCATCGCAAATCTGTTCTGGAAGATCTCAATATTCTACGAAGTCTAAATACCTCCATCACAGCCTTCTGAGTTCCGGAAACTTTTCTGATGTTGAAGTCGTCTGTGGAGATCGTTCGTGGAAGTGTCACGGGGCCATCCTTGTGCCGCGCTGCCTATGGTTCCGCAAGGCTCTCACGGGTCCCTTTCAGGTGGGTGGCTCAGCAAGCCAACCAGGCATGCGCTGACCAATGCTGACAATTTACCATCAACCACAGGAGTCAAATACCAGAAAGATCACCCTTGCAGAGGAAGACCCCATCTGTATCGATCTCGTTCTCAAGTACATTTACGGTGGTGGTAGGCATACTAGTAGATCACAACGCGAATTGCTCAGGCTAACATTAAAATAGGGCTTGATATCATGGAAAATGTCTCCCAAGAACACTTTGTCGAGCACTGTGTTGCTCTCTGGCGCACTGCAGACTTTTTGATGATCCAAAAACTCAAAATCTTGGTGGGAATCGCTGTGCAAAACTACTGCGACAAGCGGATGAAGGAGCTATGCATAAGTCCTCATCGGCCAACCTGGCGCCACATCGATCAGGGCTTATCCAAAAGCTTGAGCCCATGGGCCATTGACCTCCTTCAAGGGCTCCAGCAGGCCTATATCTGGCAGATTGTGTACCTGAAGGCAGTGCTCATGGAGTTCATATGGGTGGGAAGATCAGTGACGCTGCAAAGGGGCATCGCTTCCGCCTTGTTTGAACACCTCAAAGACACGCCGGAGTTCGCAGACGAATTTCTAGGAGATTATGTCTCCAGGTCTTGGAAGAGCACATCGGTATGGATCCCGCCTCGCGAGAATGTGATCTCGCAAAGAGGCTCTAGCTTCTGCATTCGGTGTCGCAATGCGATAATCTGGGGTGACTTTTGGAGTACATCGGGCTCGGGGCAGGTCATAAACCCTTTCAGGCGAGACGGCGACAATGGATATCAGGGTGGCTGGTGTAGTGGCTGTGCGGCAGGCGACAATATTCCTTGGCGGGGACCACCGCCACAAAGAGCCCCTCAACCTTCTCAAGCTCAAGCTGGCAGCAACTCACACGCTGGTCAGCCGCCGACTGCAGGACGAAGGCCTTGAGACATTTTAGGTTGTGGGATGCCTTTCGCCCAATGAATCATTTAGTTGAGAGGGGGAGATGGTTGCGGGGAAACCGAGAGTCCTGTGCTGGGTACCTGAGGACCCCCCAACATGAGGCTGTCTTGACGGAAAGTCACGTACCCTAGGGTACTTACCTTCATATTATATCAACAATTTTGCGCAAAGTACCAGACAAAAAATGCGTCACCTGATTTGTCTTTTGCATGGAATCATCCAATTCCTGGTTTCCAAGGCTCTTGGCCTGCAGCTGCCCCTCGCGCTGCACCATTTCCTCCCTTTTGATGGGAGCTACCGGGGCTTGGTCAGGCAATAATTATTTGCTGATGTACAGAGTAGCAAGCCTCTACGCCCCCATCTTGCCCTGGCGTATTATTGATCTTTGCAACTATTGGTGAGTAGTAACTACATGGGCCAGTCGTGCATTGATTAGGTCTTGAGCAGAACCACCTCCCGCAAACTTCAGGTGCCTGCCCTTGCGCATCTGCCGTTACATCCGCCAAATCTACTTCGCCCTCAGAAAACATCGGACCATGACAGTACGGGTAGCGGCATGAAGCCGGCCGGGATGGGGTCGCAAGCCGCCACTCCAACTGTAACCGTGTGAGTGGTACTGGAGAAAATCCCTGAGGAGGGTCCAATCCATCGACAGGAGGGAAAGAAACAATCGCTGTCTTGGACTTGATCACCCGCACTACTCTCCCTTCAACACAAGTAGAGAGGGGAGGCTCATTGAATCTCAGACTCGTCAAAACGCCAACATGGGACCCGCACTATCCTGAGGCTGATCCAGCCTTTGTTGTCCGTGGTGGCCGGAGCCGCTCACTGATTCATCATGGGAGACCCCCACAATACGGCGGCTCATTATTCAAGAACTTGTTTAGACCTTGAGACTATCTTCATATTGATAAGATTAGATTCGCAAGCTGCTATTCACAGTGACGTCGTAGCCGAGTCTTCGTCCCGTCACCAGAAGGGTGAAGAGGGGATGATAAGTGAGTAAGCCACTGTCCGCTAACGATATACTGTATGCATAGAAAAATCGATTGAAGCCTGGGCTAAGACGGCATTTCGTTCCGTGATAAGCAACTCATTCCCTGACATTATTTACCATCCTTGCATCGCCGGTGAACGTTTGTGACCCTTACTGAGAATGAGAACAACGCATCCGGCGGTTGAAGTATCAGTGAACAAGTCGATCCCGTGAAGAAGTGCAGACTCCGGTCTATTTGTGTCAGTTTGATCGTAGGTTTCCCTAGTGTGCGTTCTCTGATCCAAATTAATGTGCAAAAGCAGTGGGCCGTCAGATTCCAGGACGTCTACAAGACAGGCTCATGTGAGGCTCCTTCTGTGTGCGCTAAACCTTTCCTATACGTCCCAGGTCTGATCAGCGGCGGATGTGCTCGCCCGACAACAACATGACGCGCAAAGACGCGCGCTGGAGCAAACGTGGCCACCGAGCACCGAGCCACCGCGGTGGCCAATCATGGCGCAAACCGCAGTACAAGGATTAAGAGCTTCCCGTGCGTGACCGATCCCTGTCGAAGTGCATGCCTAGGTATGACGACCCTGAGGCGTGATCGACGAGCATAGAGCTAAAAGGGAATTCAACAAATCCCAGTGCATTTGCATCGGGCATTTGTGGGTTCTACTGAAGTATACATTGGCTGGTTTTACGGAAGTATTAATAGAATGGGGGATTTAAGCTAGGTAACTCATTCGCGAAACTAACTCGGGGACGTGTTACAAACCGGGTGTTTCTGAACGCACAGATGCTGATCCGGAATGACCCTGGCCTGTTCTGGTACAGGTGCCACTACTAGGCCCTTTTCAAGAGGCCGGAATGGAACCAATTTTTTAATAGTCGTCTAAACCCTCACTAACAATCACTCGGAAAAACGAAACTAAGCCTTCCCCTACCCTAGGGTAGTTAAAATTGACACATGCACGAGCCTTAAAGCTCAAGGTCAGGAGTAAGTTTAGTACTAGGTCTTTCTTTTTTAGAAAGGTAGTGTGTTTAATAATGCTGCTAAGGAAACAAAATCAGATAAGAAATCTAAGTATTCATACCTATATTATAGCACAGGGTCTACGTGTGCTGTAGTGTTCTTGCGTATACATTTTAAATTTAACTGGGGGCCAGATAACATTTTCCGTGACAGCGTTAACGGGCAAGATGGTTCTATGAATGAGACTTCGCACAAGCTTTCCAAAAATGATGACGCTGGTCTCTAAGCTGAATTCATCCAGCAGAAATCTGATCTAGTGACGGATGCAAAAAAAGGTAAGGCCAACCACTTGATATCAAAGCTTGTTATGTTATACTAGGGCCACAGCAGCTCGTCCAGCACGAACCAAAAGTATTCCAATCTTTCTATACTTCGATCGTGTCCTTCTCTCTCAACTTCCCCAAATATAGTATAGAACTCCTGAAGGCAATCCAAATAGTGCCATAGGACGTTTTACGAAGGCACCCGCGACACCCGCTCTTGCCTCTCATTTGAATCCCTTGACTCATTACAGATTAAACCACATTACGTGCTGCACTAGTTATACAAGCAGAATTCTCTGTGCTGATGTTGACTACAGCAAATACCTGAGGAGAGTTTGGTGGCGTGTGGCCTGTAGTCCTATGTAGATATCCTAGAAAATATTCTGGACCGACTCATCAGCTGTGGTCTAATAGATACCAGAGAAGCTTTGAGGGTCAGTAATGGTATGGCGTTACCCTAGGGTAGCTGCTCCGGTGGATCGTCAAAACCGTTTTTAGTCACTTTTAAAGCCGAAGGTGAAACTTGAGCCTTGCTACCTGCAGGATTCCAGATATTCTGATGGTCGTCGGATGCTAGAGGACGGTGTAAATAGTATCATTGTTCATTCCGGCCTCTTTATACTGAGGATCAATTTTTGGTCCCAGATCTTTTGTTACCTTATCCACTCTACGATTTAACAGTTGTTTTGTGGTTACTTAATCCGCTTGCCAATCATTGGATTGTTTTGAAGGCCTGAATAGCAAGCATAGTAATCACAAGAGTGACGTACTAGTTGGCATCCATAGCCGACTAAAGTCACGTATTACTTATGAACACCTGCCCTCGTAACGGCCATTGTCCGATCGAATCATTGGTTGCATAGTATCAAACTTCATTAATCACTTAAAAGCGACCTCAGCAAACCTCTAGCGAGATGGACTAACATATACTATGACTTGAATGAAAGCGACGAGGACTAGACCACTCTCCAAATCACGCATCCAGATCCGCGAATAGCCCATGAGAGTACTAGTAGTTCGAGAGTGTTAACGAGTAACTATGGGCAGGGTTTGTTGGTTATGTTGCGGCGTGCACTGTATTCCATGCTACATTTCTTCATACACCACCAAGTCAAAGATTCGTTTTCCACGAAGACGTAGGCTAGAATATGTCCAATTCCTGACTTATATATACTGGAAGATATTTTTTGGTACACTAGCGGAGAGACCCGAAACATTTTGCTTCATTCCGTGCCCGCTGCTTCTTTGATCAGCTCCCTTAGACATGGGCAACGTAGTTGACACCAGCCTCCCAGGTCTGCCCAGGGGCCAGGCTGTTGAACTTGGCGACGTAGCCGGGCTCGATGGCAAGGTAGTGCTGCCAGGCGTCCTTGGGCGCGAAGTCCTTGGAGTTGAGGATCTTGGTGGCCCAGGTGTTCCAGATGGTGGTGTCGGGCAGGGTCTCGCTCCTCTCGACGGTGACGCGGGGGGCACCGTCGGCGTTGAGCACGATGGGCGCCACCTCGGCTGGGCTGTAGATGCGGTCCGTCTCGCCGGTGATGGTGAGCGCGTCCGAGGCCTCGGTGAACACGGTGAAGTTCTGGGTCTTGTCCTGGTAGGTGGAGCCCTTGAGGCCAGAGACTGTTGTTGTGTTGATGTTCTGTGTTGGGTTGGTCAGTATGATGACAATTTGATGCACTTGGGGGTATTATATGGCTTACAGGGACGGTGAGGTAGGTGTGCAGAAGGAACTGGAAGTCAATAGCCTCAGTGTCCGTGTTTTCGACACTGAAATGGACGTTCAAGTTGTCCTGCTTCAGGTTGACCGTGTAGGCCAGCTTGGCGGAGTAGGGCCACTTCGCCTGGTAGTCCGCGCTCAATGAGGCCGAGTCGAGAAGGAATTTGAGGGCGACACCTGATCCATCCTCCTCGGGTGTGGACGAATCAAAGGTCCATGTGCTGTTGCGGGCGAAGCCATGGGAGGGCATCTTGGAGGTCTGGCCCTCCGCTGGTGGAGATGCAAAGTTGGGGAAAACGACTGGGATACCACCGCGGATGGCAGCGCTACCATCCAGGGCTGAGGCGGTCGATAGGAAGATCTTCTCGTCGCCATCGCTCGACTTCCATGATGTCACAGTGGCTCCGTGGAGGTAGACGGTGACGGCGTCTCCGCTGGGCAGCTTGGCCTCAACAGTGCCCTCGCCCTCGGTCACGGTCGCAGGAGATGCACGGTAGGAAAGGGGTCCGGCCTGGGCCTGGGCCAGGAAAAGGCAAGCAGTGCCGAGCGGTACGAGTGATGGAAGCATCATGGCGTTAAAAAGAAATGCGTTTTGAATGAGGGACTTTCGCTCAAAAGAGTGTGACTGGGGCAGCAACAAGTAGCATATAGTCAACTAACCCATCATCCACTGTCTGAGGGGCTTCCATTCATATATCAATAATCGACGGCTTTTTCGCAGCGTCCATTTTTACCGAGTCGACGGTATTCAGTGGCGCATGATTCGAGACCACCGAGATTACCGGCCCCTGAGTGAAGATCCTAGAGGGCGAGATGAACGCCAAGCGTCCAAGCCAAACCTTGAATCGAGGCATAGCCCGGTAGTAGCCCTTTTCGGTCGATTCACTGTCTATTTCGCGAAACTTTTGTAAACTTGAAACAGCGAATCAACGAGCGTTCTAAATAGAATTCCTGGGCCTTCAAGAATTGTGTTCACTTGCAGACAACACAAAGCATAGTTCTGACGGTCGTATTCGTGCTCTCGAGTAGCTGGTGTCTCTGCATATACAAGGAATATGGCCCGCTTAATGATGCACCTGCACTTGTATGAGACCCACTGCCATACGCTGTCGGTCGATAGAAATTTGGTATTTGCCAAGAGCCTCGCGTTGTGCTTCAACGGTTGTCGTCACTCCAACACCGAGTCACGGCGTCAGGCGGCAAAACAAATCTGCATATGTACTATTACCTCCTCGTCCTCCACATGCGAGCCGTGTTGGATGAAATTAAATTTGACTCCTACCGAAAGTCTTATTTTCTGCGGGATGTGGTGTTATGCTCAAAGCGACTGCACCGGTACCCTCCGTGGTAAAACGAATATCTGGCCTCGCCCACTGGAAAACCCTCAACATGCGACACAATTGACCGGCCCCGGAGCAGTCGATCAGGGTGCAGTAACATATGAGGTCGTGCAGTCTTCACAGATGCAGCACCTTAACCGGTATAACTCTATGCCCAGGCTTTGGGGGCGGAAGATCTGGTCTGCTGACCCTTATCGCCAGCTTATAGTTGCTCGGCAGGGCAAACTGAGCATTTGTGGCTTCCAACGGTTGCTGGTCACGCAAGCACAGCGCCACAAACCCAAGCCAAATCTTACACAGGTCTGGCCCCGATTCGCCAACATCTCCAAGGTTGCCTAGACATGACTTCAGCCGCCTACCTAGGACGCTTTAGCGCTTACACCATGTGTTCGTCTTCGGTTGCATCGCCTCCTCGCATCACGAACCACCAACTCTGCGGGGAGCGTTCTCCCGAATATTTAGTAAAGCTTGAAGTCCACCCCCAGGGAACCCTTGGGAAAGTTTCCTGGATGTTTGCGCCAATCGACCCGGATTGATTTAGCTCCCGCATTTTGGAGTCGGTGCTTCAGCCATCCAATCCAATAATGGCAGACCCACTCCCTGACTCTGCCAGTGCCGGATACGGCGACCCTCCCCCTTACGACTCCGTGTCCAGCCCGGGAGCGCCGGCAGGCCTTCCCCAGGAAAAGGGACCGCGCCCTGGCGCCATCGAAGACAATGATGAGTCAGCGGTCGACCTAGAGCCTCCTCCACCGTTCACGGTCACTCCCGGGACGCTCATCCTGGCTCGCGGTGCCGTGCTCGTCAGGGGTCAGGTCCCGGGAGCCAGGCCGCTTTACCAACTTTCACGGCCGCTCGACGGGCATGCAACGATGGTCACACTGCTGAACGTGTCTGCAAATCGGCGTCTGAAAGAAGACGGCACGATGGAGGAATCAGACGCGCGCGACAAGCTCTATAAGATCTACAAGCATCGCGACCTGGGGAACCTGGATGCACCCATAGCGGCAGTCAGTTCACAGAAGACAGGGCAGCTCGAAGGCATACGGCTAAAGAAGGAAACATCGAGGGGTTTGACGGGGGTGAAAGAGTTCTATGAAACTATGTGGGGCGAAGAGGACAGCCGGAAACCACTTTATCAGACGCGGCATAGGAAGGGCGTCTTTGAATGGCGCGATACCTCGACCCGACTTATTGCCGTCAACGGGCAGGGCAGCGCTGAGAGCCCCCAAGAAGAGAGCCTCGAGGTTCTGGTAGCTCTCAACAAGCAAGAATTGGATCAGATAGTAGCGGTGTGGATTGCGAAGTTATGGCTGGAAACCCAGGCCGAGGGGCTGAAGGCGGAGAAGCAAGAGGCTAAGAGGCGAAAGTCTGAACAGAGGGAATTAGACAAACAGGAAGGCCGGCCACATGGGCCGATCCACGATATGAAGGAAGCCCTGGGCATCGGATATGGAGTTAAGGGTCCTTCTCACGGGCTTTATCCCGGAGGCATGCCCACCACTAACTCAAGGGGGCGTATCAACTGGCACGGATCGGAGGCCTAGAGTCGCTGGGAGGTCACTACCTATTCAAATGAATGAGGTCGAAGACGGAAAAGTGGCCAATCCAAGGTAACTCATCTATCTCCTTGTCGTAGCTTCATGTGTTTCTCCAGCGCAAAGTTTCGGATATGAAATTTTTAATCAGTATGAATACATCCAGAGGCGCTGTTATTGTATGCAATTTATCATAGGGAAAATGGTGACTTTGACCCGCAATTTCACATGTGATGACCAGGCCTTTCTGACAAGCAATACGAGGGAATTCAAGTCCATTCAGCATCGAGGTGTGGAATTCACTGCTAGGAAGTAACGCGAGTGTCTCACTTGGATAGGCCTTGAACCACGGAGTTTTCCCCTCTGAGACAAGGCACATCTATCGCACCGTTTGCACACAATGAAGCAAGGGAGCCGAGCTATATAGTACCGAACTACCGGCCTTATCGGACTGTGATCCATGGGGACAGTCTAGCATGGTTCACTAGCCCGTTCATTCCATGCGGTTCTCGCAAATTGGCGAATTCTCTGGATCTGGCGCAGCGGAGCCCACGAGATCGTCGACAAGATAACGTTTCAGAGCTGTCATACAGGCTATTCAATTCCTACGATCTCAGTAACTCCACGATTGAGCGCGACTTCAAGTAAAATGAGTCGTCATGGAGCGTGTATGGAGAACCAGGAGCATAGACCACAGGAATTATCAGACCATCTCAATTAAATCGCCGCGAGCCATGATTGTAACATCGCCAAATCACTTTTCATTGTTGGAGATGGGTGAAGCATCCTCCAGAAGTATTGGAAACCTACGAGAGAAATCCGGGGTCACAGAATGATTCTAATATCGAGTCACTGGCAACCCTGGAAATTCAAGACATCTAAATGGCTCCCAGGTCACTTTCAGTTGATGATATCTCACGATCAGTGAGACATGGGCTAGCGTGGTTCGCGTATTCCTGACCATCACAGTAATATGGATCGTCGCGTCTAAACATACGCGAGAACGCGCCGCCTCTCTCACATTTATCATGTAAGGTCTCCTTCAAAATTCTCCACGGATACTGTTTCGCAAACAACAACGTTCGAAACAACGTTCGATTGTGTTGTCGAGACCATCACCTTCTCTAAGCTCTCTCTCCTTCTGGTCACCCCCACAACAGCACACGAGACACTGATGTCATGATGTTTACCTTCCAATTCTACAGTATCTTGGGACTCCTTCTTTTTAATTTTCCGTCTGTTGCTCCTCTAGCTGTCGATGTCTCCCCTGCACTACCCGATGAATTCGGTTCGAGCTCTTCTCTTGTTTCTGGAGCAGATGAGACGGCCTTAACTCCCAAGTCTATCGACACTACCTCTGATCTAGGACCAGCATTGCTCGATCCAATGTTCAATTTGGACACCCCAATCATTCTTTATGTTACGACTGGGCAGACATTCTTCTTTTGGGTCGTGAGCTTCCTCGTGTTCAATATCCAAGACGTCGTCATTCAGACCACTCCTGTTGTGAATTGGGTCACGTTAGACCCATCAAAACGGGCAATTACTGGACAGGTACCACTCGGTATTCCGCCGGGCCGCATTGTTGTGGACCTCGTTGTGTGGTACAGCGTTGGTTGGAGAGTTGTGAATCTCCCGGTGTCCGTGACACTGGACGTGCAACCAAACTGGAATCCGCTCCTCAGCACCCGATCATCCACCTCAACTGCCACAACAACCTCTACAAGATCAACGAGCTCTTCTTCTACACTCAAAACTCCAACGACCACAACCACATCGCGTAGTACGTCGACTACTTCCAGGTCGACATCAAGTTCTACATCACAGGCCACCATTGGATCCAGCTTGAGTAGCAGTTCAAGATCGACCTCTTGTTCGACATCGAGTTCCAGGTCGGCCTCTACCACCTCTTTGGCATGGGCTCCCACATTGCGCCCGACAGCTACGGTGCCTTTTCCTAACATAACTCTACCATTCCCGATAGAGTCTTTGAGTTAGACCCTTCGGTACTGGTGCAACTGCTACTGAAGAATATCATTTCGATGACCGGGATACATCTTCGATTTCTATCAATAATCCATCTAAGGGAACACATCTTCAGCGCGTGGAACGCGTGTAACATCTCGACGTTGATGGTTCGACACAAGCTTTCGAACTGACTTACATGAATGGGGATTATTCATGTAAGGCGAAACAAAGGTCTCTTTAAGGCAGGAAGAGCTTTCTGGAATGACAGTGTGCTTGAACTTTTCACGGAGAGGACATTCATGGATGGCTCAGTTTCTAATGGGATCATAGTCTGTTTGGAGTGTCCACGGTGCAAAGTGCCAATGTCAGAATCTTAATCTTTTCATCAAGCAATCTATTAATTCTATGAAGTAGTTAGGAGATTCGGACTATCATCAATTTTAGACTATGGCCTAGTACGCAATCTTTGACAGCGACGCATCTCCGCCTGATATGTCTCGATTAGATGGTCGACTTTTTCGTTTCATCATCGCTTTATAATAGTTTGATAAATGGGGGTACCACTTGCCACGGCGATCTGTACTCTTCTGTATGCACGTGAATCAAATTCAGATCTTTATTCACTTAAGGTTACGCTACGCTTTGCTTCCTGACCCCGTCCTCCGTCACATTTACAGTTTTTTTCATAACTTGCTATTGTGAACTTATTCATGGCGTAGCCGGATGTATGTATTCTCCCCCTAGTGTTTTGCAGTGATGGCTGTAATACATTTTCCAGGTGGATAAAGTGCCGGGATCTATGTCCACAAGATGTGATCCATTCCGGGGATTTGACGACCTCCATGGACGGGAATAGTCTGGGTAATATCATCTAGTCTCCTTTTCTCGTCGAGCGTCAGGTCAACAACCTCGCAATTCTCATGAACGCGGACGTCGGCTGAAGCACCAGGGATCGGAATGATGGTTCCGCAGACTCCCACATTCGAATGAGACCGAATCCACTGAAGCGCGAGCTGAGCCGCAGTGACCCTTTTCTGCTTCGCTATCTCGACCACCTGATCCACGAGCTCGATGTTCTTGTAGAAATGCTGCGAGCAACTTTTGTCAGTCTTAAATCATCTTCTAGCTAAGACCAAGCATGTCTGTGCAGGGAAAATCTACAAATATCATATCCTTACCTCAGGCTGGAAACGACCAAACATCAGGCGTACGTCTCCCTTGGGTATATCCTCGAGCCTCCTCACTTTGCCACTCAGGAAACCATAACCCAGGGGGGAATAGGTCAGAATGGGGATATCCAGATTCTTGCAGGTTGCAGCGACACCGTTGGTCAGGATCTCGGTGCTCCAGAGCGAGAACTCAACCTCGACGACGCTGATCGGGCAGATCTTGCTGGCGTTTCTGATGGTTTCAGCCCGCACCTCGGACAAGCCCACAGCCCCAATGTCACCCCGGTCCACGAGTTCCTTCAGGGCACCAATAGTCTCTCCCAAAGGCACTTCAGGATCGATACGGGCCGGCCCAAAGATATCAATCTTCTTAAACGGCGCTAGGATCTCGTCGCACTCGGCGAAGCTGGCAAGGACACCCTCCCGAGTGTTGGTGGCGGCCAGCGTGGCAGCATCGCAGCATGCACGGATAAATAGGGTGACCCTGTCGGCGTACTCTGGGTATCTTTCAAAAAATCGGCGGAGAAGGTGGAGCCCGGCGGTAGGCGGCTCAGGAGCCATTCCGTAGATGGATGATGAGGACCACACCGTAGCGCCGTTCTCAATGGCTGCTTTCATTGCCCCAAAGCAGCGATCGTCTGGCAGCTTCTCCGGACGCCAGGTAAGTCCCAATAGACCATAACCGGTCGGGGGTAGGGGTTTTGGAAGAGGCATGTTTTTAACCACACACCGTCTTAAATGGTGGGCAGCGGCCAGCTGGCGCATGTAGTAACTACCTAGGTAGTGTTGGATGAGAAACTGAAGATTCCTCGATGTCTTTGAACATAGATGGAAACAAATTTATAAGTTTCAGCAGGGCTAAGATGTTTGTATGATCCGTTGGACCAGACTTCGCGTTCACCTTTCAGTTATCTCCGGAGACGCGAGTCGTCAGACGAGAGATCGGGAATACGGTGTATTGACCATGACATGTGTACTTGTGCTGGGTATGCCAAGGATTACCTGTCAATGCACAGTCGGACTTATCGCGTCCATTTCCAGTCTCGGGAAATAGAGAAGGTGTCATAATGTGTAGGCGATGTTTATCTCGCAAGTAGTGGTGCATGTCGTGATGTAAGACACGGAGGTACCTAGATAGGTTATAATACTGAGGGGAAAACATTAGTATTTCGTTGTAATGAATCGAAATAGCTAAAATCTACAGTCCCTTGGCAATCCTTTCTCGGTTTCAATTCCAGCCCCAGTGAAATACACAGTCCACATGTGCCCATGTGATCACCCAACCTGCAACTAAAGTATTTTGCACCACATGGAAGCAACTGCTCGAGTAAACTTCAGACGTTCTTTTGAGCAAGGTGGCAGTATCTCCTGCAACACGGGGACCCACCACTCTTCCTGGCTTCTGTGCACCTTTGGAAAGAGTTCCATGGCAAAGGCGTACTCGGCATACTCAGGCCAAAAGCCGCTCCTCTCCCAGTCAACTATGCCCGTGACGACACCGCCATCCACGATGATGTTTCTGGGCGACAGGTCTCCATGAGTGAGCACGAGTTTTCGGTGAGGCCGCTGCCGGTCTTTCTCAAGCCAGCGGGCCCATTTTCTTTTGGTGAGTCCAAATACGCCATCTGGCACACGGTCCAGACACCACCTGTCAAAGTGTTCCTCGTCTATGAAAGGCCCACAGACTTCTCCAACGATCGATACAGGCTCGTAGACGTTACACGTGGATCTGTTGTTCAGCCGCCCGATGTAAGACTGTGTGCACGAGCGCATGTTGCTGATCTGCTCGCGGAGCTGCGCTATGATGCTCTTTCTCTCCTCGCCACTGAGCTCGGCCCACACCTCTGATAGGCGTTGCCCCGGCAGCCTTTCGCTGACCATTGCGCTCGCAGCAGGCCTGGTGGACGATGTTGTATGTATGTTGTAGACGGCGCGCACTTTCGGTGCAAGCACACCGTGAGTGGCGGCGTAGTGCATCATGTCGGCCTCTGTCTGGAGGCCATCATTATCTCCTGCAGGGCTTAGAAGCTCCTCAAACTTGATTGCGAGATGGTCGCCACTGGCGGTATCGTGCTTAAGAACGCGGTGGCCGTAGAATTGGTGAACTTCATCGTGGGGTGCCACACTCGAACTGCGGATGAGTCTTTTGAGTCGGATTAGTTCTTCGCGTTCTGGGTTCTTAACTGTCGTAGTATTATCCATTTGTGTTTTGAATGATCGCGAGTGTGAACGGGGACAAAATAGATTGTAGATCGAACATGTCAAACATTGGATATATACCTTGAGGCAATGTAGGCAACAACAAATTGATATGTGTTGGTTGGGTGGCGCAGGTGTGCGGTGCCTAGCCGCTGTAGTACAAGTCTGTGGGGCTGTGGGGCTGCGGGGCTGCGGTACGAGTAAGGAGGACCTCGGTATCTACTGTAACGGTGCTGGCAGAGCCTGTCTTATATCAAATAGGCCACCTAATAGTTACTGAAGGACTTAAGACTAATATAATGTACTATAGTAGAATGAACTGCATTATAATTTATAATAATAAGTGTATTTATATTTAACATTAAATCATTCTCACTTATTTTAACAAAATATAAACCCTAGGTAAATCTATCTCACTCTTCTCTTCCAATCACTTGAGGTCCCGCACAGAAGAGGTACATTCTCAGATCCAGCAAAGAGGCTCCCTGGCCAATTTGCTCAACGAGCGAGCTAGCAGCATATAGCACGTAGAAACATTTCTAGAATCAACTATCACTCGGGAACAATCGGCCCAAAACTCCTCCAGAAATCGCATCTCGCCCCGCGTCCCCCTTCCCAACCATACGCGTCCACGACGCGAAAGTCGTTGATCAGTCCCGGCTCCGAATGCAAAGTCACATTCTTGTCCCCGCCTCCAACAACCGTAAGCGGCCCGTCGTTCCGGACCTGCACCGCCGTTCCGGACCTGCACCGCCGTGAACTCATAAGGGGTACCGCCCGTCTGGTTAAAATCGACCATCAGGGGCCGTGCAGCAGAAAACTCAGGCCAGTGCTCCAGCGGGTGCGGCTCTGGGCCGGCACTGTCTGTTCCGTCTGCCACGCTCGAGGGGGTGGACGGGTCCCCGAAGCGCACGAAGTTCCCCCAGCTTAGCTGCAACGCGCGTACGAAGTCTGTGCCTTGGTTCCTGCGCGGAGGGCCGAAGTCAGCTTCTAGGTCGTAGCCATGTAGTGCCGTGGGAATCGAGTACTGGTACTTGTAGCTTCGGTGTCCTGTGCTGGGCGAGCTGAAGGCGGTGGCGAGCCAGTAGGATGGGCACATGAAGGTCGTCTCGCCGAGGATGAGATTGGCGCGTTGCTGGTGCCCGTGTGCAATTTGGCTGGTGGTTATCGCACTGGCGCCAGAGTCTCCGGCAGTCGGATACGTCAGGGTAGTGTTGTCTGACGGTGGGACAAAGGGGTAGTAGTATAAAATTCTATTGGCGTCTTCGATGCCGAGAAGAGGGAACGTATGAAGAAGCCATGCCATTAGCTCCTCCTCCGAAGTGACGGTCTGCGGTGTGTAAGCAGGCCCTTCCTCTGCAGTATTGCTTGTGAGGAGCAGTTGACCATTAATTCTCCGTTTGAGGAGGGCCTCACTTGGGCGTTCGCGAATGAAATACCCGTCCGTGACAGGGAGAAATCCCCAGGATCCAAATGTGCCTGAGGCAGAGATTCTATAAGACGCCTGCTGGAGAGTGAGGCTATCTTGAGACTGGAGACATTCGAAGATGGTCTTCGTCGTATTTCCGTAAGCAAAGTCTGCGGGACACCCCGATGCCCCGGCGAAAGCATAGTACGCTTGAGTGGGTAGGAAGTCATTATACCTGTACTGCGTGGGTAGGTACGGAGATGCAGCAATAGCCTGAGATGGAATTTTAGCAACATAGACCACACACTAATTACGGCATCGGCCACCTACACTCGTGAACAGGGAGGTTCCGAGGGTTCCTCCATATGCGATAGTGTGCAGCACTGGTAATAATGAGTTAGTCAATGTATATTCGTGTCTGGTGGTCATTTCATGATTTTTGCTCTACGTCCCGGGGACTCGCATTCTCGGGAGCCGAGGAGAGGAGTACAGTATTTGCGAAAAGACAGGCAAAGAGTGCCGGGGTTACTTACTGACTGAACCCGCCCCAGCTGACAACCCCGAAATGGTCACTCGTGATCTATCACCTCCAAACTTTTCGATATGCTGTTGAACCCATTCCAAGGCAAATTGTTGATCCAGAAGGCCAGCGTTCAGGGCGCCGCGTCGGGCCACCTCATCTGAAGACAGGAAGCCGAAGGCCCCAAGCTATAGCATCCGTAAGCATTCATATGATCCTCCGCATAATTAGGGAGGCATATTACCCTGTATTGAATACCAACTCCGATAAACGTGTTGTTGTTTGTCGTGATAATCGAAGACATGTCCTGCTGCCCATTGAAGAACCCATAGCCACCACCATGGATCCATACCAGGACTGGCAGTTTGTCAGCATTAGCGGGCGCATAGACATTCAGGTTGAGACAATCCTCATCGCCTAGGATGAACTCATTTCCTGGTACCGCATTGAAACTCTGTGGGCAAATCGGCCCGTAGGATAGGGCAGGCTGCACCGAGGTACGGTTCAGGGCTGGTAGCTGAGGGGGTTGCCAGCGGAGAGGTCCGGTTGGGGGTGCCGCGTAGCGGATGCTATTCACAAATCAAATTTAAAGACACATGGATATAGTCATGGGTACAGGTCATGTATTCACCCTTTGAAGGTGTTCAACCCAGTTGAGGCGTTGGTGATACCCTCGTAGATCGCATATCCTAAGTCAACCTGTGCCGAATAGTTGCCACTAAATATAGTGCTACTCTGCGGATAGACAAGAGCATTTGATGAAGTTATGGGATGACAGATTAACATTGGCAGACACAAGTCTGAGAATTTGGAAACGCGTCGTAACAGCGACATGGCGGTGATGTTGAGTGACCGTTTTTGAGAACCAATCTTAGCGGTGGCGGACTTTTACTCACATTGACCCGACATTTGTGGCAAGGGGCTTGTTATGCAGATGGATTATAATGATCTTCCCCGCACCTGTGCATTAAGCCAAGGTAAATCACACTGCTTGTGGTCACTTAGCTACTATGTAAGCACTAAGGGGTGATAACTGCCACATTCAATAGCGATAAGCATGAAGGCTTTGGATGCATTGTGCCATTTCGTCCGGTTATCTATCTATTGAATTGTGTTGTTGGCGGAGAAACGCAGGATCTGAGGCCCACAAATGCAATACCGAGTGTTTCCATAGACCCCTTCAACACGACAACACAGTAAATGCACGCATCAATCAGACTTGAGGTCCCCGTTAGCATGTCGTTTCCCGTTTGTCTCCTGCACTGGTGTCTTCAGAAAGATCTCAGGGTAGACTGTTTTGACCCTCTCGGGCAGCCTTTCAACACTGCCGCATTACTTAGTAAATTGCCATAAGGTGAACTAGGGAACTCCGTGCTTTACTTACTAGGAGCGGAACTTGTCACGGCATGCCTGGCACAACTGAACGCCACCAAACTTGTGCCGCACCTCAGCGCCGTAAGAAGCGCGATAGGCACAATCTTCACATTTCTCACCGGCCTCAAAGGCTTCTGGGAGTCCTGGAAACATCCACTCCTCACGACGCGCCATCAAGTCCTCGTAGCGTTGAACCCCCTGCGCCTCGACGGAATTGGTGTTGCCATTTCCGTCCGGCTTAGGTGCCACGTCGACACGATTCCAGAGCTTGACCTTCTGGCGGGCCAGCTCGATGATGTCGTCGCCCTCAACTCTACCGATGGTACAATCCTCCTCGACGAAGCGGTATCGGCGCATCATCATGTGCACCGGCCCACCGACGATGCGGACGAAGTTGATCATGATAGGGCCCATGGGATTACGGACATAATATGCGTCCAAAGCCCAGAGCATCTCGCGAGCGATGCGAAAGCTCTCGATGCGCATGTCCCACGGAACGTAGGCGAAGGTGTTGTTGGTCTCACCCTCGGACCGGTGCTTGAAGAAGGCCACGGCGTCGTACAGGTAGATGCCGATCTCGCTGAGCAGCTCACACTCATCGTCGGTCGGGACATCTTCGATGTCATTACAGGCCAGGGCTGAGAAGATGGTGAAGCGCGACAGGGCATCGCAGTCGCGGATGCGGAACCAGGTTCGAGGTGATGAGGCCAGGGCGTTGACATAGCGTCGGAATAACTCGCCATGTTTCCGGCCGCTGGACTTGTCCGCGGCAGGAATCAGGAACGACTTATACTCCCTCGCCATGAGGGCATGGCCTTTGGTGCCTTCGAAGAGTTGAGCCAGGACGCCATCAAGCGAGTAGCCGACGATGCTGTCTCCGCCATTCTCGTCCATGATGTCGCCCCTAAACTCGGCGATGATGCCTATGATCATGCAACGGGCAAAGCCCACATATCGCTTGTAGTTGGTGTAGTGAGGGATAACGCAGCGGGTATATTCATATGCGGCCCCGATGATTTCCACCTTTTGCGCTTCAGTGAGACGAGTCTCCCCGTCAAGATCATGAGCGATCTCAGGAGGGTAGTACCACGTATCGCGTGATTTGGCGGCCATATTTCTTACTCTTTTCTGAGGCAGATGGGGTTCGATAAGGACACTCTTCGCGTTGTTGTGATCATATCCTGGGGGGGAATGAACGATACTAATACTGAAGTAAGTGGCAACCCGGGCCGGGACAAGTACTGCGTCAAGGAAAAAATTGCTGGATGAGTAAAAATGACTGCCGCGAACTATTCTTGATCCTTCTACCATCAACGTCACGTCGCCCAGCTTCTAGTCCGAGCTGGACCCACCAAGCTCACCTCTCCCCGTTGCAGAAAGACTAGGTTCCCCGCCCTCTAAGCATATAAGCTGTAGCCTGATAATTGATCTACTATGCTACTGTAAGCGATACACATTAGACTGCAATTTAGAGTTTGAAGCTATGAAAATACAAAGAGCCACAGGGACACTATACACGGGTAGAATCCGAGGGCATACTAGGTAGTCCGAGGCCGTCCCTACTTGGATTGTGTATCCCTTCTGTAAAAGAACCATAGCAATAATGGCGGTGTGAGGAATAACGTCGTGTTGAAGGATTCCCGAGTAAGATTTTAGACTCGGATTTCCTGCTGTCAAAGTAATCATTCATCCTCGCGACAGCGGTTTTGTCCTTCTTGATCACAAGGAGCTTAAATCGCCATGCTCTCGGAGTGACCTCGCCATGCGGCATCATCACCACTCCACAGTCAAAACAAACCATGATTCTCATCCCCCTGACATCTGTGGCACTCTGGTATCTCACCAGCAGTGTTGTAGCGTGGTGGAAGCTGCGCAATTTCCACCCAGTATCCTGGTTTGCCAACTTCTCATACCTATGGCTCGCCAAGACTACATACAGCGGGCGGATGTACTGGGTGCATCGCGAGCTGAACAAGGAGCGCAAGCTGGTGCGTGTCGGCCCCAATGAGCTCATCACAGGCGATCCGGAAATCATCCGCAAGATCAACAAGGAGCGCAGCGGGTATCACCGAGGCACCTGGTACACGGGCGGTCGACTTAATCCATATTATGACAACATGTTCTCTCAGCAAGAGCCTACCGCCCACACCAAATACAAGTCTCGTGTCGTCCACGGCTACACGGGCCGTGAGATACTGGATATGGAGATTGGCATCGATGAGCAGGTTGGTATGTTGCTCAGCGTCATGAGGGACAGGTACGCCCATCGGAATCGGCACCTGGACCTCACCGAGCTTACGACATTCTTCACCATGGACGTCATCACACGCCTCGCATTCGGAGAGGCCTTTGGGTACTTGGCTCAGGAGACCGACTTGTATGGCTTCTTAGGAAGCCTCCGAGTTCTATGGCCTGGCACGTCCGCGGCGGCTGACGTTTCCTGGGCACGTAAGATACTCTTCTCCAAGCCATTCCTTCATTTATTCGGTCCCAGTCCACGGGACAAGAAGGGCTTCGGAGCGCTCATGGGGTGAGTAGCAGGACGCGTATGCAATTTCGTCCATCTTATTCTCTCTCTAAAAAGGTTAATCTTACTCAATGTTATACAGCGTCGCGGAGCACCATGTTGGTAAGCGCTTCCAGCCGGACTCGGAGCAGGTAATGGACATGCTAGTAAGCATCACCCACTCTCACCGGTACCCATATGACGAGGCATATGTGAATGTTCCTTTCATTTGTTAAGTTGGATGTTAGGGGTCCTTCATGCACCATGGATTGAACCAACAAGAGTGTGAGGTTGAGGGCCTCTTCATGATCATCGCCGGCGGTGAAAGCACTGCGTCGGCAATACGTTCCATCCTGGTTCATACTATGACCACGCCTCAGGTCTATCTAAAGCTGAAGGCGGAGATCAATGCGGCCGTTGAAGAAGGAAAAGTCAGCAGACCCATTCAGATGGACCAGGCCCTGAAGCTGCCTTACTTACAGGCCGTTGTCTATGAGGGGCTCCGCAGTGAGTGCTTCCTGGAGTCAACTTTTGTGCGCTTTCATTACCTTTTGCACATTACTACCTGGACTATATGAGAGCCGCCATCCACAGAATCGGGCGGCATATAGACACACTTGATTAATAATGACATATGTAGTGAGACCTCCAGTCCTAGGGCTCCTACCCAAAGTCGTCCCACCTGGCGGCGACACGCTGGGAGGGCAGTGGGTACCAGGCGGAACCAACATCTGTTCCAATACCGGCGCGGTCCTCCGATCGCGATCTATGTTTGGGCCCGACGCTGAGGTTTTCCGGCCCGAGCGGTTCATCGAGCTGGATGGAGAGCCCATCCGCCGCGAGATGGAAAGGAATGTCGAGTTAGCCTTCGGCTCAGGCCAGTGGCAGTGCGTCGGGAGGAGAATCGCATTCATGAAGTTGAGCAAGACAGTCTTTGAGGTGAGCTTCTCCGTCTGCACTGTCCTGAGTCTTTTCCCGTCGTTGTTCATCGGAGGAATCACGTGGTCTCTAATCTCGGAAAATGCCGTTCGGGCCTCCGTTGTACCACACAAGCTAACTTGCTTGTTTCTGATAAGGTATTCCGTAATTTCGATCTCCAACTGCTCAATCCAACCAAGCCGTGCGATGTTGAGAGCTATGCTGTTTTCCTGGAATCCGGAATGTTTGTCAAGGTCACGGAGAGCAAGTCCGACTTGTCCCTAGCTTGACACATTCCTATTGGAAGGCGTGTATATTCCAGAATTAAAGTTTAAATAAAGATAGACTCAAATTCAAATCTTATATAAAATAAAATATTAGTAATTATAAGTATTAAAGTAAGTATTACTAATATAGAAATTTTAAATTCTACTATTAGTTTATAATAAATAAAAATTTAGAGCTAACATCCACTCACCCAACAATTATATCCACTCACCCAGTTTTTTTTAACCACTCACCTAATATAAGAATTTATATATAAAGCCTATATAAAACTATATACCTAACTAGAATTCTTTAAATATTTAATACTTTTAATATAAGCCCCTTTTACACCCCTTTTAACACCCCTTTTAGTATACTTTCTAGCACCCCTTCTAATATACCTTTTAAACCTTCTAGTCTATATACATTTAGATATTAATTAAGTATTTAAATACTAACTAAATACTAAAAGGTTAGAAGTTAGAAAGGTAAAGGTAAAGACTATATATTTTCTAGCTTTTTAGCCCTCCTTCTAATCTTCTAACCCTTTAAACTTCTAGCCTTTTAGTGTTTAGTTAATATTTAAATACTTAGTTAGTACCTAAATATATATAGGCTAGAAGGTGTACTAGAAGGTATACTAGAAGGTGTGGTAAAAGGCGTGCCAGAAGGCGTGCTAGAAGGCATGCTAGAAGGCATGCTAGAAGGCGTGCTAGAAGGCGTACTAGAAGGCGTACTAGAAGGCATACCAAAAGGCGTGCCAGAAGGCGTGCCAGAAGGTGTGCTAAAAGGGGCTTATACCTAAAGTATTGAAATTAGAGAAGGAAATTATATTATAGAGTTTCTTAGTATTAACTTAAAAGGTACTTATAAATATAAAGGAGTTATTTAAAAAAATTAATATTAAATAAGTAATTAATAAGAATTAAGTAAGTAGATATAATTATTAAATAAGTAGATATTAGCTTAAAAATTTAATATTAACTTTAAAATATAAAATAAAAAATAAAAGACTATAATATAATATAATTTCTTTTATTATATAATAAAAATAATTATATAAGATCTATTATTTATTAATAAGAATATAAAAATAAATATAATATTATTTAAATATTATTTATAATTATTTATAATTATAAAAAGTAAAGATTATATAAGCCTAATAATATAACTTATAAGAATATAATAGAGAATAGGACCAGTCTGAAAAGATCTATGTTTTAGCCTGAGGTACACCCTCGCAGCGTGGTGTCCACCCTGCTATAATTCGCTTCTTGTTCGGGGTTTTGTCTTTTGATCCGCAGTGTTTGTGGAGTTGGCAAATCAGGGGATTGAGTCGCGCTCCCTCGAGGCTTGTGGTATGATATCTGCTAAATCGCTGCACACCCGCGGTGTGAACTGGTGATTCCAAGTGCCTCCATCGGCTATTATTCCTAGAAACGATAGTAGACCTAATGCTGTGATCAATGAGGCTTCATGTTGTGTCCTTGGGTATCACGGTGGGTCGCTCGGGATCTGATCACGTACAGATCCCGTGCTCGTGATGTTCAATTGGAGACCTGAGTCAGAGCGACCACACGCGCATTACTAATTCTCAGTTACAACATGTTTTTTTTTTTTTTGAATCAGGGTCTCTACGGCCTCTTCGGCATTCGGAGTTGAGCCATACGCCTACTTCGAATACAAGCGAGCACTAGTTTCCCGAACCCAGTCTTCCCTGCCATAGTTCCAGCTGAGCAGTCTCATGACCTCCTTGTTTGTCACCGCAGCCCTCGAACAGCTTCTTCAAGCTCATCTCAAGGCGAGGTACTGATATATCGCACCTTCGTACACCTGATTTGAGTTAAGATCCTTGTGATGAGCGCTCAAGGTTTCAAATGTGTGGATAGTACTACATGGCTACTCCACATTGGACCCAGGCTGTAGACAAGACTCAGACATAATTGGGTGTATGCTGTATTACCAAGATAGATCGAAAAACAAATGCCAGCTGTGCTTCACCAACAGATACGTAGCACCATTTTCCTTTTTCACATACTGGACCTATCTCATGTGTTATAGTGTCACACACGTCGGCGGGGGAATCAGATACATTTTATGCAGTAATATGAGTCTGTCATTCAGCATCAAGGATCGAAAGGAACTTGCATGACGGCGCAGTCGACCACCGAGTGGTCGCGCAAGCCATCCTCCTGGAACTCGAGAAGGGATCGAAAAGATGAGAAGAGCCAAGACGCGATGTCTCGTTTCATTATGCTCAATGAAGCAGAAAGATGAAACTTGTTGAAGGATCACAGATGCATATAACTGTAAATCACCACCTCCTGACACAGAAACAATCACTGAATCGAAACAACTATGACAGCCTAACAGACTGAACGACATCACTGGGCCGAGGACAAACTTACCATATGAATGGCCTTCGAAATGAAATGTAAAATAGGACTTTACACAGTAGACTGGCTCCGCTTCACAATCGTCTGCCTTCGTGGCAATATGCTAGAATTTCAATGGACAGACATATCGCTGACTGGGATAGATGCGGGATCATGGGAACTATTGGTCTCAGATGCCATCATCAGTCTCAAGCTGTGTTGCTTTCAAGGCAGTGCAACTTCGCCAGCACCGAAGCATGACCGTTGCTTATTCACAGACCAAGCAAGTGAGTCAATTCAGTATTACGCGATGGCTTGCAAAAGGACTAAGACTCACGCTTTACTCTCGCCATACTATAAAGTCAACCCGCAGAATCCGCCTTTCTGGGAAGACTGTATGATTTTTCTTCAGCACAGCAATCAGCCGGACAATCCTTTCACCTCATTTCTAAAACTTGTCCACGATGCAGTTCTCCACTTTCAAGGTCGCCGTGTTCGCAGTTTTGCACTCGGCCACCAACGTCAACGCCATATGTCCAGGTTTCAACTATGCCGTTGGCAGTGCGCAAGCCCGAGGCGCTCTCTGGACCCGGTGTAAGTTCGAGATCTTCCAAGCCGGCATCCCGTCCGCACATTTGCGCACTAGTGCAAGGATGCCCGCTGTGTTAACGAAACAAAGGGTCCGTATACGATGATAGTTGTAATGAAGTCGACGGCCTCACGACGACGGAGAACCCTTGCTTCACGGACACATTCACGTGTAGCCCGGATCCCGTCCATTTCACCAGCTACACGAGTACTTTTAATGGTGAGACATATGCGTGCCGGACGGACCCTAACTCAGGGAGTTGCGGCAGTGATACGATTAGTGTCTGCGTAAGTCTAAATTATCTTGTTCTCTAGAATGAACAATTCGAAAGCATCCATGCAGCCTAAGGTGTCTTTTGGGCTGACTCGGAGCCATAGTGCCGTAATGATGGGGGCAAATGAGCACTGGGCCTAGCTGAATACACATGCAGGTTGTCATGGAACAGTAACTGGATACACTACTTTGAACGAGTACCTTAATAAAAGACCGTGTCTACTATTAAACTCATCTGCATTCTAGATATCAGAAAGCTTATTAGACTATTGCCCCCCAACTGTGCCTCAATTAACAACCGCAGCTCCAATCGTGCTGCAAGCACATTCAGGAAGCTCCTCATGAATGTTCGGCTACTATCTCTCCAATATCTAACAAGGCATACAATTTAGAATTCAAGAGACGGGAGAAAGTCCGGTGATGCGATTCGAGCTGCCACCACGGAGCGGCCAGAGCTGCGTGGGCCAAGATACAAAGGTCTCGTGGTCAGACCAATGAGTGATGAGCTTGGCGACGACATGCTTGCCCGGTAAGGTCAAGAAGCGAGAGCTAGTGGGGGTGCCGTGCGAGTTATTCAGACAGACCTTGACCCTGCTCGTGCCAAGCTGGGACGGACAAGCCCTGCTCGTGATGCATTCAGTAAGGCCAACCGAAGATCACAAAACACAGGTCCATTTTTCACCCCGCGGGAAAAGTATATTGTGCAGCAGTACGGAATCGTATAAGCGAATGATTCTTTCCAGTGATCTGGGCACAACAGCTAATATTGCAAGCAGTCATCCAACTACCAGCTCGTATTATTTACAGCTACCAACGACGTCTTCAGAGTCGAATACCTATCTAAGCACGCTATCTAAGGGGTTCGGTCCGCTGTTTCGATAGTTTGGCCGTAGGGTGACAGCTGAGGTCTCTAGGGCTAGGGCTGAGACAGGATGGTATCATCGAGGTCGACGAGGCGCATCGTCCCGCGTGGGGTGCCCGTGGGGAAAGAGAGAAGATTTCAGCGACAGCAGACGCACCTCAACGGCCTCAATGAATGCCAGACATCATCATGTTTTCTGGCGTCCTTCTAGCCTCCTTCCAATGCACCAACTCGTCCAGGACTAGCCTGACACATCGAGATGGGCCGATAGAGTGGTACTGCATAGTATCCCCAGGCCGCGATAGGACCAATCGGTGGGTCTGGGGTTGCTTTCCGGGGCAGATTGGGGAAAAATCGGAGGCAATATTGTGACGGCGGCACGGTAGTTGGGTGGGAGCTCTGGAGCTATGGCCCCCCTGCGCCCACACCCAAGCAGCCAACAGCCCCAAGACCTTTCCAAGACAAACGGCCGTACGCCCCAAGACCTGGGGACTCCGCAGCGGCGCCGCCGAATCGAGCGAGGATTTACACGCGAGCACTGGGTGCGAGTCTGCTGCTCACAACCCGCAGGCGGGCACTCTTATCTCTGACACACAAACCTCCGTACTGGGAAAGCTACGCTTAACTCATAGCTATTACTTACTTAAGGTGTGGCTAGAGAGGAGAGGTCAGCTTTCAATATACAAAGGTCTATAACCAAAACACACCCCTTATAAGGGTAAAGGGATGCCTATTTCCCCCCCTAACTTTAAATTCAAATTTCTTCCCTATTAACTCTTCTCTCCTTAAGTAAGTACCCTTCTAAGCTTATAATATTAATACTAATTATTTTACCCTAGGTTATACTCTTTTTCTAAAAGAATTTAGATAAGGCGATATAAATAATTAAAGGAGTAACTTTTATCCCTCTACTTAATTTATTAATTAAGTATATTAGATTCTACTAAATAGAAAGCTATAAAAATAAAAAAAACTTTAAAAAGAAGCTTTTATTAATTTTCTTTTTTAATATATTATTTCTATAAGGATTACTAGTTGGAAAGGTATTAGAATTATAGAGTATTTAAAAAGAATACTTTAGAATACTATATAAACCTATCCCTCCACTCTAAATTTTTAGTGTTTTAATTTTAAATAACCTTTTAAGTATTTAGAATAGGTTTCAATAAGTAGATTCTTTAAACTAATATATTTTCTCTAAAAGTTCCCTAAATATTTATCAGTATTTTAACTATATTAGCTTCCGCTATACTAAATAGGTGGGGAAAGCTGTCCTGAAAAAACGCTTGAAAAAGGGGCATCTGAATATTTGAGATAAGGGCACTCCACCTGCTCACCCGCCGAGACACCCAATGCCAGCCCTTACCACGGTTGCCATGCGAGATTGCCTGGCAGGCCTGGGCCAGCCCCGTCTCCGGCGCATTATTCGGCGCCATCAGGGGTTCTACACTGATCCCATTCGGATATCTGATTGGCTCGTCCCTGCGACTACCGCCGCATCGGTAGAGCCTCACACACATCATCGCCGGCCGCTCCATGCTTGGGAGGTCTTGGCCCCCAACCTTGGAAAGCCAGAATGGTGGCACACCGTGGGGAAGAATGGAACGCATTGTTTCTAGGACGGCTCCCGCGTGCTGTCGGCTTGAGGTCCATGCGTCGGCTGCCAGACCCCATACTCCAGATCTTCAACTCCAGACCTGTGGGCCTGGGGAAATGTCGCATGAATCAGGTCTCATTGCAGTCGGCCCGGATGTATAAAGCCTCACCGCACCCAGCTCCTTTCTGGCATGAGAGCTCTGGGGACCTCATCCGCATCGTGGGCTTCATCTTCACGTTCGGTTTCACCACTCAGACATCCGGGGTTGCTTCTGCATATAAAGACGCTCTGCTGCCTATCTCAGCTTTGTCTTCTCCGACATATATTATAAATCTAATACTCCACACACCCCACATATCTCAGCATCATGGCTGGTGGTGGCATGCCCATCTCCACCGGCACGGTCGCCGGTGGCTACCTGACCGGAAAGGCCCTGATCTTCCCGCTGTCACTCGTCATCTCACTCTTCTTCCTGTGGGGTTTCAGTTATGGTCTTCTGGATGGTAAGCATTTATCCGCGGTGCTTCCTGGAGATTGACCCCAAACAGTCACTAACACTGTTTCCACAGTGCTGAACAAGCACTTCCAGACCGTCCTCGATGTGTCGCGTCTCGAGTCGACGGGGCTGCAGGTCATGTACTTCGGCGGCGGTTACCTGCTCTTCTCCCCCATCGCAGCCGAGGTCCTCAAGCGACGCAGCTACAAGTTCACAATCATCATGGGCCTGTGCCTCTACTCCCTGGGCGCCATCATGTTCTGGCCGACAGCACACTTCACGACGCCCGACAACAAGAAGGCCGCCTTCGGCGGCTTCCTCGCCTGCACCATGGTCATCGCCTGCGGCCTCGCCACCCTCGAGACGAGCGCCAACTCGTACGCCGTCGTCATCGGCAACCCGGCCACGGCCTCGGCGCGCCTGCAGTTCTGCCAGTCGTGGAACGGCGTCGCCTCCTTCATCGGCCCGCTCATCGCGTCCAAGGCCTTCTTCTCGGGCGAGGGGTCCAAGGACCTGACGTCGGTGCAGTACGTCTACCTGGCCGTCGCGTGCGCCGGAGCCGCCGTTGCGGTCCTCTTCTTCTTCGCCAAGCTGCCCGAGGTCTCCGAGGAGGTCATCGAGGGCACCTCGACCGCCGACAATCCGGCCGCCGCGAGCGACGAGGGCATCGGGGCCGGCCCGCTCTACAGGCAGTACAACCTGATCGCCGCCGTCGCCGCGCAGTTCTGCTACGTCGGTTCGCAGGTCACCGTGGCCGCCTTCTTCATCAACTACGCCACCGAGAACGCGCACTTCCACCCCTCCACCGGCTCCCAGATGCTGTCGTACGGCCTCATCGCCTTCACGGTCGGCCGCTTCGTCGCCACGGCCCTGGCGACCGTCTTCCAGTCTGACTTCATTATGATCATCTACGCGGCTATCGCTATCGCTATGACTGCATACGTGTCCAACGGAACTGGTGCTGCGTCTGTGGGGGTCCTCATTGCTATTTTCTTCTTCATGGCGCCCATGTATCCGACGCTGTTCTCGCTCGGGACCGCAAACCTCGGCCGCCACACCAAGCGCGGTGCCGGTGTCATGGTCATGGGCGTGTCGGGAGGCGCCGTCTTCCCGCCGATCCAGGGCGCCATCGCCGACTCGGCCGGCACCCGGATCAGCTACCTCGTGCCGCTCGTCGGCTTTGTCTTTGTCCTGTTTTATGTCCTGGCCCACTGGCTGCGCACGGGGCGTCACATCATGCGCGTCAAGGAGGTTATCGCTACGACCCCTGAGGCTGCCATCGCCGCTGGCGAGAAGACCGAGTTTGAGAATGTGGAGATTGTCGGTCACCACAAGGTTTAGAGATGTTTTCTTTCGATTCATGTGTCCCGTCTTGAAGACATTTGTCTAGATTCCACTCCTGATTTAGAGATGTGATTGGGAAAGCGTCCAGGATAGAAGACCGAGTCATAGAAGCTCAACAAAGAAATGCTGTTAAAACACAGTGCAACCTGCCGTGAAAAGCCTATAATCATACAGTGCCAATGTTTCCTTCTGACGTCGGCAGCAAAATGCCAACGGACCCATCGAATCCTCCCGCTCGGGTCCCACCGGAGAGCTACCCCAACTTCCAAGCTTCACGGTAAGCCATCTCGGTATTTGGGGCCGCTGTGCTGGGCGTGCGTAAATACGACAATGCTCCACCACGCCGTCGGGAAGGATCATCAAACTTTGCAGCATCTCAGAGCGTCTCATATCTTGTGGAGCGGCAGGTGAAGCACCGCGGTGAAGCGTCGATATCGACAGAACATTGCAAGACCTGCAAAGCATCCCGCGGCCCCAACACTCCGGCATTTGTTATTAGACATGGCAGACTACACCGGCGGCTCGGAGCCCCTCGGCACCATCCACCCGAACCAAGAGAAGCTCATCAGCCAAATCTCAGCCTTCCTGTCCGAGGTGGAGAACCTGTGAGTCCTGGCACATACGAGAGCCGCTAGGACTTCGAATTGTAGTCTAGTTAAGCCCGACCGTCGCCGCCCACTGACCACCCAGCAGCACACCGGGCAAGTCCCTCGAGGACCACCTGAACAAGTCCTACGGCCCAGGCACGCCGCACTACGACACCCTCGCCAGCCTGATCAAGTCCGGGCTCGAGGAGGGGTGGGTAGCCAACATCCCCATCGACGGGTCCCGCTACCGGCGCTCGCGCGTCTCGCCGCCGACAGAGGCGACCCGCTTCTGCTCGGTGACGACCGTCTACATGGCCACCGTCGACGGCGAGGAGGACTTCAAGGGCCAGTACCACGCGCACCCGTACGGCGAGATCAACTGCGTCGTGCCGATCGACGAAGGGGCGCAGCTCGCGGGCCTGAACGGGTGGGTGGGCAAGGGCTGGACGAGCCCGCGTGAGTCGTTCCTATCCTATCCTGCCCGGTAGATCCTCTTGGGAACTTCTCTGACATATTTCACGCAGACCCTGGCAGCCACCATTTTCCTCAGTGTCGCCGGGGTGGAGTCGTGGCGCTGTTCTTCCTGCCGGCCGGTAGGATCAGCTACGACGCCAAGCCTGAGGATGCGATGCCTCCAGGTGCCTGACGATAATGGGCTCCGGGGGCCGAGAGGTGGAGTGATGAGTGATGTTGCACAGGTCATACACATACATCTCTAGAATTACAGCATTGCTGCGACCTGCACAAAAAATTAGAGCCTCTCTAAATGCAACACGCCATGCAAATTTCGGTGTCAAAATACCCAACCCAGTCTATAGCAAGAGAAACAAAAGGCTTCCACACGCTGTTGCGAATGCCGCTGACAGCATCTGCGACTGTCCCATGCCCGCTCTGAGGGAATAGCCACTGCTCGTAGAACTGTCCGTTGAGTTCGATGTGCTGTTGTCGCGGCTGGACCCAGAGCCACCCTCCTTGAACTGGCTGATGACAAACGAGGTAGCGTCGTTCAGGTAGGCCGTGTTGTTGAAGTAAGAGCCATGTACCCTCGAGCTGTTGCCGCTGTCGCAGTACAGGTCGTTGGAGTCACACCACGAGCGCATCTTGCTCGTGTAGGGCTCGCACGCCGTGACGTTATTCCTCGCAAAGATCTGGTATCGCGTCAGCTCAAACTCATACAGCCAGCCAGCCGCCATCGCATCGAGCGGGTGCGAGCTTACCCCGTTCCTCGTCGCGTTGCCCTCGTTAAACGGGGCATCCACAGAGTGGCTAGGATCACCAAACATGATCACAGCAACAATGTTCCGCTCGTACTCGGGCCCCAGGTCGGGCTTGTCGGGGAACGCCGACCCGGTGCCGTCGTCCGTCCCGCAGAGCGTGTCCGCCGAGACCTGCGCGCCCTGCGAGAACCCCAGCAGCGCGATCCTGCCCTCGGGGCACGCGGCCACGCGGTCCCTGATGGCCTTGGTCATGGCCGTCACGCCCGCGGCCTCGGAGGTGGTGTAGTTTGCGAAGGTGGCCGGGTACACGATCGGCTCGATGTACGAGTTCGGGATCGCGTCCGACACGTTGCGGGCGACGGCGCCGACGCGGCCGGTCCCGGGGTCCTCGCCTGTCGCGCGGGCGACGATCATGTAGAGGCCATCTGTGCAGGTTGATGAGGCGTCCTGGGCGGCTGTGAGGCCTGCCGCGGCCAGGATGAGCGTTGATGACCGCATCGTGAGTGATTTAGATGCCGTGCGACGCAGCTTTGGGAGGCGTGGTGAACCGCTCGCTAGAGAGTGTGCAACCGCTGCCGTCTATCGTTCCAAAGGTGAGTCTGAGAGGGTCGCGAAAGCCAGAGAAACAAAAAAAAAAAGCCCAACAAAGCTCGCATTCGTCTGAAGTGCCAAACAAAAAGATGATGTATGTGTCCCAGAAGTAGTTCCGTAGTAGCCGGTGCCAGGGATCAGCCCGATGTTCCGAACCTCGGCAAGCTAATATTCAGTAGTCTCAAGGACTCATTGAAGACCTGCCTAACCGGGAACAGGCTCGCATCCTTGGCTGCCCACATGACCGCGGGCGGATGACTCGAACACATACGCGGCCCTGGCTACTTGGCGCTATGGCGTAGTGCAGGAACTGCTCATCTCATTACCCTTTGTAATTCTAATCTGAATTTTGCTTTTTATGTTTGTTGAACTGTACTTCTTTTCACGAACCCGCTCGTATTCGGAAGAGGGCTCAGTCAGACGCAATGCGCTGGACTACCTACTAAGGTAGCTAGATCTGTTATTAGCAGGTTAAGGATGCATTTACGATAGTGCGGTCGATCCTGACTCCTTTAGCGGAACACCTCGACTCATTATCTTAACACCCGAGCAGCATTATCTTTACGACATATAGCGTCTCTCATAAGCAGGCCCACCTTTGTAATGTCTTACCATGTGACAGGGATGAGCTCAACTAAAACACGTTAGCTCCTCCTTGAGAATGATCCCTGTGGCTAGTACCTGATAATCTGTGTGTGCTCAATTCGATGAGCACTAGGATCACTACATCCATGTGTTGGAGAGGTCTACTACTCATGTATAAACCTGCATTTAATGTTGTTAGATGGTTTCGTTCTTGATCCGTATACATCCCGGAGGCGTACGGTCCCTGGACACAGTGGTAACAAACGCTAATAAACGCTGAAAAACCCAGCGTGACGAGCAATAAGTACAAGTTGAGAAGGCATGGAGAACATGCGCCGGCTTATAAATGGTAAGCTCAGATTATGACAATATCGCAGCTCAAATGAGAGTATCGACTTTAGAATATCCAGTGGCTGCTCAAGTACTTTTTATCATTTTGTTGGCCTCTGCAAGCCATGGCAACTTAGTACAGAAATTCACAAGTGCGCATAATATATCTTAGTTTCTAGGGACTAGCCAGTATATGGATTGTACCTAGGTAAATATCAAACTAACTTGAGCTGTGAGCGTACTTCCAGACCATCAAACACTATGCAGAGTATTTCACAAGTCAAATGGAATTAATTTCCATCCTGATCATATTATATGGAGGTAAGGTATTCGAACAATACACTTTTGTTAACATCGAATTTGTCCGCGTTCTTCACCGGATAGTAACACTTCAACGGGTCTCCGATGTCATCAATATTCGTCTGATTAACGCCAGAGGTGAAGGGGACACTTGATTTTGAACAGCATTCTATCCTACGGCTTTAGCCACACTATATTTTTCCTATGCACTATATAACTACTTATTTCTTCCCTTTAAAACTTATATATAAACTCTTTAATAACTTTATATATATCCTTATAATCCTCCTATAAAGGAATTTTAAATCCCCCCTTTTTTATTTTTATTATACTTTTCTATATTATTAAAAAATTAATAGTTATTAATAATAAAAATATAAACTTAAAAAAAATAAACTTATTATATTTTTTCTTGATTTTTTTTATAAATTATTTTTAAAACTCTCTTTAAGAGTTTTAATACTTTATTATAAAAGTTTTAAAATAATATATTATAAATTATTTTTATTTTAAGTTTTTAAAGTTAATAATTATATATTTAAATAAAGATTATAATATTTATTTAATAAAGGTTTTATTAATATATATATATATATATATATATATTAAAAATAATAGTTTTTAATTAAACTTTTTAATATAATTTATTTAAATTATAATTATTTTTAAAGATTTAATCTTATTATATAACTTTTTTATAATAATTAAACTATAAATTACTTTTATTTATAATTTTAATTAATATTATTATTAAAATAATACTTTTTAATTTTATTTATATATTATAAAATTAAAATTATAAATATTTATTATATTATAACTATTATTAATAATATTATATTTTTTTTAAAATATTAAGTTTTAAGTATTTACTATTATATAAAGGTATTATATATATCCTTAAATATATATAGAATAGAAGTAAAACTATATAAAACTATATTCTATCCTGTAGTGGTCCAATAAGGTTTCATACGCTGGAGCCACTGGCGGTATTGAAACTGCGAGGTCTCGTCCGAAAGAAGACCACGTCGTAACTGATCGCGCCACATGGTTCCGGCATGCGTCGGAACTCCGTTATTGAGACTGCTGCGTGCCACTGCGGTGTTATATTAATCCATGATGTCGCCTTGGCGGTTGAGTGACGGCATGAATGGTGCATGAATTGTTGGATACTTTACGTAGTTTAGGTAGTTCACGACGCTGTGGAGTAATCGGATCTCCGAGAGGGCCTCCCAGGGCCTGGGCCCTTCCCGTGGCCTGGGACGTATCGTCCCAATCGTACTTGTTCCAACGATCCACCCCAATCCCTGAAGCCCTGCGCATCACACGCGACTTAAAGAGTTAACTTGCTGCTGTAGAGTGAGCAAGTGCTCCGGGTGAGCGATGCTACCGATCGCGTCCCACATCTCGCGCTCCCGGCTGAGTCTTGGGTTCTTGTGCGCCAGTCTGTGTGAATACACTATTCCCACCACTAGTTGTGGCTCACCAGGGATCACAGTTTCTTACACTTCGCAACGACGACATCCTGGTTGAAAATGGGTTGTTTTCTGTCACCCAGAAATTTCCAATCTGTGTGAGGCAGTCGACACTGCGTGTTCTATAAATCGCCCTGTTCTCTCATCACGATGCATTATTAGCCTGCTCGCTCGCGGACCCCAATGCAACCCACCGTTACCTGCCCTAGGGTAGGTATGTACATAGATAATATTCTGAGAATCACGGAAATAGCTGAAAGATGACATGGCAGGCATTGAACGCCGATGTACTGTTTTATGATCCAAGAGAAACCAGGGTTGCTAATTGGGCAATAGAAAAAAGTGTTTACAGTTTATTGTATGGTACCAACTAAGGAACTGTAACCGCTTTCCCTTCTTTAACTCTTCCCTAAATGCGAGCTCCCCCCTGCCTCAGGTAACCCTTCACAAGATCCCTAATCTCCTCATCGTCGATCAAGTTGACATCCACCGTTCCCCCCGGCAAGACAACCTCTGCAAGAGCAACGTCATCCCGTGCGATTTCCTCGAAGGGAATCTGGCCCGTGTAAAGTGACCAGATACTCAAGCCCAGGCCGTAGATATCATCCTCCTTCCTCGGTGGCGCGTCACAGCCCAAATCATCCCCTCTACGAGTCCTGTTCGGCGACAAATAGTGCAACGTTACACTGCCTTCCCAGACGTCCTCGTCCTCGTCCTCAAAGAGCCCTTCTTCAAAGTCGCAGAGTTTGACATGGCCTTCAGCGTCTAGGAGCATGTTCTCAAGCTTCACGTCGCCATGTATGATGTGTCTGTTGTGCAGCGTCTTGATAGCCTCGATCATCTCCCGAATGGCCTGCTTGCGATTTGCCGATGAGGTCGTGGCGTGTGAAAGCGGTGTTGCCATTTCCATGAAATAGCCGTCAAAATATATCGTTCCTTCCGGAACCCTATTGAGTACTCTCCCATGAGTCTTAATTGCACAGTCCCCGGCTGCTATGTGCAGGATGTATGCTCGATGCATCCCGCCCATCTTATACACCTTCGTGCCGTCCTTGGTTTTGTACAGTTGGTTCTGATTTACAGCAAAAGGGTGATATGGATCCTCGAGGACTTCGTCTGCTGCCATGTTATCCCATGTCGTGTCTGGAGGTACCGGTGGCCACGGTTCATTCTCCATACCGCTCATTGCGACAACTGCGGGTCGAGTGCTGGCCGAGAGTTCGTGTGGCCCGGAGTCGGTGACAATTTGCCCCTTGGAGAAGATGTACGTCCTCGCGGAATAGAGGCGAAACCAATTTGGAGAAGATTTTGCTGTCAGGCCGAAGGAAAGTGGCTTTTCGTGTTTTCTTGTCCCGTGGAGTTGGTTGAAAATGTTGAACGCAAAGCGAGGTCAAGTCTAAGAAACATGAGGTGGGGTGGGGGCATTAACCACCCGCAGTGGGCATGTAAAGGAGGAGGCGGGGCGTGCCAATCCTGGGCAACCAACAGTTTTCAAGGCCGGCACGCCGGCTAGCGTGGTTGACTAACACCGCAAATAGTAGCCGCGCAGCGTCTGGACAGGTCCAACCGCTCAATGTCAACCAACATCAACCTCCTGGGCCAGTGGGGGCCTTCACGCATTAAGAGATGGCGTGATGATTCTTTTTTAGGGGTTGTAGTCCCAACGAAGGTCGCTAGGTCCCAGCCCCTCACACCACACCTGCCCGCTTTGCAAGACTGCGAATCGACGCTTAAAACTCGTGTTGGTCGTCAACATTGCCGCTATATTACGAACCCTAGCGTAAGTGTGGGCTACATGATTCCAATGTTTTGGTCGTCCTTATTCTCTTGCGTTGACACCTGATAAGTTTAGAACTGCCTGGCCGAGCAAACCTATCCCATGGATACCGAGAACGAGTTACGGTCGTAACGAAGATATGGGAACTTGATGAGGGCAGGTTTATAGTACCAAGATCCATGCTCGCTTAGGAACTCAGACGATTATGGAAACACATCTCCTACGAATATGCTAGATAGTACTGGAAGTAGGATAAGAACAAAATCCAGGTTCTATTACATTAAGCTGATTAAAGCCTAATGAGCTGGTTGTCAAATGTAACATTTAACAATGTCTGCTTGCCACACTCTAACTGAGGTCAAGATCTCATAAAAGTAGAACCGATGAGTGTAATACGGGAACTTCTTCCATTAATGCCTTACCTATTGGGAGCGCGCCGACCTGGGCAGATTTCATTTTGGGCTTACGATTTCGCGGCGCACGTTCATGCGACTCCACCATGTCACATGCTCGATCTTCCGGTGTATAATGAAGGTCTGCTCAAAGGCGGCGAGTCACAGTTTGGGCCATACTGACCGGTTCATTCAAATGTTTGGTCCTCACAATGAAAGCGGTATTGCATTTCCAAAATATTCTGCGAGTGGCGCGATGAACTTGATATTGTACTACCCGTAATTTTATGGACAGTTTCCCCAATAGAGACTCTAGGGCTTCAGTTGCGCCTGTCGTGAGACTTGAAGCCATGAGAAGTAGGGAGTTCGGCCACTGGAGACGCGCACTGTGGAATCCAATGTTCCGCAGCCCAGCACGCGTTGGTACTACCTCCGAGCCGTTCAAGGGATAATGTTAACGCCACCTGATGGACATGTAACCCTAACCCAACCTCGGAACTCACTAATGCTTAACTAAGTTACTTGTTACTGTCAAAACATGAAGCATGTTTGTCAATCAAATATGTCTTTCCGGGAAGACAAGAGTTCAGGTTGAATTTGAACAACACCTCCCTGCCTGTATCTCGTCAGTCATGCCACAATCACCTCTTATTCAAGCTCCGATCCTGATAATCGGCGCCGGGGTCGCCGGACTTACGCTGGCGCAAGGGTTACGACTTCGCTCCATCCCCTTTCGCATATTCGAGCGCCAGGCACAAACGCACATCAAGCAGGGCCATCGATTCCGCATTTCGAGGGAAGGCCAGGCCGCCCTCAACAGCGTACTCTCGCCGGAGCTCCAGGACCTGCTCCGGCGCACCACTGCTGACCGACGCCACCATGCGCCACGATACGTAGACGCCAGGAAGCTTGAATTCCCGGTCGCCGTGCCGGTGGACCCAGCGGAGTCGATGCCGCTCGACAGGACCTTCTTCCGGATGCTGGCCTCGCTTGACTTACAGGACGCCATTCACTACGAGAAGGAATTTGAGTCGTACGAGATCGTCGAAGGTCATGTACGGGTCAAGTTCACAGATGGTTCGGCCGAACATGGGTCGTTACTCGTCGGTGCGGACGGGCTCAGGAGCCGTGTTCGAAGGCAACTCCAGCCAGATCGCAAGCTGTTGGACTTGGAGCGCTGGGTCATGTGGGGTCGAACGCCACTGACGGATGACTTGAGGGAGGCACTCGGTAATACGCCAGATCTCTTGAGTTGGTGTATGTGCCTGGATCACGAGCCGAATGTCCAGACCGTCATCGAACCGATGGTGTGGTCGACCAGTGTACACCGTGAATCGCACGGCAAGCTACCAGACTTTGACGACTACGTGTACTGGGTTGTTTGCACCGCGCCATCGCAATATGCGGAGCTTTTGCCAAAGACAACGGAGGAGAAGAGGCTGTACATGGTGCGAGTATCTGAGTCGTGGCATCCAGCATTGAAACTCCTGCTCAGTTCTGCTTCCCACGAACTGTCCGCTTGCGTTCCGATCTTATCCAGCCAGCCGGATATTCAAATCTCCTCAGGTGACCATACCGGAATGGTCACTCTAGTCGGTGATGCAGTACATGCAATGAGCCCCATGGGTGGCTCCGGTGGGGATACAGCAATTCGAAACGCTGCAGATTTAGCACAGACATTAGCTGCAGAAGGCATCACCCACGACAGCATCAAGGATTTTGAGGCAAGAATGGAAGTGAGGGCAAAGGAGAAGATCGAGCACTCATTTAGAGGTGGAGTGAAGTTTTAGCACGGGAAGGAGTGGTTTCATTTTTAATCCCCATACATATAAAATATACATAGCACCTTTATACAATAGTAAACACTTAAGACCTAGTGTTTAAAGAAATATAATACTAATAATAGTAGAAAGAGAATATAATATATCTATAGGTGTGACGGTCTAGAGAGACTGAGCCTATAAACTACTAGAATAGCTAATTACTTTAAATTAGTTATTATAGTCTTTTAGCTAAGCGGTCTATTATATTAGTAGTTAATAGGTACTAGCTATTTTAATAATTAATTTTAAGGTTATAGGTTTAAACCTTTATAATTTAAAAAAATCTTATTTAAAGTGTTAGTAGGTTAATAGGTGTAGTGTTTATAGTTTATAGTTATAGTGTTAAGATAGGCTGTTTACTCTAATAAAGTAACTTAAGTATACTATAAATACTTATTTTATTTAAAAGATTTTTAGGCCTTTTATAAGTATCTAATCTATTTCTAAACTATTTAAGTACTCTATAAGGCCTTAGGGGGGATTATAATAGTTTAGAGAGACTAAGTTTATAAACTATTAGAATAATTAATTACTTTAAATTAGTTATTATAATCTTTTAGCTAAGCGGTCTATTGCGCTAGTAGTTAATAGGTACTAGCCGTCTTAATAGGTATATAGTTAAGCTTTATACTATATAAATAAAGCTAAAAAGTATTACTTTTAATAGTATTATATTAAAATTATTAATATAAATAATTTAAAAGCTAATTTATTATAATATTAAAGTTAAAGTTAATAAAGTAGTTATATAATAAGATTAAAATAGTTTTAAAATAACTTATATAAAAAGAAGTTATAATTTTATTATAGTAGGGTGTAAGGAAAAGGGGGTTATGTGGAATTTTTAGTGAAGGGTTTATAAAAAAGGTTTTCTTTTTATTATTTTAATCTTTTTCTTAAAGGAATTAACTCTATTAAATAATTTTTATCCTTTATTCCTTTTTTTTAAAACTTTCTTTTTTTAAAACCTACTTATATACTAATCCTTTTATAAAGGTTAGATAGAGTGTTCCTTTAAAGCTATTTACTTATTTTAGTAGCTTGTTTTTATTAGTTTTTCTAATTTAAGTTTAAACTTTATTTAAAGTAATTAAAAAGGTTAATAGTAAAAGGAGAAAAAAAAGAATATTAAAATAATAACTTATAAGTATATAAGAGTATATAAAGAAATTAAATATTATAAAAGTTATAATTAAAATAGTACTTTAATTAATTAAGTTATTTATTTAGAACTTTAATTACTCTTAAATTTATAGAGACCTTAGCTATATAGATAAAGGGATATTATTTAGTTAAAATATTAGTTATATAATAGGTAGGGAGTAAAATATTTATTTTTATATAGGTTTTAATTAGTATTAGTGATTTATAAAGTAATTATTAATAATAATAAAAAAGTAATCTTTTATTAATTATAGTTATTTTATTATTTTAATAAAGGAAAGATTTAATAATTTATTTTATAATTATAATATTAAATAAGATAAATTTATATTAAAGTATTAATATAGTATATATAGTTAGTAAAAATATTTAAATAGTTAAATAAATTATTATATTTATAGTTAGAAAGAAATATAATAATATAAGTATAATATAATTAGAATATATATATTAAGTTTATTATATTTAATTAAGGAAAGAAAGAGAAGAAAAATTAAAGTTATATTAATATAGTTTTAAACTTATTTTTAAATATTAATAAATATATATTTAATTAATGGTAGTTTTAATATTAATAAAATAAAAGTATTAATTTAATAATATAATAGGTTTTAATTAAAGATTAATAAATATTTAAAATCTATATAAAAGTATTTTAATAAAAATTTAAGGTTAATAATAAAAGGTATATTATATAGTTATAATAAATTTAATATATAAGGTTAAAGGTAAATTAGTTAAATATATATATATATATTTATATAAATACTAATAATTTATTATATATTTATTAGAATATACTTTTATATAAAACTTTTTTATTTTATTTTTAATTATTTATCCTTTTAATATATTAAGTTATAATACTCTTTTTAAAAGGATTTTATATATAATACTATTATATTAAAATAGTTTAAATTATAATATTTAATTTTAGTTATTTTAAATCTTTTAATATAATACCTACCCTTTTATTAAAAGATATTAATTCTATTAAAGGGTTTTCTTCTTCTATTTATACTTTAGGATAAATAAATCCTAATTATAGAAGGGTAAAAAAGAATAAACTTAAAGGTAAATATTATATAGATTTAATTTTATTTATAATCCCTTTAAATTAAAATTATAGATTTAATTAGACCTTATATATTTTAATAATAACTTAAAACTACTTTTTAAATTAATAATATATTTATATTTAATTTAAATATAGAATTATAAATATAACTTTTAATAACTTTTTAAAGTTTAATAGAATTAATATTATTTAATTTTTAAAAGTTTAAGGATATTATTTATTAATATAAGTATATTAATAAAATAAAAGTTAATACTTTTAAGTATTATTATAATAAACTTAATCTTTAAAAAGATTAAAAATTATTATAAATATTAAAAATTAAAAGATTAGAGATTTAAACTTCTTAATTATTATAAGTTTATAAATTAAACCTTTTAATTAATTTTATTAAAATAATTAAAAATATTCTTAAAATAAACCTAAATTCTAATTAAAAGTTTAAAAGTAAAAGATTATTAACTATAATTAAACCTTAAAGAATAATATAAATAAAAAAACTTTATAATTTAAATATTTTATAAAACCCTTCCTTTAAAAATTAAAGAATAATTAATTTCTTTTAAGATTTCTTTAAAATCTATAAAAGATATTAAATAAAAAACTTGAAAAATAAATTAATTAAAATCCTTAACTAAAAGATTATCTATAAAAGGTAGGACTAATACTTAACTATTTAAAAGGCTTTAAGAACTTAAAGAGTAAAGTATAATAATAACTAATTTATTTAAAAGTTTAATAAAGTTATTATTTAACTTAAAGTAAAAAGGATCCTAACTAATTTAAAAGGATTTATAATCTAAATAATTAAACTATAGTTTTAATTAAAAATAATTTTAATAATTTATTTTATAAAATAAAAATAAAATATAAATATAAAAATAAATTATATTATTAATTAATTATAAAAATTAAATTTAAATTATATTAAGATAATAAAAAGTTAAGTAGATAAAGTTAGAATCTATAATATATTAAATTTAAATAATTTTAAAAGGCTTAAAAGGTTAGAGTTTATAATTAAATTAAAGGATAATTAGAATTTATAAATCTAAATACTTTTAGTTTAATTAAAGTATTAAATAAATATAAAAATAATAAAGAGGAAGAAGTTAATAATAATATTTTATATAAATTATTATTATTAAATTTTATAAGGATAAATTAATATTTTAATATTATACTTATAATAAAAAAGCTATAATATATATAAATATAATAAAGTTAAGAAATTAAAATAATATAGGTTTTTATTATTTTAAATATAAAAATCTTTTATAATTATTAAATATAAAAATAACTAAAAGAATAATTTTAAATATATATTAAACTTAAAATAAGTTTAAAAATATTATAATTAAAATAATATTAAAGTTATTTATTATATATTTAGAGTTTTAAAATTCCTATTATTAAAGGGAAGGATAAATCTTTTATATATAATAAAGTATTAAATAATTATTATTACTAAGCTATATTTCTAAAAGGAACTTTTAATTAAAACCTTAAAGTAACTTTATTAAAAATAATACTATTATATATTTAATTTTAATTAGAGTAATATCCTTAAAAAGAAAGTTTAATTAAAAACTAATTATATATATACCTAATAATTTATACTTCTTTTAAACCTTAATATTATTAAATAAAAATATTATATAAAAGATATAAATTAAAGTAAAATAAGATATAATTTAATTTTTATTAAAGTATAAAGAGATATTATAATTTAAGAATTTATTATAATTATTTTTAATTAAAGTTTAAAAGTTATAAAAGAATTAATTTAACTTTAAATTAAAAAGTTATTTAAAAAGAAAAAAGGTTAAAATAAATTTTAAAATAATAATATTTAAAAATAATTATATAAATTATATTAAATTTAAAAGTTAAAATAATAATTAAAGATTTATTAAGTTTTAATAAAATAAATATAATATTAATTAAAAACTTTAAATACTTTTAATAAAATATAATTTTAAATAACTTATTATTTAAATTTATATATAATTTAAATAGTAAAAACCTTTATTTTTAGGCTTAATATTATAAATATATTAAATTTTAAAATAAATTAAATTTTTAATAAAATATTACCTTTAAAATTATTTATTATAAAATTAATTTTATAAAAATTAAAGAGAATAATATTATTAATTAAAGTTTTATAATTTAATTTATTTTATTATAAAGGTTAGAGTTTATAAGAATATACTTTTATTTATTTTATTAAATATAAGGGTTAAAATAAATCTTCTACCTTTCTCTATTATAAAAAAATAGGTTAATATTTAATATATTAAATAATATAAATTTAACTATTTATAATAGTATTATTATAATTTTAATAGGTATAATTAAAAATTAAATATTTATTAAAGTAAATTAAGTATAAGTAGTCTTTTTATTATTAATAATTAAATTAAAGGAATAATATATTATATTTTTTAAGATATTATTTTTTTAAAGATAAATTTAATATTTAAATAGTTTAATAGGTATCTTTATATAAATATTATATTTATAAAGGTTAGAGTAAAATATAGTTTAAGGAAAAGAAATTAAAACCTTTTAAATAGTTAATATTAAAAGTTTATTTATAAATAAGAGTATTTTTAAATATTAGAATAGTTAGGGTTAATTATATTATATTTAATTAAAAGCTAATTAAAGTTAAAAAGATTTTATCCTTAAAGTTAAAAAGTAATAAAAGAGGAGATAAAAT